ACAGTTAAGTTTAAAAAATCTAGCTAGGGAAAAAGCCAGTAACCATGATAAATGTCGAATATGATTATAGGAAAAGTCAAAACGAACTACGTTAATACGGGATCGTTTCAACACAGCAGCTCTCGATAACTTTTTTTATGCAGCTAACCAACAAAAATCAATCAAAGCTAAGGACGCGCTTTCAAACAAAGCTGTCTTCTACAAATTTAGTAAACTGGCAGCGTTGTCGCTGATCCAGGCTGTCGCGGTTGAAGTTCAGTTAAGAGGCTACTGGGAATCATCAGCCTCAGCAATTTCCTTTGCTCTTTGCAATCTGTACATTCTTGTCTCTTGTGGGATGTCTTCCAAGAAACTCAAACAGGTCAACGAACCACAAAACTGTAAAATGAAGAGAAATTTTTAGGGAGTGATCTGGATCCTGAGACCCACCACCTACGATTCGCTAATGCCCTCATTCGTCATTCGTCAGTAAACAAGATACTCTGCATGATCTTTTCATTCTGCTCACCAAGACAGTATTTAGATTTAGGTAAAATAACGTACAAAGGCGGAACCGAGCAGTATATTGTTTAAGTGGTCACCAGGTCTGCCTTCACCGTATTTATCACGGTAAGCTTTGTCAGCTTTAAACAAGTCGACACCGACCATAATCAGGCTTGTAGTACTAGCGATGAGAAGTATGGTCATGAGGACTTGTACAGGTAAACCTTCAAGAAAAGAACAGGAGTTTTTGACTGGTTAGAGCAGAAAAAGATTGGTTTTAAACATCCCATTGCCAGTAACAACATTAAAAGAGCAACAACACGTCGTCTGCCGCCTAAACATCAAAATTACAGCCTTAAAACCTCGTTTTTAAAGTGGAGGAGCTTGAGAAAGAGTCAGTCATCTTGAGTACAAGGCAATATATCTGCCAAGTGACTGGCTATATTTTGTGCAACTGAGATAGTCAAGTGTCCAGCCTTCCACAGTTCTTTAATTCCTGTTAATAGTCTGTATACACGAGAGCCTTTTTAGGTAATAACTTAGTTGGTTAAATTTTCCCTCAAAGTTCCAAGCTGCTATAATTTTATCCTCACTCACTTTGATGGCCATTTTCTGGCGAATTTTTCTACATGGTGTTAAATGTCCCTCTTCCCAATCAGTGACCTAAAATATCACTCTGAATTCCAAAAGTCAAGAGTGCAAAACCTTTCTTGTGAAAAGAATGAGGTTGCTTTTTGTCTCAGCACCTTTCAGAGGCCTCACACGAAAACTGACTCGATTTCAGAGAGTCTTTGGGCATCTTGAAAACGGCCTTGTATTCGTATTACATTCATGAATTATCAATGTGAATTGGTTGCAATACTCACTATCAGTGTGGAATATGATGGTGTCCTCAAGTATCGCCGGTCTTTGTGGATGCCAAGCATTAACACAATTTGGAGGACTATCACCATTACCCAACAAAATGTGGAGACTCCTGCGAAGAACGTTGCTCGACCATCCAAATCGAAAGTACGGTTAGAGTAAACAACACCACATGGCCAGGCGATTAACAAGAAGAACTGTGTAAGAGGACAAGGTACGCTCATGAACAATGAGTATTGACCATCACCCTTTGGTTGTTGGTACAAAGCCGTAGAGAAGCAAGTGGTGTTCCAACGAGGTTCCTAATGCATTCTAACTTAGAGAGAAAAGAGGGTAGGAGACAAAGCATCTATTGAGGGCCACTAGTTCATCAGTTGAATTACTGTTGTGTGTTACTCTCCTTAAATAAAGTTGATATTATTATTATTATTATTATTATTATTATTATTATTATAGAAATCCAAATATGATACTACTTGGATCGGGCAAAGTTTTAAATCGAAACCCTTGTCGATCCGACATCATTCGTTAAAATAAAACCCCTTCATATCCTTCAACTACTTACAAACTCCAAATCTCTCGAGATTCTCAGTGCAGTTTTCAGGTAGGTTTTGTCGATCCGTCCTGCCCTAGGTTGGTTCACTGGAGGCTGGAACGGATTGGACAAGTTGTTCATTAGGGGCATAGCCTTATTTTCCAGTAGGGAAATGGCCTTGTTGTCCAGTGGGGACATAGCCTTGTTGTCCAGTGGGGACATAGCCTTGTTGTCCAGTGGGGACATAGCCTTGTTGTCCAGTGGGGACATAGCCTTGTTGTCCAGTGGGGACATAGCCTTGTTATCTCATTGGAGACTGTGCTCCAGACACTGTCTGTGACTGATTAGAATATATCTGCTGCACGACTGTCTAAGTGGTCTGACCTTGGCCGGTGTGACGTTTGGCTTCACCTGTGATTAAAATGACGAATTATTGCCTGAGCTAATCTGACGTTTGCTGTGGTCACGTGACTCTGTTTTGTCTTTGAACTATATTGATACTTTAATTAAGATATTTAAATATCAGTAACATTAGTTGGTTCAATGGTAGCAAAAAGATGTCCTAACTTTTTAAATCAAATAGCCTCAAAAGCAATTTACATTTAAATTATCAATTGTTTCCCTGAAGATTTTATCAAACAAAAGTTAAATTAGTGGTTATTTAAGGTACAAAGTTTACCATGGAGACACCTCAGCCCCTCAGAAGCACTCTCAGCTACTGAGGTTTCGTTTACAAAATCTTATTAACTTTCGTTCTATGTTGGAAAAATGACTAGGTTGGATGGAAAATGCGACTTTATATGATACCATTATCGAGGTTAAACATTTAAAATGACGTTTTCTTTGAGCCATAAAACTCAAGGTCCTAAAATGTTTGCTTGATGATAAAGCAGAATTTGTGCATGTCTATCAATTTTCGCAGTGTTATTAAAAGTTGCGGAGCAACTTCAGATTATTGCTGAATAACGTATATCATTTACAGTTAACTATCGCGCTTTGTCACCTACCCTTTTAATAAAAGTAGTAATTGCATGAACGTAACCTTTGGGTCAAATCAAAAAGGAACAGAGGAAATGACTCCAAGAGTCCTGGAATTGGAGATACTTCATACTGTCACAAACGTACAATTTCATTGTTTTACATTTGTTTTTCGAATTAAATTGCTCACAGTTTATATTGGTGGGCTCTTAAATGCGAAGATCACCTCTTTATAACATAAAAACCTGATCTTCAGCTCTAGCTCGACTAACCTGCCAACTAATGAAGAAAATATCATCTGAAAGGGATCAACTGTAGTAGACCCGAAATAGTATAATTTTCATTGCATCCTTTTATCCTAATTCTATTCTTTTAACTGCGGAATCTCGCAGCTATGGACATTGAATTGAATGAGGCCCCCAAAGGACTCCTTTTTGAAGTCCCTAGCTAGATTTTTACAACAACGAGTTGACTTTCCTAAATATGGAGAATATGGCATGTCTCCCAAGCGCGTGATCTCGTGATCCTTTTGGGGCAAAAAATTAGTATTTCCATGGTCTGTACCAGAAATTCCGCTCCATTGATTTGACTAACGCTCTGTTCGTGTCCATCCATAGAATGCAAATCATTTGTTTCAGTATTGAGGAACGTTGTCTATTTAGCGAGAGTCTAAAATTCGAAATCATGAGGTCATTTTTACAATTTTATAAACATACCTTCGTTTTCTGAGCGTTTTGAGGCCCTTAAAAACTCCTCTTGCTTCAACCCAAACAGCAGATTGGCAATAATCGTTATTTCATCAACTTTCTGCGAAGAAACTCGATGCTTGAATAAGACACTTGAACGGTTTCTTAGAAAGACAGAAAGAGGAGCCATAAGCTTGTTTATGAAGCAACCCAAACATTGAAAAGATGAGTTACGCTTAGCTCACCACAAAGACGACTCCAGTTACAATCTGCATATAAGCAATGATTATTTCGCCGATTTTCTGCGTAAGAACGCGATATTCTGCGTAAGAAAGCGATACCCGAAGAAATTATAAAGGCGATAGGTTTCCTAGAAAGATAATGAGACAAGCTTTGAGGCCGTTTACGCAGTTACCCAAACATTCGTAGAAAAATGACATTCGAGCGGTTCGGTTGCTTTTTCTGAGAACGTGAATTGTAACGGTGGTCGTATATCTAGAATAAAACAGACATGAGCTTGTTTAGAGGAATTGTTCTCGTTTTGTCCTGATTCGGAGAAATAAAGAAGAAGTGTTTATCACAGAACCTTTCATTGAAGGCGGTTAATCGCGCGCCCTTCCTATGTTTGTAATCGCGTTCAATTTTAAATTCAAACACACTTTCATAATTTTTAAAACCTAGATTGCATTCGACACTCAATTGAAAGCAGCCGCATTTGCGAAATCAAGATTCTAAATAAACTCAGAGTTTCATCATTTATTGACGGTGATTTCGGGGAATGCAAAGAGATGGAAGTAACTTAAATTACCGTCGATATTTAGTACTCTGCTTGAAAGCATAATACATCTTTATAAATCCTAAATAACTAACATAGTTGTGGCTCAACATACTGCCAAATATTAGTATTCCTTAAGACAGCACACAGACATTGTTAAAATAACCACATCATGTTTTAATTGACATATTTGTTTTTCTATATCATTGACCATAACAGGGAAATAAATTCCCCTAGCGAACACACATGATTTTTCTCCGCGGTGAACTGAACTTCTTTGCGCTTTTTCTACAAAGCATATAATTTTGAGTTGTGATACTACATCAGGAAACCAAACAGCAATCTAAGAATTAACCTTTTTAACCCCTCAGAGTGACTAGCATCTAATTTCTCCTTACAATATCAGCCCTGAATTAGGTCATCAAGGTCATGAGAATAAGGGGAAATGATCAGTAACTAAAGAACTCTTGACTGTTTCGCAAATTCTCCTTTTCAGACCCTTAAGAAACTTACGGAGAACAGTATGGAGAATATACATACTGATGCTGGGTGTAAAGGGTTAACTAAAAGTGACCCTTGTCTCATCACTACGCAAAAATAGTTTATCTTTAATTACTTCAGAAACATTGGAAATCAATTGTAAGAATATTTTTCTAAATCAAAGACGAGAACAACAATGTTGCAGTTTAGGTCAGGAGCACTCTGACCATGTACAAACTTTATTTTTTTGCGTTCACATAAAGTGACTGACTACATCTCTAAGTCAGTAAGTTCAAAAAGAGTATAGGAGTATATTGATTAGGCCCAGTCAGGTTAAAAAAAAACTAAACAAAAACTCATCACAGAGAAATTTGTCGGTTTTTTTTTTTTAACTGATTACCTCTATTACATAACTGTGAACAATCCGACTGAAAAAAATACAAGCAAACGTGATATCATGGTGTAAAGTACAAAAACATGAAACCTAACATCGCAAAAAAGGATGGCTACAATGAGTAACATATCTCATCAACTTTACCAAATCGTTTCAGGCATCTCTAACGTTAACTAGGCTCAACACGCTTGTATATCTATTAAGCTAGATAAAGGTTTTCTTTCCTTGTTCAAATGTGACCTTTGGGTTACATGGCAGAAGACTGAATACCCGGCCCCTGAGCCGTCTGTGCAGTGTTGTCGGTTTCTTCCTCTCCTCTTTGTGTAACGATCATTTTGTAGAACAATCGAACGCTTTCAAAGAAAGAAAAGCAGACCAGAACACCAAAAATCTGTCGAAAAAGGAAAAAAACTCTTTATTACAGGTTGGGTTTAGTGAGGAAAAAAGTTTTGGATTATTTAAATCATTAAGTTTTACTCCTCAAAGAAAAACCCACCGTCCCCTTATGAGGCGGCTGTTTATGTTTTGTATTTAGATAATTTGGCTTCAAACATTGAAAACGGATTCTACTCGGCGAACTACCTACGAATCTGAGTTCTCTTCATACGCCTATTTTCTCTGTAATGATGAAAGGTCCCATAGCATATTCGTAAACTTTTTCTCTCTGGCACATATTAAGGCTTAAGGGATAGACTGCCGTTGTAGATTACCAGTGCCAAGTAGAGTTCATCAAGGTTCATCCTTATAGTCGGGAGCAGTGAGTCGTAAGCCTTGGACATCTCATGCGCATGAAACACGAGTGTCAGTGTACAAGCCACCAGTAAGATGGTCAGGATGATATGCACAATGAAGCACTGTGGAGAAAAAGAGAAAAGCTGAATATAATAGGTTCAGAAGTAACTACATCGCCGGAAAAACGATAAAACTTTGTTTTTTTTTTTATCATTTTCATTATCGTCATCATCGTCTTGGTAATGGTCATCGTCATCATTATCATCATCGTCATCGTCATAGTCATCGTCTTTATCACTATCATTGTCATTATCATGATTATTGTCATTACTATTATCATCCTCTAATTACAGTCATATTTTAGAAGATTTTTAGGGGGAGAGAGAAAGAGAGGGGAGGAGAGAGAGGGGAGGAGAGGGGAGGGGAGGGGAGGAGAGGGGAGGGGAGGAAAGGCCTTTGCACCTTTTTTTTCAAACCGTTGAATAACAGCTGGTCAGGGTAGGCAAAAGCCGACAATAAACTAAAGAAACAAATTTTTTGAGAGTGGAGAACATTAAAATGAATTGCAAATGATAATTATTGACGAACACACAAAGATTTGAGATAAATCTTTTAAGATGCACATAAATTGTGATGTGGCTGTAATATGGCTTCTTTGGTTCATGCCCACGTGCAAAGAGGCCTGAAGTAGTAAATGACGAACGAGGATTTGCTTCGTTTTTTTAGTGAAAATAAATTTGACTTGAGTCCCAGGAAAGTATGCACAAAAAATGCAATTGGAGAAAGATTTTGACAAAATTAGGCTGTGAAATTTGATTTGGATAAAACTTGGACTGGAAAATGGGATTTCTACTTCACCCTGCATTCCTATTCCTGGCTCTGCATATAAATACTTGGGGAAAATCTGATGAACCACTAGTAGGGTTTCATTTGAGGAGTATCAATACTCCCAAGCTGTCGATTATCGCGACACTATTTCTCAGCCATGGGAGTCTATTAACTGGTCTCAAATGTAAAATGTATTTTCACCAACGATAAACTTACGACAATTGTCAAGTGTGACGGTCGTGACAAGAAACGCTTGATGTAGTTGAAGCCAAAAACAAACCCAACTTGAAATACAATGGACACGATCCAGCAGAACACTGTAATTCCCTTAAAAAAATTCACTCTCCCGACTTCATATACAGGAGCATCTTCGGAATATTTGAAATATGCCGAATATCCAATCCAAGAATCGCTTCCACTCAGGCTGGAATATCTAACAATCGATATCCAAGCAGCTGACAGGAAAAGCTATAACCAAAAAGTAAACTGTATTAGAAGTGTTATAATAGTGTATTAAAGCGTGGGTTTTTTTTCAGTGCCAGGTGGCTCACTGGGCTTCTAGTGGTCAATTTAAAGATTGTTCTCAAAACTGTATCGTTATGCTTCAAAGCACCAAGCTTTCATTTTCTTCAAAAATCAGAAAAAGCTGTAGCAGCCTAGCTTAATTAATAAACAATCTTTCTTATAAAAAGGTGGTAGATTATTCTGGCAACAATTTGTGGAAAAAAGAACAACAACTCACAAACTCAACCACTCTTTCTGCAATCAAGGCACTGTTCCAATAATCAGTAGTCTTTGGCAACGTCGGTTCCTGCGCTGCTGCTGGCTGAACCAGTTGGCCCTGTTGTACAGCCTGTCCAACTGGTTGTTGAGCATACTGTCCAGGAGGGGCCTGGGCCTGGACATACATGGGCTGAAATTGACCTGGAGGGGCTTGACCAATAGGTTGCTGATAGGCGAAACGCTGGTTCCCAGAACTTTGATTCATTTTTCCACGAGTTCTCGTTTCTCTGTCTAATAAGGGAAACAAGTCCTTCAAATCAAATCACCCACTGTGAACTAAGCCTAACGAAAAGGGTTTTGTTTCAGTAAATATGGGTATATAATGGTTCTTTGGGAAGCTTGTTTCGATTTCAAAACGAGATTGACATATCACTTCTCCTTACAATATAACATTACTTTATATCATTCAGTATCATTATACATAGATAGATTAATAATAATAGATTATCATCACGCATAAATAAATTTCTGAGAGTAGATCAGTGTCTTAGCTATTAAAAAATTCTACCACTCCTTATTAGCAGCTTAAAGGGAGAATTTGAATTAGATCTTAGGCTGATTTAGAAAGTTTGAGTAACTACTGTAGAGAAGGCTGTAAATGCACCACTCCTGGTTTTATGCAATGATGTAAGAAGTTCAGTGTCTTGTAGTTACCGCAAAAACCAAGACGAACACATAAATTACCAACAGTGAGAGAATATAAACTAATATTCTCTTGCCAACAAGATAATAATAGTTTGCTTTCAAGCTGTATTTGGAAGCAACATTTTGCTCCTTTTCTTCCAAACTGAATTGTTTACTCACGCTCCTAAGTTATTTGTTAGAAAACGCTGGCTCACTTAAGCTATGCCATCTACTCGAAAATCATACCTTAGGATCATAAAATGGGTATTTTATGACGGAAAGGATTAAGAAAATGACATTTTCTTAATGTCGTTTTCACCTTTTTCTTGAGGGTTGAATGGCTTTAAAAGCTTCTTTCCTATCAAGAAATTGAACTGGCCTTCTTGGAAAGGCTGAAAGCGACTAAACATCAGCTCACATTCGCAATGTAATCAGGTCTCTCACGATACACCAGAATGCAAAATGTACAAAAAAAAATCAATCTCATTTTCTCGCATGAAATTCTTTCGACACAACAGATCATGGCTGTAGCAGTGTGTAGGATTCGTGTCACATTCGTACATAGCCCATGATTTAATTCAGTGTTTCGCCATAATTTAGGTGTTATGGTTTAACAGCCCTTCAGTTCAGGCGCCTCTAATTTGCAGAGCGTACTTGCTGATAAATGCAGTTGGGAAAGACCTGAGAAAGGAGCAAAACTAGATGCATCAAAAAGTCCCATAAAACGATCCGCATTAAGAAGCCAAATTTTCAGTGATGGATGGCAAGCATTTGTCACGAAACACGCGACTAGGAAATATCTTAATCGGCACCGTGATAAAGATGCGAACCTCACACTTTTCGACCCATTTTTGTTGTCTAATAACCGACCAACTAAACTACACACAATTTGATTTCCTCAACTGATGTAAATTTTATCAACTTCTGTAAATTGGTCACCGTAAAGAGTATCTAAAGCTAACGTTTCGAGCGTGACCGACAACCTACGTACTGGCAGCTAATAAACTTACTTGTGAGTGAAGCCTGAAGGTTTATTGACTTTCCGAAAATCAAGTGAATATAAACTCCGAAAACTTATCAGCTATGGAAACATTTAGTAATAAATGAAAGTTTACACTACTTATATATCTGATCGTTGGAAATTATAACGAAGTGGTATGGCTAATTTACAGATGCGGCCTTTCAATGAAACGGCGTCAGCTTAAAAACACTCTACATTCACTCTGACGATGAGCTAACGCTCGAAAAGTTAGCTTTAGAAACTCTTAATGGTGGCCATTTTATATTATCATCTCAGTTGACTAAACCAAATTGTCTATAGCCCAGTTTGTCAATGGTCCGAGAGCGAAATCGGTTGGATGGTTTGAGGTTCGAATCCTCATCGCGGCGAAATCAAATATCTTCTGGTCGTATGTTCGTGACAAATGCTCGCTATGTAGCCGGCTAAAAATTTGGCCTCTTAGTGATCGATTAATTGGACTTATTGATGCGACTAGTTTTGCTTTTTTCCCCACGTATTTTTCAACTGCGTTTAACAGCAATTATACGCTTTGCAAATAAAAGGCGCCTGGAGCCATAAACCTAAATTATGGAGAAACAACTAACTTACTTGTTTGTTGCCTATTGACTTTCTGAAAACGTATGAACCATGATAAAATTTCGCAAAGCATTCATGAAATTGTACATTACCAATATCACGGATCAATGGAATTTACTAGGTTATGGTATGACTCATTTAGAGATGTGGCCAATAATTACAGCAACCGGAAAATAACAGAGTGCAGTGAAATCGTCTACTTTTATAAACCTCTACGAAGGTAAGGGGAACATATTTTTATTTATTTAAGATATTTCTTGACGGCTGAATGGCTATTAGAGTTTCGCTCCTATCAAGAAACTGGATTAGCTTTCTTGGAAAGCCTGAATCGAGGAAACATCGATCAACTTAAGTTCGCAACCGTAAACCATATAGGTCTGTCCCAATTCACCAGGATGGAAAACGTACAATCCTCCTCATTTTATCTACATGAGAGACTAGCTTTTCGATGCAACAGATCCTTGCAGCGTATGCAGAATATGTGTTACGTTTATAATAAGTATATGACTTAGCTGCCAATACGTAGGTTGTTTGTCGCTTTGACGAAGGGTTTACACTCGTAAAGTTAGCTTTAGTAACTGTGTTTATATTCGCCCTGACGAAGAGCTAACGCTCGAAACGTTAGCTTTAGAAAATCTTAACAGCAGCCAATTCACATTATCATCTTAGTTGACTAAACCAAATTGTCTGTAGCCCAGTTTGTCGATGATCCGACGGTGAAATCGGTTGGATGGTTTGAGGTTTGAATCCTCATCGCGGCTAAATGAAATATTTCCTGGTCGCATGTTCGTAACAGATCTTTGCGTCGGCCGATTTACATTTTAATCTCAGTTGATGAACCCAAATTGTCTATAGCTTAGTTGGTCCATGATCCGACAGCGAAATCGAGGTTCGAATCCTCATCATGGGGAATTAAAATATTTCCTTCTCGCATGTTCGTGACAAATGCTTGCCATCCATCACTGAAAATTTGGTTTCTTAATGATCGATTTAAAGGACTTTTGATACAACAAGTTTTGCTTTTTCCCCAGGTATTATCCGACATTCTTTTTCAGTTATCGTTACAAAATGCTAATAAAAGGCGCCTGAAACGGATGTGGAACCATGAGACCTAGTTATGGAAAAAACAATGAACTTATTAAGTGTGTAGCCTAAAGGTCGATCGACTTTCCGAAAACGTTTCAATAATGTTGACATTCACCAATACATGAAAATTGTACTATTCTTATATCACTGGTCGATGGAAATTTCTAGGAAATGGGATGGGCACATCTACAAATACGACCTATCACTAACAGCAACCGAAAAATGGCAGTACCTTTGAGTGCAGTGAAATCGTCCGCGTCTACAAATCTCTATGAAAGCAACGGGAACGTATATTTTTTTTTCTTTAAGATATTTCTTGACGGCTGAATGGCCATCAGAGTTTCGCTCCTATTAAGGAATTGGATTAGCTTTCTCGGAAAGCCTGAATGCGAGGAAACATCGATCAACTCAAATTCCCAACACAAATAGGTCTCTTGCGATACACCAGAACACAAATTGTACGATCCTCCTCATTTTATCCACATGAGACAATAGCTTTCGATGTAAAAGATGCAAACAGCAAATGTAGGATATGTGTTACGTTTGTACTTAGCATATGACTTAGCTGCCAATACGTAGGTTGTTTGTCTCAGCTAAAAAACCAAATTATCTGTCGCTCAATTGGTCCATGATCGAAAAGTCTGAAAATTTGGCGCCTGAAAAGGCTTTTAAGGCCAATACGTAGGTTGTTTGTCACTTTGACGAAGGGTCTACGCTCTTAAAGTTAGCTTCAGAAACTGTGTTTACATTCGCCCTGAAGAAGAGCTAACGCTCGAAACGTTAGCTTTAGAAAATCTTTGTGGTGACCAATTCACATTTAATCTCAGCTAAAAAACCAAATTATCTGTCGCTCAGTTGGTCCATGATCGAAAAGCCTTAGAATTTGGCGCCTGAAAAGGCTGTTAAACCACGAAACCTAAATTATGGTGGAAACGATTAGTATTTATAAGTGTGCAGCCCAAAGGTCGGTCGACTTTCCGAAAAGGTTTCAAAAATTATGACACTTGGCAATACATGAAAATGTACAATTCTTATATCACTGGTCGATGGAAATTACTTAGAAATGGTATGGCTCATTCAGAGATGTGGCCAAAATAATTACAGCAACCGAAAAATGACATTACCTTTGAGTAAAGTGAAATCGTCCACGTCTGTAAACCTCTATCGAAGTAAGAGGAACTTATATATTCTTTCTTGAGGAAATGAATTATAAATTTTCCTTCTTACCGCTCTCTTTCCTCACGCTGATAGCACAGACTGTCAGTCCTAGGACAAAGATGCAGCTACTTATGTCGTGACAGCTTTCGCGGAAAAGGTGTTACACGTTACCTTGTAAGTATAAGATTTCATCTGTGCAGTGATGGAAATAAACATAGAAAATATAGGTACGCAATACGTACATGTGCAAATGTGCGACCGTTCACGGTATTAGAACTGTTACGTTTGACGCCACTTGCTTTTACTCTATAGTGCATTCGATAATTCATGAGAACAATCAGTGAATTTCAAGCTACCAGGTGACAAGAGGCCCTGCGAACCCTTTTTTAAGCCGTGAAGGGTGGTTCTAAGGTCTTCAACGCACAAGGCGAAGATTATTACACCAGTAAATTAAGCTGATAACTTTTATTTAACGAATTGAATTTTGGAGGACGTCTAGAAGATTTTGATGAAAACTTGTCTGATTTCTCTGCCGTTCTGTCAAAAATTCCGATTATATGATAATTTCATGCTTATATGTATAGTATTTGACCGGTGACTTGCATTCTAACTGTTCAATGGTTTTCCCAATTTCAACATCTGTCTAATGGAAGCAGGGGATGTAAATGCACACTGAAATTTCAAACGTGGCGTACAGATGTAACAAATGAAATATGTTAATGTCTCTAAAATGAGGGCTGAAAATTCACTTTTAAGGGTTAATAGATAAAGTGTTGATTTTCATAAAAATTTTAATATCCATACCTAACTTAAGAGACTTAAAAAAAAAAAAAACACAACAACAAACATTCGTTAAAAGGAAAGCTTTCCCAAAAGCAGTGAGAAGGATTTCTGAGAACTGTTTTCGTCTGAGCCTAACTGGAAAGCTACGTGAGTTGTGGAGCTTTGTGTTCTTCTTTTGCAAGGCCGCTAAACTCATATCCAACTCTTTCCCCAGCGCGACGAACATTTGTTTTTCTCGGTTCCAGGTGTACGCGTCCACTAACCCTACTTAATGCGCATGCCCTCCGTTACGAATTTTCAAAATGGCGGACAGGTCAAAGAGGGAAATAAAAAAAGCAAAGCGATTTTGCAATAAATACTTAACATACACCCCCGTTAGAAAGGCGAATCCACGATAGAAAGATACAAAACTGTATGATATTGAGATCAGGGAGGTTAACAAAATCAACAAGAGAGGTTGAAAATTCATTACGTTGGCTATAGCACATGCTTCGATGAATGGACACCCTTCAGGGCCGATAGAGGATCTGGATATTTTTCCGTTTGTTCGCAGCGAAAAGCTGTTCATTTCCTCGGAAATTCCTAATTCCAGGAACTATTAAGTATTGGCTGGGACAAAGAAGGTTAATCATTGAATACAAGGTCATCGTTGTAGGTGTTCTTAACCCTTTCATAACCTGCTGCCTCCAGGAACTGAATCCTGTTTTCCTTCAGAAACAGTTGTTTGAGGGCATCAACCCCTTTGTGATTTGTGGATCTGAAGAAATCTTTAGAAGCTCTACTATTGTATTTTTCCAAGCCTTGCTGTGTGTAATATGCTATGTTCTGATAAAGGGACAGGAACTCAGGAACATGATAACATAGTGCATGCATGTAGGGAGTGACATCTTTTGCTTGGTAAACTTTGAGAAAGTGCTCAAACCATGATTTGATATTTCTTTGCAGTTCAAGAATACCCTCTTCAGATGTAAAATCTAGCTTCAAATCACCAATTATGTCCATAAATTTAACCCAGATCACTTGTATGTATTTGTTTTGACTGCAATGAGGGACAAGCATAGGTCGGAATGTTTATATTCTGAAAGAGTTTCAACTTTTCTGGTTCAGTAAGATCTCTATATTCCAGCTTTTTTCTCTCTTTGTTGATTCTAAAATTAAAAGTGCTTCCCATACTTTTGATAAATTCTTTATAACATGCCATGTGTTTATATTTATCCCTTGGGAATCCATCAGAGGTTTTTTTTTTCTCAATAGCATCACTTCTTCTCAGCTCTCTTATGAACAAGTTAATCAAAACATCTGAAATCCTCAGAAAAAATGTAATGTATCTATGATGACATGGTCCATAGGTATAAAATCAAATAATGGTTGTGCCTTACAGTTTAATTTCTTTCCAGTGGAAAACCTTGCTATTTTGGTGACAGTTCTAGCACCAAATTTGGGGTCATTAATTGACCATGTTTTGCTTGTGTCCCACTGTTTCTCCCTGGGACACTTGCACCACACACAAGCATAATCCTCATTTGCCCTGCCTAAACCACATACCAGTGCTAAAAATTTCAAATCTCCACCTAAAAAGTATTCAATTTTATAGGTGCAATTATTTGCACTTATCTCGTTTAAGTTTGACATTTCCATTCGAAGGTCTGCTAGGCTGTTTCCCAGATTATCATATGTCTCTGTAGTTTTTATAACAGCAAGTATATACCCATTGCCACATCCTTTTCATGGAGAATAGTAAAAGTGAAGTTGACAACTGTAAGCCCCTTTCCAATATTTGTACCATCACCACTAAGCTTGATCTTAATAGTTTCTCCATCATTGATTTCTCCATTCTTCTGAAGCCTAACAATGTGCTCTTGCAAGCTTTCTGCAAATCCTAACTGAACACCTTCAGCATCTCATGGTGTTGGTTTCAAGTTCCATTCACTGTTTAGCTCATTAATTTGCTTCTTGATGGAATATATATTTGGGAGATCATTAGCCTTAATGGCAATTTCATGCCAGGCCTCATTTGAAATAATGAATTTATCTTTGAGGTAGAGCCACATATTTATGTTATCAATGTCATCATTATTAAGGGCCTCTGGGTCAGACTCTGTAAATGGCAGCTCTCCCTCTCCAACAAGATTGAAAGTTTCATATTGATTAGTCTCAGTGTTGAGGACTTCAATTTTGGTTGCAACAAAATTGTACAGCCCAAGAAAGGAGAGTGTAGTTTGGCACTTCTCCTTCAGTTGGTTTTTAATTCTCTTTTGATGGTGCTTAGAATAGTCATTAAACTTCTTCTTAGCTGGGCCTCTGCCTTTTTTCCCATTTGTAATCACTTTTTTGGCCAACTGAATAAATTTTTTATTGTAGAAGGCCCCTTTCTTCTCAGCTTTCTCGAGAGCTTCTCAGGCTTTTTTATCCACTCGCAATCGCTTTGCCTTCTCCTGTACCAACGATTCTTCTAATTTTATTTTTTCTCCCCCTTAACTGGCTGTTCTCATCTTTAAGCTGATGTACATCAACCTCGTTGTAATACACCTTAAATCGATACCGAGGGCCCGTTTCCAAATTGCTAAGAAATGCATTTAATTGCCACGATTACTAGCTTTCTTGACAGCTTTCTGAAAACAGAATAGTTTCTTTCTGAAGACTTCTGATATATGGCTATTGGTTATTATACCTCGTATACCTGATTGCTCAAACACTTTGTTTACAATTATTGAAAGGACCGACTCATGGTTTTCTCTGAAAACTTCTTTGCTTTGAAATAGTATAGATTAGTAAGCTGAAACGAAAAATTAATTAGGGAAGTTTACGAAAAATCCTGCGAACAAGCTTAAAAAAGGCATTTATTTAGACTTCATACTGCGATGAACTTCACAAATCTTACTTGTTTATCTCGTAAGTAAACAATGGCAGATTAATTCCCGAAGTGCTTTCTGAGTTTCCCGATCCCTCTCCTACTGCTTCACGCTCACAAAATAGGAAAAAATCAAAAGGAGGAAGATACAGCTGTTTTGAAACGCCATTTGACGAGGGTAAATCTGCTTTTTGTTCGACACATTACATATCAAAACAAAGGAAATTTGTTCCTCTTTTTGATTCTGGCGGTACATTTTTAAATTGCGCTTGCATAAAAGGGATATCGCCCGAGATGCTTCGCTCGGTTGTGTTTTGAACAAAAACGCCTTGTTAATTTCAAGCAACCGCTCGGAGAAAAGGTTAAAATGACGAGGGAAAAACTTTACCTTCAAGTTAGAAAATTAGCGAAATAGGAAGCCACAATATTATAGTTTAATATTTCAGAGATACATTGAGTACTTTTTCCGTAGAGAATCCGCACGATGGTAAAATGTTCGAAAATTACACTCGATTTGAGTGGGGCGTTGAAGTGGGCGTGGTCACTATATTCATGTTAAGACTATTTGTACCCCGTGAGTTTGATATGACTCTCACAGTAACTCTCTCCACTCCCCCCCCCCCCCCAGGAATATAAATGAGTCAATGGCGAATTGTCAGGGAAGCTTGATGAAATGCTTGTAGGTAACTTCGCGATGGACTAGTATCTCATTGGGGGTGGGGGGGGGGGGCTGGGGAGGGTACTCCTAGTTGCCTCATAATACATAAAAACCATAATAGCTTTTTTCTTCCATTGCTAAACCATTAAAGAAGGATAAAAGGGAGAAAACTAAAATGAAACGAAATCGATAACATTGTGTGGCGATTGGTTTGTAGCATCGTTATTTACCATTATGAGGTTTTGCTGATCAAAGCTAAGAAAGGTAACCATCGACAGTTCAGTAAGACTTTTTATCAAAATTTATTCTCTAAGTTTTATTTCAACAAGGGTTCAACAAACGATATATATAAAAGACAGAGTATTTTATGTGACACTTCACACGATCGTATGTCTCTTACGATCATCGCTTCTTTAGGGTGATAGGTGCCACAGTTTTACTCAAAAAGCCTGAAATACATACTTGTTATGCTTAAGTTAAAAAAATCTAGCTAGAAAAAAAAGATTAACCATGATAAATGTGAAATATGAATAAAGGACAAGTCAAAACGAACTAAGTTTCAGCATTGTAGCTCTCTATAACGTTTTTTATGCAGCTAACCAACAAAATCAATCAAAGCTATGGACGCGCTTTCAAACAAAGCCTTCCTCTACAAATTTTTTAAACTGACTACTTTGTTGCTGATCCAGGCTACCGCAGATGAAGGTCAGTAGAGAGGCTACTGGGTATTATTAGCCGCAGCAATTTCCTCTGCCCTTTGCAATCTGTACATCTTAATCAGTTGTGGGATGTCATCCACGAAACACAGACAGGCCGACACACCGCCCGCCTGAAAAATGAAGAGAGAAAAACTTTATGAAAGAGGTTTTTTTTGTCAAGTGAGCCAGCTTTGATTTTACCGTTTGCTATGTGTTTGTAAGTTTTATTGTATATTTAATCTTCTATAGCATGGTTGGAGGAGTTTGGAGAGGATCACGTGGGGGGGGGGGGGGGGGGGAGAGAGAGGAAGAAAGTCATGGTTTTTTTCAGCTGCCAATGAGAGGGGGGGAGGGGGTCAGAATACTACTGAGCCTTAGGGGGGGAATCAGGTAAATTTTATTGTGACACAACCAAAATCCTTGCTTCTCCGCCCCGGCGATAGATAACAAACGGTCCCTAATGCTTAACACACTCCTGCCTGGAGAGAGGAACTGTCAGAGTAAAGTGTCTTGCCCAAGTAGGCAACACGATGGCACTGACCAAAGATCGAACTGAGATCTATTGATTCAGTGTCCGGGGCGCTGATTGTTGGGCTATCCCAGGGGAAAGATCCAGGAATTTTTGGTAGGAAGGGGGCGGAGAACGAGGGGTGAGGGGTACCAAACTCAGAAGACACATAAATTTCAACTTCACACCAGGGTCTAAACAAGCTGAAGAATATTTCAAGACAAGCAGATCTCAAATGCTTTATATTTAGTGTTTCTTTGTTTGTTTGTTTGTTTTTTTTTACCATCCTGTTGTTACCAGTGTCTGTCATGTAGTGAAAAAATTAACACTTCTCACTGAGGCGGTAGGAACAGAAAATTTAAGGAAAAAGTAAAATAACGTACCAAGGCGAAACCGAGAAACACATCGTTTACGTCAAAAGTTTTTTCTTTACCATATAGCTCACGGTCACGTTTGCCAGCTTTATACAATTCAACACCGGGCATAGCCAGGCTTGTAGTACTAGCGATGAGTAGTATGGTCATGAAGACTTGTACAACTAAAATCTGTGGGAAAAGAACAGGTGTTTTTGACAGGTGTTAGAGCAGAAAAAGATTAGTTTTAAACATTCCATTGCCAGTAACAAAAAATAAAAGAGCAACATGTCGTCTGCCGCCTAAACGTCAAAATTAAATCCTCACAACCTCGTTTCTAAGGGGGAGAAGCCTGAGAAAGAGTCAGACATCTTGAGTACAAGGCAATATATCTGCCGAGTAACTAGCTGTATTTTTTGCAGTTGGGATAGTCAAGTGTCCAGCCTTCAACAGTTCTTTAATTCCTTTTTATAGACCCAACGCTTCGATACTCCTGTCTATTGCCTTCATCAGGGGTGATCTAAACGCTGCAACAAGAGGTCCTTTTATATGATCACTAATTAGCGGCCTTTTTTCTGACGAGGTGTAAATAGGCGTCAGGAAGCAAACCGCCATCGTCACGATTTAAAGGAGCGTGGGCGGAGTTAATATGTCAAGCCTCCAAACAAAGGCGCTGGTGGTAACACCGATTAGTGGTGATAATTTTAGAATTATCCCACCCAATTGTATGGGAGCAGCATCAAACTATGTCAGTCTGAAGTTTAATATATGAGAGCTTTTTTAGGTAATTACTTCGTTGGTCAAATATTCCTTCAAAGTCATAAGCTTCTATGTTTTTATCCTCTCTCACTTTGATGGCCATTTCCCAGTTAATTTTTCTAGATAGTGCTAAATGTCAATTTACCCGATCAGTGATCTAAAATACCACTCTGAGTTCCAAGAGTCAAGAGTGCAAAACCTTTCTTGTGAAAATGATTTGTACCAGAGCACAAGAATGAGGCTGCTTTTTGTCTCAGCACCTTTCAGAGGCTCCACACGAACACTGAATCGATTTCAGAGAGTCTTTGGGCATCATGAATACGGCCATGTATTCGTATCACATTCATGAATTATCGGAATGAATTAGTTGCAATACTCACTATCAGTGAGGCATATGATGGTGTCCTGAAGTATCGCCGGTCTTTGTGGATGCCAAACAAAAACGCAATTAGGAGGACTATCACCATTATCCAAGAAAATATGGAGACTCCTGCGAAGAACGACGCTCGACTATTCCAAACGAATGTACGGTTTGAGTAAGCAACACCACATGGCGAGGCGATTAACAAGACGACCTGTGTAAGAGAACAAGGTAAGGTCATGAACAGTGAGTATGACCATCTCTCTTTAATTATTGATACAAAGCTGGAGAAGGGCAAGAGAGCACCACAAGTGGTGTTCCAACGAGGCTTCCTAATGATTTCTAACTTAGAATAAAAGTATCCCGATGCACGGCCTTAACCCTTAGGGATCCATACGATACTCGTTTTGATTACATTTGTAGATCAAATGCATTTTATTGCATACAACATTAAGAAAAAAAAAACTATCATAACATTAATTTTCCAAACACGATTCGAAGTGATAAATTTAAAAGTTTGGAAATAAAAGAGAAATGTGTTGGCTAGGAATATTAAGAAGTCACCGAGCAAAGTTTTCACTCAAAACTCCTGCTAATCCGATATCATTCGTTAAAACCTTTTCATATCTTTTAACTACTTACAAACTCAAAAATTCTTGAGCAACCCAGCATAGTTTTTAGATGGGCTTTGTTCATCCGCCCTGCCCTAGGTTGATTCACTGGGGGCTGCACAAGGACACCAGGGCCTGGAACGGATTGGACAGGTTGTCCAGTGGGGGCATGGGCAGGGTGTCCAGTGGGGACATAGCCTTGTTGTCCAGTGGGGACATAGCCTTGTTGTCCAGTGGGGACATAGCCTTGTTGTCCAGTGGGGACATAGCCTTGTTGTCCAGTGGGGACATAGCCTTGTTGTCCAGTGGGGACATAGCCTTGTTGTCCAGTGGGGACATAGCCTTGTTGTCCAGTGGGGACATAGCCTTGTTGTCCAGTGGGGACATAGCCTTGTTGTCCGGTGGAGACATTGCCTTGTTGTCCATCGTGGACATAGCCTTGTTGTCCAGTGGGTGAGTGTGCTTCAGACTCTGCCTGTGGCTGATCATAAGATATCTGCTGCATGACTGTCTAACTGGTCTGTCCTTGGGTTTGACTTTTGACTTCTCGCCTGTGATTGTTGAAATGATGAATTATTGCCTGAGCAAAGCTAACGTTACCTGCAGTCACGTGACTCTGTTTTGTCTATGAACTCTATTAATACTCTAATTAAGATATTTAAATATCAGTGACACTAACTGCTTCAATGGTAGCAAAAAGATGTTTAAACTTTTTAAATCAAATAGCCTTAAAAAGCAATTTATATTTTATTTTATTTTCAATCGTTTCCTTAAATTTATCATACAAAGTCAAATTATCGATTATTTAAGGTACTCAGGTTACCATAGAGACATCTCAGACCCTCGGAAGCACCCTTCGCTACTGAGGTTACGTTTATAAAATCATATTAACTTGCGTTCTACGATGGAAAAATTACTCGGTTGGATAGAAACTGAGGATTTATATAATACCATTGAAGATTTAAAAATAATTTTTTTTGAGCCACAAATTTGAGGTCCTAATAGGTCTGCTTCATGATGAAGTAGCATTTGTGCATGTCAAGAATTTAATTTTCGCGGTGTAATTAGAATTTGCACAAAGACTTCAGATTATTGCTGAATAACGTATCTTACAGTTAACTCTCGCCCATTTGAGACTATGCTGTCACGTACCTCCCTTAATAAGAGTTAAAATTATGTGAACGTAACCTTCGGGTCAAGTCGAAATGGAACGAAAGAAATGTCTCCAAGTTCCAGGAAATTGGAGATACTTCATGCGGTTGCGAACGTAAAATTTCATTTTTTAACATTTGTTGTTCAAATTAAATTGCTCACTTTGCTGTTGGTGGGCTGATTTACTGCGAAGATCACCTCTTTATGACACAAAAACCTGATCTCCAGCTCTAGACCGACCAACATGCTAACTAATGAAGAAGCGATGTTTTGAAAGGGATCAGTTGTAATAGATCCGAAATAGTATAATTTGCATTGCACCCGTTTATCCTTTTATCCTGTTAACTGCGGAACCTCGCGGCCATGGACATAAAAATGAACGAGGCTCCATTTTAGACTCCTTACCTAGAGGTTTTTAAAAAAAACGAGTTGACTTTCCTTGATATGGAGGATATATAGCATGTCTCCCAGCGCGTGATCTTTGAAGCATGCGCGCCAGGATCCGAATTGAAGTAGATTTCCTTTTGGCGAAAAAAAACTTGCATTTCTATCTTCTGTACAAGAAATTCTGTCTCATTGATTTGAATAACACTCCGTTCGTGTTCATCTATAGAATGCAAATCATGTGATTCATCATTGAGGAACACTGTCTCCTTTGTGAGAGTCTAAAATTCGAAATTATAAGGTCGTTTTTACAATTTTAATGCTACTACTACTTAGTTTAAAGACGTACCTTCGTTTTCTGAGCGTTTTGAGGCCCTTAAAATATCCTCTTGCTTCGGACACAAACTACAGATTGGCAATGATTGTTAGTTCATCGACTTTCTGCGAAGAAATTCAATACTTGAATGAGACACTTGGGCGGTTTCCTAGAAAGACAGAAAGAGGAGCCGTAAGCTTGTTTATGAAGCAACCCAAAAATTTAAAAAATGAGTCACGCTGAGCGCACCACAAAGATGACTCCAGTTACAATCTGCATGTGTGCGAAGATTATTTCGCCGATTTTCTGCGTAGGAACTCGATACCCGAAGAAGTTTTGGAGGCGATAGGTATCCTAGAAAGATAACCTAGACAAGCTTTGAGGCCGTTTACGCAGTTACCCAAACATCAGTAGAAAAATGACATTTGAGCGGTTTTTCCGAGAACGTGAATTCTAATTGTAGACGTATACTTAGAATAAAACAGACATGAGCTTGTTTAGAGGAATTGCTGTCGTTTTTTCCGGATTCGGAGAAATAAAGAAGTCAGTGTTTATTACAGAACCTCCTATTGAAGCGGTTAATCACGCGCCCTTCTTATGAGCGCTTTCATAATTTTTAACCTTGTAGTCATAAGACAGAAAACGTATTGACCGAGCTCAAGAGAGGATGAAATGTTTGTTGACCGAGCAAAGCTAGACAAGCTTTGAGGCCGTTTACGCAGTTACCCAAACGTCAGTAGAAAAATGACATTTGAGCGGTTTTTCCGAGAACGTGAATTCTAATTGTAGACGTATACTTAGAATAAAACAGACATGAACTTGTTTAGAGGAATTGTTATCGTTTTGTCCTGATTCGGAGAAACAAAGAAGAAGTGTTTATTACAGAACCTTATATCGAAGATGGTTAATCGCGCGCCCTTATGTATGTATGTATGTAATCGTGTTCAATTTTAATTTCAAACACGCTTTTATAATTTTCAAAACATAGATTGCAATCGACACTCAATTGAAAGCTGTCGCAACCGCGAAATCAAGATTCTAAACAAACCCAGAGCTTCGATCATTTATTGACGGTGATTTCGTGGAATGCAAAGAGATGGAACTAACTTAAATTACCGTCGATTTTTAATACTCTGTTTAAACATGGTATTAACATAGTTGTGGCTCAACATACTGCCAAATATTAGTATTACTTAAGACAGCACGTAGACATTGTTAAAATAACCACATTATATTTTAATTGACATTTTTGCTTTTCTATATCATCGACCATAACAGGGAAACGAAATCCCCTGGCGAACACACATGATTTTTCTCCGCGGTGAACTGAACTTCTTTGTTTATATGCTACAAAGCATATAATTTCGAGTAGCGATACTACATCAGGAAACCAAACAGCAATCTAAGAATTAACCCTTTGACCCTTAAGAGTAACTGGCATCTAATTTCTATTTACAATATCAGCCCTGAATCAAACATCAAGTTCATGAGAATAAGGGAAATGATTAATAACTAAAGAACTCTTAACTGTTTATCAAATTCTCCTTTTCAGACCCTTAAGAAATGTATGGAGAACAGTATGGAGAATATACATACTGATGCTAGGGTGTAAAGGGTTAACTAAAAGCGACCCTTGTCTCATCACTACGCAAAAATAGTTTATCTTTAATTACTTCAGAAACATTGGAAATCAATTGTAAGAATATTTTTCTAAATCAAAGACGAGAACAACAGTGTTGCAGTTTGGTTCAGGAGCACTCTGACCATGTACAAACTTTATTTGTTTGCGTTCACATAAAGTGACTGACTACATCTCTAAGTCAGTAAGTTCAAAAAGAGTATAAGCGTATATTGGTTAGGCCCAGTCAGGTTACTGAAAAAACTAAACAAAACCTCATCACAGAGAAATTTTTCGGTTTTTTTTAAAACTGATTACCTCTATTACATAACTGTGAACAATACGACTGAAAAAAATATAAACAAACGTAGTCTCATGGTGTAAAGCACAAAAACATGAAACCTAACATCGCAAAAAAGGATAGCTACAAAGAGTAACATATCTCATCAACTTTACCAAATCGTTTCAGGCATCTCTAACGTTAACTAGGCTCAACACGCTTTTATATCTCTTACGCTAGATAAAGGTTTTCTCTCCTTGTTCAAATGTGACCTTTGGGTTACATGCGGTGTTGTCGGTTTCTTCCTCTCCTCTTTGTGTAAGGATCATTTTGTAGAACAATCGAACGCTTTCAAAGAAAGAAAAGCAGACCAGAAAACCAAAAATATGTCGAAAAGGGAAGAAAATCTTTATTACAGGTTGGGGTTTTGTGAGAAAAAAGTTTTGAATTACTTCAATCATTAAGTTTGCTCCTCAAAGGAAAACCCACCGTCCTCCTATAAGGCGGCTGTTTATGTTTTGTATGTAGATAATTTGGCTTCAAACATTGAAAACGGATTCTACTCGGCGAACCACCTACGAATCTGAGTTCTCTTCATACGCCTATTTTCCCTGTAATGATAAAAGGTCCCATGGCATAGTCGTAAACTTTTTTCTCTGTGACACATATTAAGGCTAAAAGCGGGATAGACTGCCGTTCTACATTACCAGTGCCAAGTAGAGATTAAATTTCTGAGAGTACATCAGTGTGTTGGCTATTACAAAATTCTACCACTCAGTATTAGCAGCTTAAAGGGAGAATTTCAATCAGATCTTAGGCTGATTTAGAAGGTTTGATTAACCGCTGCAAAGAAGGCTGTAAATGCCTCACTGCTGATCTTTGGCAACCATGTAAGAAGTTCAGTGTTTTGTGGTTACCGCAAAAACCAAGACGAACACACAAATTACTAATAGTGAGAGAATATAAACTAATATTCTCTTGTCAACAAGATAATAATAGTTTGCTTTCAAGCTGTATTTGGAAGCAACATTTTGCTCCTTTTCTTCCAAGCTGAATTGTTTACTCACGCTCCTAAGTTATTTTTTAGAAAACGCTGGCTCACTTAAGCTATGCCATCTACTCGAAAATCATACCTTAGGATCATAAAATGGGCATTTTATGACGGAAAGGATTAAGAAAATGACATTTTCTTAGTGTCTGTTTCACCTTTTTCTTGACGGTTGAGTGGCTTTAAGAGCTTCTTTCCTATCAATAAATTGAACTGGCCTTCTTGGAAAGCCTGAAAGCGACTAAACATCAGCTCACATTCGCAATGTAATCAGGTTTCTCACGATACACCAGAATGCAAAATGTACGGTCAATCTCATTTTCTCTCATAAAACACATTCTACATAACAAATCATGGCTGTAGCCGTATTTAGGATTCGTGTCACATTTGTACATAGCCTATGACTTAATTAGCTGCCAGTAGGTAAATTGTCGGTCACGCTCGAAACGTCAGCTTTAGATGGTCTTTACGGTGACCAATTTACATAAGTTGATAAAATTTACATCAGTTGATAAAATCAAATTGCCTGTAGCTTAGTTGGTCGGTTATTAGACAACAAAATCGGTCGAAAAGTGTGAGGTTCGCATCTTTATCGCTTGCCATCTATCACGGAAAATTTGGCTTCTTATTGATCGTTTTATGGGACTTTTTGATGCATCTAGTTTTGCTTTTTCCCAACTGCATTTATCAGCAATTACACTCTGCAAATTAGAGGCGCCTGAACTGAAGGGCTGTTAAACCATAACACCTAAATTATGGAGAAACACTGAATTAACTTACTTGTGTGAAACCTGAAGGTTTATTGACTTTCCGAAAATCAAGTGAATATAAACTCCGAAAACCTATCAGCTATGAAAACGTTTGGTAGTAAAGAAAGTTTTACACTACTTATATCACTAATCGATGGAAATTATAAGGAAGTGGTATAGCTCATCTAGAGATGCCGCCTTTCATTGAAACGGTGTCAGCTTAAAGACACTCTTTACATTCGCTTTGACTAAGAGCTAACGCTCTAAACGTTAACTTTAGAAAATCTGAACGGTGTCCAATTTTTATTATCATTTTAGTTGACTAAACCAAATTGTCTATAGCCCAGTTTATCAATGATCGGACAGCGAAATTAGTTAGATAGTTTGAGGTTCGAATCCTCATCGCGACGAAATGAAATATCTTCTGGTTGCATGTTCGTGACAAATGCTCGCCATGTAGCCGGCTAAAAATTTGGCCTCTAAGGGTCGATTTATTGGACTTTTTGATGCAGTTAGTTTAGTTTTGTTTTTTTACCAGGTATTTTTCAACTGCATTTATCAGCAATCATACACTTTGCAAGTAAAAGACGCTTTAAAAGGCTGTTAAGCCATAAACCTTAATTATGGAGAAACAACTAACTTACTTGTGTGTAGCCTAAAGGTTCATTGATTTTCCGAAAACGTATGAACCATGATAACATTAGGTAAAGCCTTCATGAAAATTGTACATTACCAATATTACGGATCAGTGGAAATTACTAGGAAATGATATGACTCATTTAGAGATGTGGCCAATAATTACAGCAACCGAAAAATAACAGAACCTTTGAAGAGAGCAGTGAAATCGTCCACTTGTATAAACCTCTACGAAGGCAAGGGGAACTTATATTTTTCTTTATTTAAGATATTTCTTGACGGCTGAATGGCTATTAGAGTTTCGCTCCTATCAAGAAACTGGATTAGCTTTCTTGGAAAGCCTGAAGGCGAGGAAACATCGTTCAACTCAAGTTTGCAATATAAACCATATAGGTCTGTCGCAATTCACGAGGGTGGAAATTGTAGAATCCTCCTCATTTTATCCACATGAGACAATAGCTTTCGATGCTGTAGTTCCTAGCAGTATATGTAGGATATGTGTTACTTCAGTACTTAGCATATGAATTAGTTGCAAATACGTAGGTTGTTCGTCGCTTTGACGCAGGGTTTATGCTCGCAAAGTTAGCTTCAGTAACGGTCTCCACATTCGCTCTGACGAAGAGCTAATGCTCTAAACGTTAGCTTTAAAAACTCTTAACTGCGGCCAATTCACATTATCATCTTAGTTGACTTAACCAAACTGTCTATAGCACAGTTTGTCGATGATCAGACAGCGAAATCGGTTGGATGGTTTGAGGTTCAAATCCTCATCGCGGCGAAATGAAATATTTTCTGGTCGCATGTTCGTGACAGATGCTCGTCATATATCGCTAAAATTTTGGCCTCTCGATGATCAATTTTTTTCCTATTTGATGCTTCAACTTTTGCTTTTTCCTCAGATATTTCCCGACTGCATTTATCAGCAATTACACTTTGCAAATAAAAGGCGCCTGAAAAGGCTCTTAAACCATTGACCTGAATTATGGAGAAACAACTAACTTACTTGTGTGTATATAACCTAAAGGTTTATTGACTTTCCGTAAACGTACTGAATATGATAACATTTAGAAAAGTATGCATGAAAATTGCACATTACTCTTATCACAGATCAAAAGAAATTACTAGGAAATGGTATGGCTCATTTAGAGATATGGCCTATATCATCAGTTACAGCAACCGAAAAATAACAGTACCTTTGCGGAGTGCAGTGAAATCGTCCACCGTTTATAAACCTCTACGAAAGCAAGGGGAAACATAGATTAACTCAAATTCGCAATATAAACAGGTCTCTCCCGAATGAAAAATGTACAATCCTCATTTTATCCACATAAGACAATAGCTTTCGATGCAACAGATCCTAGCAGAATATGTAGGATGTTTGCATATGACTTAGCTGCCAATACGTAGGTTGTCTGTCGGTTTGACGAAGGGTTTACGTTCGTAAGGTTAGCTGAAGTAACTGTCTCTACATTCGCCCTGAAGAAGAGCTAACGCTCGAAACTTTAGCTTCAAAAACTCTTTGCGGTGGCCAATTTCCATTTTAATCTCAGTTGATAAAACCAAATTGTCTGAAGCTTAGTTTGTTGATGATCCGACAGCGAAATCGTTCCAAAAGTCTGAGGTTCGAATCCTCATCATGTAGAATTAAAATATTTTCTAATCGCATGTTCGCGAAAAATGCTTGTCATCTTCAAGATATTTTTTCTTGACGGCTGAATGGCTATCAGAGTTTCGCTCCTATTAAGAAATTGGATAAGCCTTCTCGGAAAGCCTGAATGCGAGGAAACATCGATCAACTCAAATTCCTAATACAAACAGGTCTCTCGCGATACACCAGAACACAAAATGTACTATCTTCCAAATTTTATTCACATGAGACACTAGTTTTCGGTGCAACAGATCCTAGCAGTAAATGTAGGACATGTGTCACGTTTGTACTTAGCATAGGACTTAGCTGCCAATACTTAGGTTGTCTGTCGCTTTAACGAAGGGTTCACGCTCGTAAAGATAGCTTTAGAAACTGTGTTTACATTCGCCCTGACGAAGCGCTAACGCTTGAAACGTTAGCTTTAGAAAATCTTTGCGATGGCCAATTTACTTTTAATCTCAGTTAAAAAACCAAATTGTCTGTCGCTTAGTTAGTCCATGATCAAAAAGTCTGAGGTTGGAATCCTCATCGTGGTAGTCGCATGTTTGTGACAAATGCGTGACATCTATCGCTGAAAATTTGGTGCCTGAAAAGGCTGTTAAACTATGGTGTACACGATTAGTATTTATAAGCGTGCAGCCCAAAGGTCTATCGACTTTCCGAAAACGTTTCAATAACGATGACACTTAGCAATACATGAAAACTGTACAATTCTTATATCACTGGTCGATGGAAATTACTAGGAAATGGTATGGCTCATTCAGAGATGAAGCCAAAATAATTAAAGCAACCAAAAAGTGAGATACCTTTGAGTGCAGTGAAATCGTCCACGTCTATAAACCTCTATAGAGGCAAGGGGAACTTATATTTTCTTTCTTGAGGATATAAATCATAAATTTTGCTTCTTACCGCTCTTTTCCCTCGCGCTGATAGCACAGACTGTCAGTGTTAGGACAAAGGTGCAGCTACTTATGTCGTGACAGCTTTCGTGGAAAAGGTGATACTCATTACCTTGTATCTATAAGATTTCATCTTTGACCAAAATAACATAGAAAATATAGGTACGCAATACGTACATGGGCAAATATGCGACCGTTCACGGGATTGGAACCATTACGTTTAACGCCACTTGCTTTTACTCTAGACTGCATTCGATAATTCAGGAGAACAATCAATGAATTTAAAGCTACCTGACCATTCCAAAGAGACAATGCGAACCTTTTTTAAGCCGTGAAGAGTGGTCTTCGACGCGCAATGCGGAGATTATTACACCAGTAAATTAAGCTGATGTATTTTATTCAACGAATTGAATTTTGGAGGATGTTTGGAAGATTTTGATGAAAAATTGTCTGATTTCTCCGCCGTTTTGTCAAAAATTCCGATTGCTTATATGTATAGCATTTGACTGGTGACTTGCATGCCAACTTTGCAATGGTTTTCTATCTAATATGGAAGCAGGGGACGTGAATGCTCAGTCAAATTTCAAACATGGCATACAGATGTAACAAACGAAATGTGTAAGTGTCTCTAAAATGGGGGCTGAAAGTTCATTTTGAAGAGTTAATAGATAAAGTGTTGATTTTCATATAAATATTTGGAATATCCGTACCTATTCAGAGACTTAAAAAAAATATGTGGTAAAAAGATAGCTTTCCCCAAGAACAGTAAGAGGGATTTCTGAGAATTGTTTTTGTCTGAGCATAACTGAAAAGCTACGTAGGTTGTGGAGCTTTGTGTTCTTGTGCAAGGCACTTAACTCTCACAGTACCTCTTTCCACCCTGTAGGAGTAGGGTCAGTGGCGAATTGTCAGTGAAGCTTAATGAAATGCTGCGAGGTAACTTCGCAATGACTAGTATCTCTTATTCTGGGGGAAGTCATGACACTCCTAGTCGCCTCATGCTACGTGGAAACCGGAATAAGCTCCGGCTCGGTGGGCCACTTGGCTCGAATACAGGCTTTACCTTGAGCTTTTTTCCTTCCATTGTTAAGCCATCAAAGAATGGTAAAAGTAAAAGAAAACTAAAATAAACGAAATCGCTAAATCGATCATACTCACTGTGTCGCGATTCTTGTCACATCGTTTTACCATAATGAGGTTTTGCTGATCAAAGCTAAGAAAGGTAACCATTGACAGTTCAGTGAGACTTTTTATTCAAATTTATACTCCAAGTTTTATTTCAACTAGGGGTCAGTAAACGATATATAAAAAAACATAGTATTCTATGCGACGATCGTAGGTCTCTTACGGATATCGCTTCTTCGGGGTGATAAATGCCACATACTTAAGTTAAAAAATCTAGCTACGGAAAAAGGTTAACCATGATAAATGTCGAATATGAATAAAGGACAAGTACAAACGAACTAAGTCAATACAGGATCGCTTCAATACGGCAGCTCTCTATAACATTTTTTTTTTTTTTTTTGCAGCTAACCAACAAAAATCAATCAAAGCTGAGGACGCGCTTTCAAACAAAGCTGTCTTCTAAAAAGTTTTGTAAACGGGCTGCGTTGTTGCTGATCCAGGCTACTGCGGTTGAAGGTCAGTAAAGAGGCTATTGGGTATTAGCCGCAGCAATTTCCTTTGCTCTTTGTGATCTGTAAATCTTTGTCAGTTGTGGGATGTCTTCCAGGAAAGTCAAACAGGTCAAGGCACCACCCACCTGCAAAAAGAAGAGAGAAAAACTGAGCCAGCTGTGATTTTACCACTTGCTATGTGTTTGTAAGTTTTTTATATGTTCAATCTTTCAAAATTATAGGCCAAATAATATTGCGAGAGCATATTCCGGTTTTCATAACATGGTCGTTGGAGTTTGTGGAAGATCACCTGGTTTTAACCCTTTAACTCCCATGATCTCATCAGTAATTTTCCTTACTGTCTGCCATAAAGTTGTTATGATGTTTGTTTGGAGAATTTGATATTGGATCAACTAATAATCCCCTGATTGATATTTTTCTTTATTCTAATCATTTGTCTGCTTGATATTTTATTGATATTGTAAGGAGAAATTCTGTCTTGGTCACTCATGGGAGTTGAAGGGTAAAGAGGGAGCGAAGGAGGGATTAGTCGTCGCTAAGAGAGTATAATAGAGAAGGGGGGGGGGTTAGAATACTTCTGAGCCTTAGGGGTGGATCAGGTAAATGTTATTGTGACACTACCAAAATCTTCGCCCCTCCCCCCCTTCCCTCCCGGTGGTTCCCGAGACCCACCCCTTGGATTCGCTAGTGCATCCATTCGTCATTCGTCAGAAAACAGGACACTCTGCTTGATTTGTTCTTTCTGCTCACCAAGACGATAGGAAAAGAAAATTTAGGGAAAAAAATAAAATAACGTACCAAGGCGCAAAAGAGCATTGCAACGTTCACGCCGTCAGTAGACATGCTTCTACCGTATCGATCTAGGTGATCTTTGTGAACTTTATACCATTCGACAGCGGGCATAGCCAGGCTTGTAGTGCTGGCGATGAGAAGTATGGCCATGAGGACTTGTACAGCTAAAACCTGTGGGAAAAGAACAGGTGTTTTTGACTTGTTGGAGCAGAAAAAGATTGATTTTAAACATTCAATTGCCAGTAATAAATAATAGAAGAGCAACAACATGTCGTCTGCCACCTAAACGTCAATATCACAGCCTCACAACCTCGTTTCTAAGAGGGAGAAGCCTGAGAAAGAGTCAGACATCTTGAGTACAAGGCAATATATCTGCCGAGTGACTGGTTGTATATTTTGTGCAACTGAGATAGTCAAGTGTCCAGCCTTCAACAGTTCTTTAATTCGTGTTAATAATCTGTGGTTTAATATACGAGAGTCTTTTTAGGTAATTACTTAGTTGGCCAAATGTTCCTTCAAAGTTTTTAGCTGCTATGTTTTTATCCTCACTCACTTTGATGGCCATTTCCCAGTGAATTTTTCTAGATAGTGCTAAATGTCCCTTTACCCGATCAGTGATATAAAATACCACTCCGAGTTCCAAAAGTCAAGAGTACAAAACCTTTCTTGTGAAATGATTTGTATCGGAAGTACAAGAATGAGGCTGCTTTTCGTCTCAGCACCTTTCAGAGGCTACCCACGAACACTGACCCGTTTTCGCAGAGAGTCTTTAGGCATCTTGGAAACGGCCTTATATGAGTATCACATCCATGAATTATCGGAATGAATTGGTTGCAATACTCACTATCAGTGTGGAATATGATGGTGTCTTGAAGTATCGCTGGTCTTTGTGGATGCCAAGCATAAACCCAATTTGGAGGACTATCACCATTACCCAACAAAATGTGGAGACTCCTGCGAAAAACGTTGCTCGACCATCCATACCGAAAGTACGGTTTGAGTAAACAATACCACATGCCGAGGCGATTAACAAGAGGATCTGTGTAAGAGGACAAGGTAAGCTCGTGAACAATGATTATGACCATCACTATTTGATCGTTGGTACAAAGCTGGAGAAGGGCAAGAGCACCACAAGTGGTGTTCCAACAAGGCTTCCTAATGAATTCTTACATAGAAAGAGAGTATCTCGATGCGCTACCTTAACCTATAAGGATCCATGTGATACTCGTCAACATTACATTTGTAGGTCAAATGCATTTCATTGCATACATCATTAAAGAAAAAACTATCTTAACATTAATTTTCCAAAATGTTAGGAAGTGATTGATTTAAAAGTTTGGAAATAACATAAAAATGTGTTGGCTGAGAATACTAGGAAGACATCGAGCAAAGTTTTAAATCAAAACCCCTGCTAATCCGATATCATTCGTTAAAACCCCTTCATATCCTTTAACTACTTACAAACTCAAAAATTCTCGAGCCACCCAGCATTGTTTTCAGGTAGGTTCTGTCCATCCGCCCTGCCTGGCCTGGAACGGATTGGACAGGTTGTCCAGTGGGGACATAGCCTTGTTGTCCAGTGGGGACATAGCCTTGTTGTCCAGTGGGGACATAGCCTTGTTGTCCAGTGGGGACATAGCCTTGTTGTCCAGTGGGGACATAGCCTTGTTGTCCAGTGGGGACATAGCCTTGTTGTCCAGTGGGGACATAGCCTTGTTGTCCAGTGGGGACATAGCCTTGTTGTCCAGTGGGGACATAGCCTTGTTGTCCAGTGGGGACATAGCCTTGTTGTCCAGTGGGGACATAGCCTTGTTGTCCAGTGGGGACATTACCTTGTTGTCCAGTGGGGACATAGCCTTGTTGCCCCATGGGTGACTGTGCTTCAGATACTGCCTGTGGCTGATCAGAAGATATCTGCTGCATGACTGTCTAACTGGTCTGTCCTTGGGTTAGACGTTTGACCTCCCACCTGTGATTGTTGAAATGACGAATTATTGCCTGAGCTAAGCTAATGTTTCCTGTGGTCACGTGACTCTGCTTTGTCTATTAACTCTTTTAATACTCTCAAAAGATATTTCGATATAAGTTACATTAGTTGGTTGAATGGTAGCAAAAAGATATTTAAACTTTTTAAATTAAATAGCCTCAAAAGCAATTTATATTTTATTATCTTTTCAATTATTTCCTTAAAGATTTTATCAAACAAAGTCAAATTAATGATTATTTAAGGTAAACAGGTTACCACAGAGACACCCCAGTCTCTCAAAAGCACCCTTAGCTGCTGAGGTTTCATTTATAAAATCATATTAACTTGCGTTCTATGGTGGAAAAATGATTAGGTTGGATAGAAACTGCGGATTCATATGATACCATTAAACATTTAAAAGTACATGTTTTTTTGAGCCACAAAACTCGAAGTCCTAATATGTCTGCTTGATGATGAAGTAGCATTTGTGCATGTCTAGAATTTAATATTCGCGGTGTTATTAAAATTTGCGGAACGATTTCAGATTGTTGCCGAATAACGTATATTACAGTTAACTCTCGCCCATTTGAGACCATGCTGTCACGTACCTCCTTAATAAGAGTAATTATTATACGAACTTAACCTTCGTGTCAAATCCAAATGGAACGAAGGAGATGTCTACAAGTTCCAGGAAATTGGAGATACTTCATGCAGTCGAAAACGTAAAATTTCATTGTTTTACATTTGTTGTTCAAATTAAATTGCTCACTTTGCTGTTGGTGGGTTGATTTGCTGCGAAGATCACCTCTTTATGACACAAAAACCTGATCTCCAGCTCTAGACCGACCAACATGCCAACTAACGAAGAAACGATGTTCTGAAAGGGATCAGTTGTAGTAGATCCGAAATAGTATAATTGCATTGCACCCGTTTATCCTTTTATCCTGTTAACTGCGGGATCTCGCAGCCATGGACATAAAAATGAATGAGGCTCCATTTTAGACTCCTTGCCTAGAGGTTTTTAAAAAAAAACGAGTTGACTTTCCTTGATATGGAGGATATATAGCATGTCTGCCAGCGCGTGATCTTTGAAGCATGCCATGATCCGAATTGGAGTAGATTTCCTTTTGGCGAAAAAAATTTGCATTTCTTTCTTTTGTACGAGAAATTCTGCTTCATTGATTTGAATAACACTCCGTTCGTGTTCACCTATGGAATGCAAATCATTAGATTCATTGCCTCCTTTGTGAGAGTCTAAAATTCGAAATTATAAGGTCGTTTTTACAATTTCAATGCTACTAGTACTTAGTTTAAAGACGTACCTTCGTTTTCTGAGTGTTTTGAGGCCCTTAAAATATCCTCTTGCTTCGGACACAAACTGTAGATTCGCAATGATCGTTATTTCATCGACTTTCTGCGAAGAAACTCGATACTTGAATAAGACACTTAAGCGGTTTCTTAGAAAGATTGAAAGAGGAGCTGTAAGCTTGTTTACGTGACAACCCAAACATTTAAAAAATGAGTGACACCCAGCTCTCCACAAATATGACTCCAGTTACCATCTGCACATATGCGGAGATTATTTCGCTGATTTTCTGCGAAGGAACTCGATACTTAACTGAAGAAGTTACATGGGCGATAGGTTTCCTAGGAAGATAATGAAGACAAGTTTTGAGGCTGTTTACGCAGTTACCCAAACATTCGAAGAAAAATGACGTTCGAGCGGTTCGGTTGCTTTTTCCGAGAACGTGAATTCTAATTGTGGTCGTATACCTAGAATAAAACAGGCATGAGCTTGTTTAGAGGAACTGTTATCGTTTTGTCCTGATTCGGAGAAATAAAGAAGTGTTTTCTCACAGTATCTTCCATTGAAGCGGTTAATCGCGCGCCCTTATTATGTATGTAATCGTGTTCAATTTCAAATTCAAAGACGCTTACCTAGTAGTCATAAGAAAAAAAAACTTATTGACCGAGCCTAAGAGAGGATTAAATGCTTATTAACTGAGCTTGGTCAGGCTGGACGGGACAATATTTGGCTTTCCGTCATGACGCACAGACCTCACTGAAATCGGTCATCATGACCTCGAGCCAAATATTTTGCTATCCGGCCCTACCACTCAGTCAATAATTAAATACATTAAACCATCTCAGAGGGACGTGTTTTACTAAGTTAAGATTGGTTGGAGAGAGTTTCACTGAGAGTGGGCCGATCATCATGACCAATCAAAGAGTGAAGGAGAGCAAACCCAAGTTAATCGCGGATTGCAATCGACATTCAACTGAAAGCTGCCGCGAGCGCGAAATCGAGATTCTCAGTAAATAAACTCAGAGCTTCGATCATTTATCGACGGTGATTTCGTGGAATGCAAAGAGATGGAACTAACTAAAATTACCGTCGATATTTAATACTCTGTTTAAAAGCATAATACATGTTTATAAATCCTACCTAGCTTAGTTGTGGCTCAATATACTGCCAAATATTAGTATTCCTTAAGACAGCACGCAGACATTGTTAAATAATCACATAATATTTTCCTTGACATTTTTGCTTTTCTTTATCACTGACCACAATAGGGAAATGAGATTCCCCGGCGAACACAAATAATTTTTCTCCACGGTGACCTAACTTATTTGCGCTTTTTCTACAAAGCATATCATCTCGAGTTGTGATACTATATCAGCAAACCAAACGGCAATCGAAGACTTAACTAGAAGCGACCCTTGTCTCGTCACTACGCCAAAATCAGTTACCTTAGTTCTAAATTTTGCAAAATTGCTCTGCGCATATTAAAGAAGACTTCGCTTTACAAAGCACGTTGTTACATTTCATTTTTCATTTTCTCCATTCTGTGCTTGCAAACCGTAGGCAGGAACTCCTGCCATCACAGGGTGTTGTCCCGGATACTGGACGGGCTGATGTCCCGGATACTGGACGGGCTGTTGTCCCGGATACTGAACGGGCTGTTGTCCCGGATACTGGACGGGCTGTTGTCCCTGATATTGGACGGGTTGTTGTCCCGGATATTGGACGGGCTGTTGTCCTGGATAAGCAGCTGGTTGATAAGGAACTTGTTTAGCGCCTTGTGGGACAATCACGACGGCAGGATGTTGGACGACACCCGACTGTGCCGAGGAGCCAGCCTCCTGCGCTCTTTGCTGCTGGTACAACTTGTACATAAGGATGATATCTACAATCACAATTATCCACGAGATGTACCCCAGCGGCTGTCAAGTCAAAATCGGTGTACTCTCATTATTCAGTGTTTCGCGTTCATCAGCTCAAAATTGTTGATGAATACGATCGAATCATATACAAATGAATCAAAAGAATTTTACTTTCGACTGTTGATGAAACCACATTAAAGGTCGTTGGTCACAGGTCGTTCTGCTAGGGCGGAGGAGGGAATTTAAACTTTATTGAATCAGTGTGCAAACACACAAACATTACTTACCGCTGCTATAATCAGAGCTAATATATTAGCCCTGTTATTCGTGCTCACATATTTGAAAGTCTTTGCCCGGTCGATGACAGGCTTAGTTAGGGTTCCGCAGCAAGCGATCAACAAAATGGCGACAAGGAGGTAAACACATAAAGTCTGAAAATATCAAAGATATAAACAAACATTTCAACAATCAATCTCTCATTTCCTTAGTCGAGTTAATAAATCACCTACAGACTAAATACATAAAAATAGATTAAACAGGGCAACACAACCAATGCGAAGCACACGGTTTGTAGTTAAACTAATAGACAGGAGAGACCAACCTGAGAGAGAGAGCAACACTTTTCTCCACCCTCGATACGAACATTAGTCCTAAGGTTAATTTTCCATAGTCAAGTGTTTGGAGACTATCGTGATATTGCGTTACGTTCTCATTGCACGTGGCCTTGCGCGTGCACTTAATCCATCAGCCAATCCTGTGCAATTTTGTATGATTACATAACAATAGTCCGAGCAGTTGAATTGTAGAATATTTTCGTGAGCATTCGAGATGGAGAAACCATGCAGTAAATCATCTGGGAACTTTACTGAGTTCAAAGTCTTCTAAGTAACGTGACAGAGATCCAAGAAGTATCTTGTAATAAAAAATTGTACCGCAAATTTTGCTCAGGCGCCTACCCGTGCGGCGGTCTTCGCTGAAACATTCAGCCAACGCGTGGGGAACAAGCGACAATTACGCGTAATCACGAAATAGTGTGGATTCTGAGAAGGGAGCCTCGACAATTTTTGAACGATGTTTTACCCGGCGTGCCTAACATACCTGTTTTATGTACACGTCGGTTGTCGGTTAGAATTTCATTACGGGGAGGACAGATTCATTTGTCTAAAAAATAACTTGGGCAAGACTGCCTTTGGATTAAGGTATATAGGTTACTCCGTCTCCCAGCTTGATAACCTTGATAAGGATAATTATCAGCTAATATCTATTAAAAAGAAATATATCACTTACTGTCAATGTCCATCGGGAGGAGAGGCCACATAGCTTATCAAAGCTCAACACAAATGTCAGAGTCAAAAGAACAGCCATCACCCAGGAAAAGATGGTGACTCCCTTAAAAAAATCGGCCTTTGAATCCTCAGTCATAATCCAGTAAATATCCATGTCAAAGTATATGACAATGCACACCCATGCCGCAAACAGGAACATCTGAAAATATGTGTAAAATGTTGATGAAGGTCGATGTTACTAAGATTATGTAAAACAAAAGGATTTTCAACTGACCATTTCGCTATGGAAATATTTGCATGTTTTTTTAAAAACAATTCCAAAGTGGCATAACTGTAGTTCAAATTTTGTTGCTGCAGTGACTATCTTACAATGTAATACCCTTTACAGAGTGTTGCCTCAACAAGGTTGCTGTTAAGGTTTTTATTTGCTATATCCTACGATAATTAGATTTATAAGATTCCAAAGTTCTAACTCGTCAAAAAGAAACTATCCGTTCTCGTGGAAAACAACTTCTCTCGAAGGCTTAAACTCAATTCTGGTATATGAACGCTATGCGTGTGTCAATAAACACGCCCTTTGATAAGATAAGCAGTATTTGGTTTCAAGCTAGGTTCTAATTAAAAAAATAACATAAATGTTCGCAGTGTTGAGTTCTTAAGGTTCGCAAGGTTCAATTCTTAAGGTTTGCAAGGTTCAGTTCTGAGATTCGTGTTCCGTTTCTTCACAGTTACGTTGAAAGGTATGGATTAAACGTGGACACTGAAAATCTACATATACAACATCACCGATCAATGCTGTTAGCTGTTCACAGCATTTAGGGGGATACTAGGCATCGATATGCACAATAACCCAACCGCAAGGCAAGTGCACTCCATCGCGTCCAACCCAAACCAAAAACTTCGAAGTAACATCTGAATCGGCGGGGTGAAATATGTTAACTTTGATCGCAATAGTGTAAGTTTAATATAAAATTTTACAGGGTTACATCGTACCCTCTGGCCTTTCGGTTAGGACTTTGATTAACATCAAACTTAACAAAACAAAATACAGTGATTGAGCAAAGTACGTTGAACTTCACCGGGTGATGTTAAGATCTCTGATTTTTTAGTTATTGGTCCCTTGTGAAATCATTATCGTAGACGATAATAAAAACTTACAATTTCCACTAATTTCACTTTGAACGTCGTAGACTGTAAGAAGTCGTTATTGATATCCCAAGCTCGTCTTTGGGGAGGTCCCTGCGATTGTTCAGTGGGTGTCTCTTGAGCTCGTTGCGTCTGAAACAGCTTGTAGTGCAACACCATATCCACGCCAAATGCCCCACACGATAAGAATCCAAACCCCTACCAGAGAGCAGATTTAGAAATATGGTATACTTTCTGGCTATCAAGGATTGAGAAACGTCCCACCAACCTAAATACCCACTGCAAAGGGTTAGTAATTCCAGCCTTAACTAAAGTTTCCCTAAGAGTCTGCCGGTACCTAACCTCCCCCCCCCCCCCCCCCCCCCCCGAGGGTAGAAAGAGGCAATGTGAGAGTAAAATGTCGCGCCAAAGAATAGAACACAGTCAGGACTCAAACCCAGACCCCCTGATGTGTAGTCCAGTAGGCTAGCCCAGAGGCCATCTTGTTGTTGACGTGAAGTATCCATACTTTAATCGGGGTAGAAATTTACAAACGTACATTTCTGTCAACGCTACCGGGTTAAAAATTCACCTCTGATTCGCGTCTACGAACCAATTCACACTTTTTCGAAACTTACATTCCGATAAACAGAGTTCTGTGTACAAGTTCGTGCGTAAGGTATATCATTTGTGATTTGCCGTCGTAAAAAATGAGCGTGCCCCGAAATTTCCACATAATTCATAGTAATCAACGTCATTCTTCTACACCCTACGGCGTATGCGTTCCTTCTTGGTTACTTCAACCGACTGAGAGTTTGTTCTATCTCACCAAAATTGGAATTAAAGCAATCCAGTATATCGCGATAAACAATTGTCAATGTCACGAACAACCGCCTAACTTAGAGTTCTGAATTCCGCGCCGAAGCGAAACAAAAAAAAAAAGATTACATACCAGTCCTATAAACAGAGCTAGTACATTGGACTTGTAATCTGTACTCCCATTTTTGTAATCCTTTCCAAAGCTGACAACCTCAGGAGTCAGATTCCCACAGCAAGCAATTATCAACGAAAACAAGACAAATCCAATGATCAAAGCCTACGGAGAAAAGATAAAAAAAATTAAACCGAGATTGAATAAAGTTCGCCCCTTCATCCCAGGCTCAATATCAGAACATTTAAGACAAGGTTTCCTCATAGGAGTTGACGAAACCCAAGGAGCATAAAATTTATGCCATGTAAAAGTGCTGATCTATGCAAAAAAAATTTGGCTGTAAAGGTTACACGTGGACAAAAAAAAAATATGGTAAACTTAATAAGAAGGTTTTAATCATGTCACTGTTTGTGGACGAGGATCTTGAGAAAATTGACATTTTTCAAGTCTCACTGTTATTTACTTTTTAGTTTCGTCTTTCAAAGGCATACTCGTCCCTAATATGATCGCCTCTTTCTACCCATAGAGAACTCAAGTGCGGCCTTTTTAACCCTTTAACTCCCAAGATCTGATTGTTAATTCTCCCCTCTAGCTGCTACACATTTCCTTGTAAATTGCTTACGAAAATTTGGTGTTCAATCAAGGTAATATCTTGTACCTGATGAGTTTAAGTATTCTCATTACCTGTTTGCTGATGTATGGATGTTATAGGGAGAAGTTACATGTTCATCACTTCTGAGAGTTAACGGGTTAAGACGAACGGGGTCATTTTTCTATCAAAGAGGTGGCCATGGGAAGAAAAAGGGGATCGTTACTTGCCGTCAATGTCCAGCGTGAAGGCCGAGCACAAAGCTTGTCGAAACTCATCACAAATGTCAACGTCACAAGAACAGTCATCACCCAGGAAAAGATTGTGATTCCTCTAAAGAATTCTGCTGCCGGTTCTTCGTGAGTCTTATTCTTATATTTGAAAATATTCATGTCAAAGTATTTCAGGACGCACACCCATGCCACAAAGAGCAGGAACTGAAAATGGATGAAAAATAGGGTAAGCTTTGGAGGAATTACTGATATTGATGTAAAGTAAGTGAGAATGATCTGAAATAGAGGAGAGGATTGGCCTACTAAACGTGAACTGTTGTTATAGAACTCTACACTCCACCGTTTGGAGGTCATCCTTCCAAAATTATCTCCACCCGCTCAAGCACTCATTGCCCGTTGAGTGAAGGTAGCACCACCTTACGTCCCAACCAATTTCCGTTATTCATTTTAATCGTTCTGTTTTAAAGTTACTAATCTGTCAAGTAAAAAGGCATCAAAGGCATGCATAACTGATTTTTGATCGTCGTGCTTATCAAATGGAAGACAGTTAATCGTCTTTCGGACTACAGCGGTACCCAGGAGTAGGACTTAAAGGAAAAAAAAACTATTCATTACAGAAAAAAAAACCTGTTGCCCCGTGATTCTTGACCGTCTATCCTAACTGAGCCGCTGGAGCCTATATAATCATCTTTTCACGGGCCTTCTGTATTCTCCAAGTTTAGAGCTCGAGTTCCCGCGTGAACGCAATAAAAGGCGCTGGAAATTTGACTAATGTAAACACAAGAGCTTAGGGGGGGGGGGTGGGGGAGAAAATGAAAAGACAAACCCTGCGCTCATCCTCACGTGCTCTTTCTGCGCTTCTTCGCTGATATTTAAAGAAGTAAAATAGCTTTACACAGATTTCTTCCACAAACACTCATAATTTACCAATTCCGCTAGTTTGACGAAAAAGTATTGTGACTGTAAATACTCCTTGTTGATATCCCAGGCCTGTCTTTGGGGAGATTCCTGCGCTTGTTCGGTTGGTGTCTCCTGAGCTCGCTGTGTCTGAAACAATTTGTACTGTAATACGATATCCAATGCAAACGCTATACATGACAAAAATCCAAAGACCTGCCAGGATTTAGAAAAGAGAAATTATATCTATATGGTTATTTCGACCGAGTGTCGGAGACCGAGCCGTACAAACCGATCAAAACAGAAGAAAACATCAAAAGAAGCTGATAAGAATTAAAGAAGGTAAAGAGTAAAGGAAACCGCCAGCAGGTAGCGGTTTTCGTTAAGATATAAATATGATTGGTTTATAGCGTTGACTAATCAGAGAGTGCAAAAGTCAAATAAGAAAAAATAAATTCATCAAACCCACGCTGCCTCGTCTATACAGAGGCATTATCTCAGATTTCCCTGAAATACTTCGGTTAAGCAACCAAGGACTGAAACAACCCACAATACCTTTCGGGGTTGTCGCGTGCACTGTTAGGCTTTTATCCGACAACCTTTCTCGAAACAGCTGTATACTTAAAGTAAAAGTCTTTCCAGAATAAGCTAAAGTGGGATTCGCCGCGTGAATATTCACCACGTATTGAAACTGATTTCAATTCAATTTGTTTCCCGTCCCTTTTTGTGTGTGTGTGTGTGTGTGTCACCTAAGTGTCCTCTTGTACAAGAGAGTCCAAAGCCTCAATTGATGTTTAATCCTGGTTCAGTACAATACGCCCATGGGGAATCGGAAATCATATTCATCTTCGGATATTTTACATTTTATTGTAGAACTTACCAGGGCAACACTAAGGGATACCACAAATGGTCTGTATGTGCTTGGCATAATTTTCTGGAGTTTTCCAAAGTCAACGGCCCTAGGGACCAAGTTTCCAGTACAGGCGAGCAGCAGCGAAAACATGATGAAATAAAAGACGAGAGACTGCAAAAGATAGAAAACATAATATATCCAAGAATAAGAAAAAGATAACCTTACAGGTTTAAATTAATAGAAAAATAAATGAACACATGAATGAGTGGATGAATGAATAATGAAAGACCAATAAGAAAGAATATATAAATTGATAACTAAATGATTGAAAGATCAATAGGCTAGTATCGAATTGTTTGTGCGAGAAAGTCTGGTAACTAGTTTTGAGCACCAGTCGGGGCTGAGGGGAATAGGAGTCGTCTCGACATGGCAGATTATGATGCTCTTTTCCCAAATATGAAAGTTCCTGAGCTAGCTACAGAAGTTTTCAAAGGAAAGGGATATTCAAATTTCTGTAAACGGTAAGAGGGCGGAAAGGGGCAGAACTGTTAGAGCTTTGTAAGAATGCGGACGAAGTGAAGGTTCCAAAAACTTGACAAGGAAACAGTGCAACGCGACGAGTTGATTACTTCCAAGATAGCACTACCAGGAGGAATTCCATCTACTTTCGCGTAAGTTTTGGACTCATGAATTCACCGGTATACAATCAATCAAAATCCGATGATACCGAAACAAAAGTTATTTAAATGAATCATAACTTACCACCAATGTAAGCCTAGACTCTCGACCACAACTACAAAGTTTGGTAAAGCTGAAAATATGAATGATCATGTAAAATATCACCATCAGCCAGCAAAAAATGGTAATACCCTTGAAGAAGTTGGCTTTTTCGTCTGGAACGCCAAGATCACCAGAGTACTTTACGATACTTGCCCAGGCCCCTAGGAGAACAACCTGCAAAACAGATATTTTATAATTCTCGGAGGAAATAGGTCATGACAAATGCATCAATTTTTTTTTGCAATGCGGCTTCATCTTCTCCATCCTTAATCATATCTTTTAGTCTTTTCTTGTCCCTTATTGTTTTTCTACCCTGACAAATGTTTTGTAAATAAAGGAGAAGTGTGGCCCGGGAACCCATTAATTTTCATTTCCGCCATGAAAAAAATGGAAACTCACTGCGGTTTATTCTCTGCAACTAACAAGCTAACCAATCGCAAACCGTTTCCAAATGTGCAAATGTTCGACTACGGAAGGCCGCCATTATGTAAATGCTCGGTAACCTGGCCGCAAAGAGAAGATGACAACACATGGTTCATGAACTGTTCCTACCCGGTTTATCGCAGAAAAGCCACTATTTGAGTCAAGAATGCCTTTATGTATAGCTCCGAATTAGTCCAGCAGATTTATAAGACTCATTACTGACTTGTGAGCGAGCAGGTTGCCAGGTAAGAATCAAAATAGAGGCGTTCTTGGCCTAAGTCTTAGCACATTGAAAGAAAAATTCGAACGGCTATTTTTATTTTTTTTAAATATCAAACTGCAGTCTGTGTCATAATCTCATAAATGAATTCTAATGGCAGAGGTAAAAATTGTATGGTTTCTGAAGACAAACTTTTCTTTTAAGGTTCTCTCTGGTTAACGACAACTACCATAACTGATACCCCATTCACACCAGCAAAACATGTTTTGTTAAACTGGTTTTCATTGAATGAAAATTATAAACAGAGCACTGAAAAACTTGATTTTCCATTGGATTCAAGTACTTGCTAACTTGCATTTCCAATGTGCTACATTCAAGTCAAAAATATTCGGTTAAATAGTTTCTAAAAAGAAAAAAAAAATTAAACTGTGTTTAACAAAACAACTTTTAAACATGTTTAAGCTTTGGTGTGAATGCGGCATGAGAAACAAAACAGTGCGACATAGTAATAAGACCTAACACTTAAGATTTGTGAACAATTAAGAAACCATACCATTGTTCTCTTAGGGTTGCATAAGCCGCGTAAACCTCAAATTTACACAAAATCGTGGGCACCAAAACCTTTTGTCTTTACATTAGAAAGCAGCAAAGTCAGTACTTACAAATTCCACTATCTTAATGTAGCAGAGAGGGGACTTGAGGAAATTGGTATCGATCGTAAGGTCTAGACCCTGTCCAGCCTGTGGTTGAGAATATACAGGTTGACCAGGTTGGCTTGGGACATTAACCGGTTGAACCGGTTGCATTAATTGACCTGGCTGAACTGGTTGTTGACCATAGTAATACTGAATAGGCTGCCCATCTGGTGTTGTTGCTGGGTGACCAGCAGGCATTTGCACAAAAACCGGTTGTTGTCCGGGTGGCATCTGGTACATGATTGGCTGTCCAGGGGTGGGAGCCATGATTGGCTGGCCGGGAGCCATCTGTTGATGAGATGTTACAGGCTGACCAGGGGGACCCTTCACCTGGGTTTCGTGCTTGACTGGAAGTTCGGCTGGACTTTCACCCTCCATCTACGATAACACAAGACGAGTGTCTAAATGCTAAAGAGGATTTCTGCACTTGAAAAATATTTCTGAACTAGCGATTTAATGTTAGAGACAAGCTCGGAAAACTCCTCCCCTATACTAAACTATACTTTGGAAAAATCAAAATAGATTTTGAATCGCTTGACATTTCTAAACAAACATCAGATAGCGTTAAAATTTTGAAAGAACCTTTTAGTGGAAATTCTCTGAAAATTTCTCCCTTCGGGGTATTTCAAAGTCAATTAAAGACCGTGCCTGGCGCACTGCGTTTCAAGACTAAATACACTTAATTTACAGGGGCGACGGCAGTTTGTGAGAGTTAAAGAAATATTATCAAATTTCCATTTCAACTGAAAAATAATTAGCTACAGCGACCACATACGTTTTCATGCTCTCTCCGCTACTATCACTTTCAGGATCGGATCATGTTAATGAATTAGATATTTTGCGTGACAAGCCAAAATAAAGTCTGCGTGACATAATTGAGCGTGGGCCAGTCACTAGAAGTTTTTTTCGCCCAAAAAACCTAACGGACCGGATCACGGTTCGGAAAAAAAAAAAGAGAGATTTGAGAAATAAACAATCTAAAGTTCGAGATCATTACGCGATGTCAATTTCACTAATCCCTTGGGCATGGAGTTTCCACTACATATTTCACGGTTGTTCAAACAAAACCTTGCGCTACCCTTAAATCAATACTACCCACATCCATTTCTAATAAGAAATGATGACTGATCTCTCGCCAAAATCGTTTTTCCTTGGACCTTGAAACAACTTTTTACCATACATTTCTTTCTAGCGAGTTGTAATTTTTGCCCTGTGGCAATCGCAGAACTATTTTCCGCAAACACAAGGCTTGATTACTAGCATCTCATTCATTAGAGAGGTTAAGTTACGACCAGCTAAGAAACAAGAGAAGTGAGTGTCGTATAGACAAAAGAAACTTAGCATATAATTTCGCAGCCGTTGAATTGCAAGCTATCAAGTTATCGTACACAGTAGTGAAAGCTCTTGAATACAGTTTCGAGAGCTCTCAAGCTCATTCTTGAAACAAAAACGGATCGTTCAACATCTAAACTGTTCTGATTGAGAGAAATTAAGTCTAACCGAAGCAGAATGCGCCATCGAATGGCGTATAAATCAACAGACTGTATCGAGCTTGTTTAAAAACGTTAGCTGTTTCCTAGATATTAAAGACAACACACCCTTTGAAAAGGTGATCACTTTACAACGCAAGTACCGATAATGAGAGGCAATCAAGGATTGCTTTAAAGGAAAATAAGTGAGGTAAAAACGCAAAAAATTCAGGCGGAAATTGTTAAAAAAAACGAGGTGTTGTTGTGATCTCATGGATGCAACAAATTTCGAATGCTGTGCGTTATCCTTACCTCACTTCAGCTATGATCCTTGCAATGATTTTTTTCTCCTGTCACCGCAAATCGAGAGGCACGATGTTGTGTTCTGTTGAATATTGTAAAACTTCGACACGCCAGCTGAATACTCAAGCTAACATATAGCCGTGGGTGTTGTCTAGACGTCACGTACGTTTCTCGGAATCTCCGGAACCAAATCAAATCAGCAAGCGATTGACTGAAACGTCATGATCAAGTGCTTAGTAAACCGGAAGTAGTTTTATCAGAGGTATGTTAGCTCACTTCCGCTCAGTACGTTACAGAACGAGCGGGGGTCTTAATTTACCAGAAATTAGTGTAACCTTGCCAAATAATCCTTAACCTATCCATACTTTTGCAGCTCAGAAGAGAAGAGCTGTTTTGAAAGTCGTCCAGGTCCTTGTCTAATTATTATGTCTTGTGCTTCTGTTTCCGTTTTTCTCCGAATCAGTGCGTGACTGAATGAAATGCCTCAAACGGAAATGACACAACTGGCCTATTGAAAGACTCATTTGAGCTCTGAAACGCAAGAAAAAAAAAGAGGAAACATTTTCTGTATCGTCTAGTAACCACTAGTGGTTTAAAAGGAAAAAGTAGGGCACATTTCGCAGAGATCTCATGCTGGTTTTTTCCAACGCCCATAAATAAAGACATGTCACATAGTTTCAAGCAAATCTGATTGATCTTACAATATCTAACAACGCTCGTAATGTACTTCGTAAAACTCGAATCAATAACGCGTTACCATATCATTTTATGTTAAATCCATCACTTCGTGTTAAGGTCAGCTTTTCTTTTTTTACGTTGAATTCTGGACACAAGTTTTGCTTTCGGTAGGCAAGCGTTTGCTTCATAAACATTTCTACTGTTGCGTCACGAAAATAAAATCTGGTGTGCCTAGACTGCCTGTGACAAAACAAACAAATAACAGAGTATCTTGCACAACCCAGTGTTGTTGCGTGGGGAGTTTAAATCAACTCTGACCCCGAGATGTACAAAAATGGTCGCGCTAGGGAGCCTGACGTTCAAGAGGAAAATCGATACTGAAACCGTCTGGATCCACAAGTCATTTCTATATCTCATGATCTCATCAGTAAATTACTCAACGTATACTCAATATGCTACTCGGCTGACTCGTTCCCGGACAGTCTGCTGCGTGTACCTTTGCACTTCGAAAAGTGTTTCTCGTTAAATCACTTGAATCAGATCATGCATAAAACTTTCCACTACGCTTTCCAATACGAGAATTACTTCTGAACTATTCCCCCCTGAGTGGTCAGTTATCGGAAACACAAAATCAAATCTTGAAGGAGGTTGTAGTCGCTAAGGAAGTCAAAACCGCGTTCGTTTATTACCGTCTAGACCCTAAGTTTAAGAGACAGTATGTCTGTGTGTACGACTTTTTTTCCTTAATAGAATTTTAGGAGGAAACTACGGAATCCGAGTTGGCTCAGTCACTATTCAAGTTTTTTTATTTTTATAGACAGAACGGTTGCAAAATTGTCGCTTAAGAGCAGTGGTCGAGTAATAGAGTTGTTGTCGTTTACTGTCACATTCCACACATGAAAGGCTTCAAAATAATCAGTAAAATGACATGTATGAGTAAAGACATATGAAGAATACAGTGAGAAGCAGAAGATAAAAAATGCGTTATTAAATGAGCCAGAATGAAATTTACGGAATTAAAAGTACCACGATTTCCACTGATCTTAAAACATGGCGACATTGGTGATAGATTCTCTTGTAGATATAGAGAAAGCAACAGTTGTATTTTCTATGAAGCAGTCAAAGTTTTTCCTTTCCTTTCTACCATCAGGTTGTGGTAAACTCTGTGTTTTATTACGTGTTAAGCTCCCAATCTTAGTTCCTTTTTCGTAGTTGTCTGATTAAGGAACTACCAAAGTATTTAATTTTCCGATATAATATTTGACATCGTTTACTAAGGTGGATAAACTCAAAAGAGATAAGAAAAATCACAAGCAGGCAAAGCAAAGGAGTAGGAACCTCTCGCTAAATACATGAACGACTAAATTATTGACATATTTATTTCACCGATTTCTTTTTTCCTTCCTCTCCTAAAACCAGTCTTTCAGCATGATTGTCATGCCTTCTGTAGCGTGTTATTTTTTTTAGTAATTCCTTTATTTATCTATTTGTCTTGCCCTCTAATTGTAATTGTGATTAAGCGCTTGAAGTTTCCCTCCTTTCTTTTCTCTTTTGACACTTATTACCATGGCTAACAACAGTATGCATGTTTTCCATACTGTTCTTTATTCCTTTTGAGCTGACTGGAGAAAGTTGCATGTTCAAGAGCTTCTTTAGTTGGTGATCATTCCCTTTACTCCTGTGATCTTAATGTTTGATTTAACCCTTTAACTTCCGGGTCAAACTTATCATTCTCTTGACTGCCAACCATGCAATTCTTATAATGTTAGAAATTAGATGCTAAACACTTGTAGGGCTGAAGCCGGACTTATGACATAATAGATAACAACGTACTTTTTGGTTCATTCGCACAGAACGTTTGTTCGTGTTCCCTGAAGAGCTTTTATTTGGTCTCCTGTTCCGTGACGAGACAAAACAACAGCTACGAAAAAAGGCACTACCTTTGTTGCGGGCTAATATTTAATAGGTTTTACCTAATAAAGGACCATAAGTAGGAATAATGAAGATCTGAGACACATCCAGAAACGGCTATCTCGGTACCTTGAAAACCTTCCCAAAATCACTCTTGTTACTTCTTTTACATCTGGATAGGAAGCGTTCACTGATGTGACAGTATCGATAACGAAATAAATCGAGGAAATAAGAGAAAATCAAGCGTCTTTAAGGTGGTCCAAGTCTATAAAGCGATTTGCACTTGCGTCTTTCCAGTAATTTTAAGGATGTTCACAACAGCATCTCCAATGAACACAAACATGGCAATAAATCCAAACGCCTTTAACGGAAAAAGTGTGAAATCGGAGTAAATTTCAGCGGAATAATGAATCCTAGTCATCTTTTTCTGTGTTAAAGACACAGATCGTCTCTGAATACTTAACTCCTTTAAACCCTAAAATCAGTATCCATATTCTCCACACTACTCTTTATACATTTCCTATAATGCTGACAGGGAGAATTCGTTTAAAAAATCAAAATACTCTTTTATTGGTGATCATTTCCTTTATTCTCTTGACCTTAACGTGTGATTCAGAAGTGATATTATAGGGAGAAATTTGATGCTTGTCACTCTTAGGGTTTAAAGGGTTAAAAGGCCCTTAAAACACCAGTAGGTGTCATGGCTGACCAGCTAGCCGGCCTTCATTATTAACGCTGCAGGACGCGCGTTTCCACGCTCGTTGAAAGATTTGAGACGAGCCGGGGAGAGATTTGCCAGGCGTCTGACACTGATATTGTGTGCCAGACTCCTTGCAGATCCCTCAATTGCTAGCATTGCTCAAGGTCTCATACATATCCCCAAGGAAAAAAACTCTTGTGCCGAAACGCTGCACAAAGAGGGCGTGTGCTCGCAGGCAGTTGAACTTTACTTAAGACATACCACAGCAGTGCGTAACGGGCCCAAAAAAGGAAGAGAGTAACCAGACTTTTCTTCTATCTTTCTGACATCATCAGCCAACAACGCCGAACTGATCAGCAAAAGAAAAGCCACAACAGCAGCAAATATCAGGAGCTGGAAAGGAGAGCAGAGGACTTCATACAGATGATGAACTAACTTAAACCTTTAACCTGATTTACGTCGATAAACTGATTCATTTTTCCTTAATTAAGTAGATTTGTGACGAGACAGCGTAACTGTCCTGTTGGCTGTAATCGGCCATTGACATCAGCCAATTAGACTGGGCACACCTAAATGAATTCTTAATCAGAGGATTGACTCTGTTCAGAACCGCTTTAAATCATCCATGAATTAAGGAGTCATCGAATGGTATGCAAAGTTTTTTTTTCAAATTTGCAGAGGGTTGTGTCTACTGATTGCAATTCAATGATTTAGTAGTTGCTTTTGAGCTTCAGACTAAAGAGAAAAAAATTGGATGTTTTGGGGGGCTGCAGTGTTGCCTTGACAACTTTGCAAACTGTTGAAGTTGCGTTACTTTTTTTATGGAGTTTAGTCAGTTGTTTTAGAGCTTTCATTGGCGTAAATTTGTTACCCCTTTGTTTGGAATTTGAAGAAGATTCGGAGTTTTTATTTTAGCCAAATGCTGTGGTTCATTTAACAGGTTTAAGATATATTTTTAACGGAGTTTGGACTCTAGCCTCTTTTTCCGTAAATTGATTTTCAAGACCTTCTATCGACTGGAGCTTGATGAAAAAAAAAATCTTTTACCGTAATATTCCAGTTAATGTTGAGGTTGATCTTTGTGTGCAAATTGAAGGTGAACAGCACAAACCAGGCGATTACAAGAAGCCATGAAGTAATGGTAACAAAAAGGAAAAAACTCATGCGTCCCCAGTTTGCGACGTTTATGTCAGCGGCGATAGAAAACGCTAGCAACAACAGGATCTGTGGAGAAGACGATAAGAAAAGTTACATTACTCTTGATTAATACATATCGCTTTTCAAATATATTCGGTAACTCAAAACTATAATAACCTAGAGGACAAATGAGATCAATGCAAAATTACTTTAAAAAAAGAGAATTTTGAGTAAAAACGTGTAAACAGTGTTGAACCCATAAAATACAAGTGACTGAGTCACAAAGTTGTTTTCTTTATCTTTCTGATTGTACTGGAAGAAATTAAAATTATAGTGGTGCGTGTTTCCTCGGCCAATCGCAAGACGTGATAGAGAAAAACCATGGACAGTCGATCATAATTGCCCTGCTTCGATTGATTTGAACATAATCAGCTGACAAATTTTTGTCGAAACCTAAAACAATTGAAATTCAGCGGCCTTTATTTTTTTTCTGTCGACTGTTTTACAGTCGTCTGACATATTACATTCGAGCAAGGGGAAAGAATAGGAAAATCATTTTTTCTTGATTCGAGATGATAGAAGGGGGGAGAGGGGAGTTGATCCTGTGCCTTTTCCAGGCATTTACAAAGTGGGACAGCGAATGAGAAAAAACGGCGATTATCAAGAAAAGGTTTTCATGCACCTGCTCTCTTCCACCGACCGAGAGCCTCGCGCAAGCTAGAGGAATACAGATTTTACACCATAATTTAAATGTGCGCAAATCACACCGTTTGCCTTAGACTACTGAGATGAATTTCCCATTGAGTGTGAAAAGGGTAAAGGATTGCTGTGATTTTTGCTTTTCATCGGTCTGTGATTGGTTTAGAAAATTCCAACCATTTCTCAACCAATTAGATGTATACTAATAGGAAGATCAATCGAGACTTAAGTTGCTCGCGTTTTCCCGCGCTTCAGGCAGTTCAAATTTTCTTTCTTGACGTTGAGTTCTCTCTCTATTTATAGATTAGTTTTTGTGAATACTTTCTTTTGGTTTTATGACAGTCAATGGAAATGCACTTAAGTGGAACTGTAAGGAGCGAAGCACTATGCGCCAAATAAAAAAAAAGTACCAAAAGTATCAGAACATCTTATCCACAAATAGTACGTACAAATTCCACGATCTTCAATACTCCAGGAATTGACACGACGTAAGCTTTGTTAAAAGTTATTGTAATGGACACACCAGCTCCACCTGCATTCCCTCCTCCAGAACTGTCCATAATGGCCGCATTAGGTCTGGATACAGCCTCTTTGTCCTCTGGGTTTGACATCTTTAAAATTGACTTCTAATAAATTGTAAAATAAACATTATAGAAATATATCTAGATAAGTCGAGATCTACCAATTTGCACAAGAAAGAAAGGCTAGTCTAGAGCGCATCTCAGCCAGTAGTCACCACTGATGCATATGAGATGAAATACGACTGAGCATGTCTCCCTACACTTCATGTAACAAGCCTGAATTATTTTGGTAGAATCAACCTCTCCTCGACGTTCGATTGTCACCTATTCCTATATGCAGAAAAGCTGTCTTAAGTAAGTCACCAATGCTGCACTCATTATGGAGTTTTTTGTTTAGGCGATAATTTGCGGACACGTCGGATCAATTACGCTGTTGGTACCCCAAGTGGCATATTTTTATCCATCAGATCTGTGTTTTTACTCGGCTTGAGAGACTTAAAGAGTAAAAATCAAAGCCAACGTTATTAAGCTTAAATTATTCTTAGTTTAAATAAATTGTCATAATTCTGTAACTGTACACTTTTGGCTACCGCGAAAAATTAGCATAATAGTTCCTTCGCACTCTAGATCTCCATTTGAGGCTAAAATGGTGGGTAACAACAAAAAATAATAATTAAAAGAGAAAGGGAAGAGTTAGTTCAGAAAATTAACAGTATAAAACAAATTTACGTCCTAAATCTGTAAAGTATTTTTTGGAAACTACTGTAGTAGCGGCTGAATGTGATCGTCGTTTCGGTAGCGAACACAATCGACGGAGTGTCGCGTTTGTTCTTTCTTCTACATAACCACCATTTGCTTCCTGTTTGGCTTCTATACTTAATAAATCAAAATAGAGAAAGCAGTAGAAATTTTTAAGCGACTCACTGATTCGTTGGGCTATCTGAGACCAGACAGTAGCCACGTATAAACCTTTGTGGTAAACGAACATATTCACAAATATAAACTGTAGTGCAAATGTTTTTTGTAGTTTTACAGATACGCCATATTGTCGCTTGGTACACCATAGTACATCTGTCTCAATCATTTTACTTTTTCTGAGAGTTTCTGCTAAATTTCCTCAAAAATGGATGATTTTTAACTTCATTCGGTTACCTTTAAGGTAAACGTTTCACGTTTGATTCGGTTCAGCGGGAATCTATCTAATGTACCATGGTTAAATAATCCAATCGGTCTCAGAGCGACGGCCCAAAAGGTTTAAATTGCTCTCAATAACTAAGCAGACCGCGCCAATTTCGAGGAAACAGAAGACACGCTGAATTGCGAAGCAACTCGATTTACAAAATGCGCGAATTCAAAATTGAGCACCCTCCATGAAGCTATCGAAGCTTGCATTTTAAGCAATATTATTCACGCTTTAATACACTACCTTGATCTTACCAGTACAGTTTCAATTTCCTTTCTATCCTTTGATGGGTAGCTGACCAAAAACAAGACCCCAAGCGAAATACTGCTTCGTGATTGCCAAACAAGAATGACTCGATATTTACTGTAGTAACTATAACAACTTTTAAATACAACGCAGAGGTCGCGTTAACGGAAACTTGACACCTAAACGCTAAAATTATATGCAATGAATTAAATAGAGACGATTTTAATTCACATCTCAAAGTGAGCCCGCAGAACTCTAAGATTTTTCAACTGAAACTTGTCTTTTAAACCTGAAATGCTTACTCCGCGAGAAAATGTGCCTTCAGTCGATGGGCGCTGAAATAAACAAAAATGGACATTTCTTATTGTGTTAATAAATTAACTTCCTAACGATTATGTTTGCAAATGTAAGCTCAACTGGGATGTTAATTCATAATCTGCAACCAAAGCGAACTCAGTCAATCGTGGAGTGAATCCACTTTGGCTGACACAGAATGTATTACTTCTATTACAAGCCACTTTAAATCATAAGCTACGCCACATTAATTATCTTAATTTGTTATTGTTCAAAGATAATTCAGGACCTGCTAACTTGACTAACAATACTGGTTTGCACCTAAAGAAAAGAATCAAATATTTCCTGCAATATGATGAAATTTCTCAAACTTATAATGCCATTTATTTTTTTGTCATATATATTTCAACTTAAAAAGAGAACGATCTCAATTCTAAAACTTTTCGGTGTTAAGGCTAATAGATCTTCCAGGTCGGGTTGTCGTGGTAATTGGATCACTGTTAGTTTGTTGACGCACTAGGATCGTGATAGCACGAGTTTGAGTGAAGTGAAATTTGGAGCAAAAGAAGCAGAGGTAATTTTTTTTCTGGGCTTACAAAACTTCACAAGTCTCTGAGAGCAATGTGCATAAATTTACAAGCACGTGTATCGATAGATGTCAAACTTTTGATTTGGAAAGTTTCAAGTCAAATCCATTCTATTTTAATAACTCAATCCCTAGCTGCGTTCCAGGATGGCTTGGTTTTCCTCAGTCAAGGTGTTTCCTAATGCGGTAGTTTGTCCTATTTCTGTTTCAATGGCTGAAACGCACAACTACTTTCAAAGTCGTTAGCTTACATGGCACACTTCCAATCAACAAAACGTGGCTGGCCATCTAAGACTACTGGACCAACTGGTTTTCCTAGGTTCAAACCGCTCAGCATACAAATAAAACAGAGTTGATGGAACATTTTCCCTTATTGACAAAGCTCAACAGATTATGTTTATATTCTTTTCCCAAGCTGCAATCAAACAGTTTCATTCTTTACAGGTGTTATTTACAGGTCTCCTCTACTTAGACAGTTCGCTGCGATTGTGTTGATTGACCCTGTCAGTGGATACACCTGTATCATTCATAACATGTACATATGCACTTTTAGATTTGGACAGCGGTTTTCCCCGATTGGAAAACGGAAATGCCTCGTTATCAGGCAATTTTTCTCAGCGGAGATTACTTTTGGAAGGAAAAAAAATCTCAGCTCATGAAAATAGGTTATTCATAAACATAGCCTCACCTTTGAAAAAAAAAACTCACCACCATTGATCTTACAACAGGCCCTGAGGGACAGCTGAGGGCGGGGGGCTGGAGGTTTTTTTTTTGGGGGGGGGGGAGCACATGGTTTTCAGGGAGAACGAAATGGGCATCAGTTGTTGCCAACAGAGTAAAAAGGTTGAGCTATAGAATATTGACAGCCAATGAACGAGGATTATAAGAACATTACAGAGCCTTATGGGACAAAACTAAGAAGTCGTGGTTCACACAAGGTTCAATTGAAGACACAATGAGCTCCACTCCTTAGACATAATTACGAGGAGTCAGAGAGATTTTAGCATAAAACTGCCATTAGTTATACCAGAGAAAATAAAGCATATATTTATGGAACTATTACAGCACATGTCAAGTTCCCTGGAGGTTTTAAGGCCTTATTAACGCGCTAAACGATGAGAAAATCTCTTTTTTTTCTTTCTTTCCACATGGGTTTGATTACAACTACTTGCATTAACTTAACTTTGCCAGGTGGGTTGGTTGTTTGATTGAGGTGAATTATAGCTTAAAGCACGATATCAATAAATTCTAAACTACTATGCTAATGACTGGTATAAAAATTAGCAGGAAGCTGCCAAAGTCAGTGTTGCCGTTGTTCAATGCCCATTTCATAATAAGAGCATAATCATATGGAATATACTCGTTAGTGATTGGTTAAAAGTAGAATATACGCTCAGATTGTATCGCTACCTAAGAAATTATTTGAATGACTATAGCTAAATATACTTTTTTCCTGTAGTGCAGGCGTATAATTTGAGGTCTGGCATCGCAGCAAAGGCAGCATTTCTTAAGATTTCTCAGTCGTAGTTCTGATGCCGCTGAGGGTGGAAGAGACAGCAGGCTCTCGAAGCCCAAATCAAACATGGCGGCTAAGTGCACAATAGCGAGCTGTTTACGTTATAACTCGTTCTCTCAAACGTTACCCTTTCCAAAGATCTGATTGTAAATTCTTCCCTCTGGCTGCTCCACATTTCCTCGAAAATTCTTTGCGAGAATTTGGCTTAAGATCAAAAATAACTCACACTATCTAATAACTTTGGGTATTCTCATTACCTGTTTACTGGATAATCTATGGATATTGTAGGGAGAAGTTACATCTTAATCACTTCTAGGAGTTAAAGGGTTAAATATACGCATTCTCCCTGTCTATTTCTAGATTTGTTTCATTCGTTATAGATTAAATTCTAATTAACGGTGACCGAAATGGCTATCAAAAAATTTTAAACAAACTCGCAGGACTACACAGTTCATCAAAATGTGGGCGTTGGTTTACATCCTTCCAGTTCTCCTCAGGAAATAAACAACAGCATCTGCGATGAAGACGAACATGGAGATAAATCCAAAAGCCTGCGAAGAAAGACAATGCAAACATGTAAGTTGCCGTGGTATTTTTTTCGCAAGAAATTGGTCAAAAGATATTCGTTTTTCTTTCAATAGTGAGACCTGGTATGAAATCAGGCCTTTTCTTCAAAATCCCGGTAAACATGATAAAGAAATTATCCTTATAAATTCTAAATGCTTTTGAAATTTTTACCACCCGCTGCCGCTCCCAGATAAGCGCCCTCCTTCTGTAAATCTTACGAAATTTCATTCAGTCGCTTGCTTTTTTCAACACGGAAATGGAATTTGATGATTGATGAAAACTTAAAAGAATACCAAGTGTTTTCATCTGAAGAATAAAATAAGTCACACGGTAGGATCTGGGTACGAGATTAATTGTAGAGTAAACTCAAACTCACCACAGCAGCGTTTAATGTGTCAGATAACAGACCATAACCACCTGCTGCATCAGCAGCTAGCAAGGCAGAACTCAACAGAAGAAGAATTGCTGCTACAACAGCAAATACAAAAACCTAAAATGAAAACATCACGAAGTTATGGCAGCTGATTTGTTTTTGTTTGAACTGAACTTAAAGTTTCGTTGCTCGATAATTCACCGTTACTATTATTTTATGATGTCCTGTACAAATAATGAGATAGGAATACATGCAGTAGCTAAGCAGTAAAACATCGAGCATGCACAAGGGAATCAATGTTTACCAGCCGTGCGCAGTGCGCTCATTTCTCGCGCAAATTTTCAAAGTGGAACTTTACGGTAGCCAATCTACGTTTTCAACTCATTTGATAACACTAAATTACTCTGTTATATTTTCCCACCGACGCAGCACCACGGTTTCGTCAGAAACCCCCTCTATTTATTTGTTCCTAACACAACCGACCTACTTTTGACACCCAGAAACACGCCACCTAACCTCAAAAACGTTTGAACACGCGCAGACGCTTGACCGCTTTGTTTCTTGTAGCCAGCATCTCAACGATTATCGACTTGACAAACAGTTTGTAGATACCAAAAACCAATTTGAAACACTGACTACAAGTACAAGAGTTCTCCTTTATTTTGATATTCTTTAAGAGCAATTTATATTTCATCCAAAATTTTGGCAATGGCTAAGGTTCATTCATACTTTATGCGAACAACGAGGAGTGGAGAAAAATGTTGTCGCCAAAGCTAAGGTCGTTTCTTCTTGACTGCGTTTGACTTTGTTAGTATTCATTAAAACAATTATTCTACAAAACTCCGTTACGCCGCATGTTGGTAGATTCAGTCAAAGATGTAGGTCCAGGATTAGCATTCAAGTGCAAGATCTGATCATCCAGATTTTAAGGTTCTCTCAAAGAGAAATCCGTCGTCGGCTTCTATGACTAAATCAGTTTCGAAAACCGGAGGAGTTAAGTCACTGAATGTGCAGAAAACTTCGTGGGAGCCTAAACGGGAAGGCCAGTTAGGCGCGCTAAAGATAGACTTTTGTTTCAAAAAAAATTAATAGATATTTGCGTGCGACATATACAGAAGATATCACACGGAGAAATAGGAAAATACGGACTGCGCTAAGAACCAATCAGATTGCAGGATTCGTTACCGTACCCTCTAGGAAAAAAAAAAAGAATTTTATGTGTCGAGTGACAAGAACAATACTTCACGAGTGAGCACAACAAACGAGTGAGATATTGACCACTCGTATTAAAAAAGTAAGATAAGCCAGTCGGTTCCTGGAGGTAGTGATCGTATTGATTCTACGATTTTTTTTGTTCCCATTTCTTCAAATTATCTTTTCAATGTTTTTTTCCCTTATTGATTTTGTTGGAACAAATAGTTACATCTCGTTACTGAGCTATGTATTTGTGGCTTTTCCACTCACCGGGATATTCCAGTCAATACTGAGGTTGATTTTTGATATGATATTGAATGCGAACAAGACAAATACGGCGATCACAAGAAGCCACGACGTCACAGTAACAAAGAGGAAGAAATCCATACGTCCCCAATCTACGACGAAATACTGAGCTACAGTTGCGTACTCATCAGCAGCTAGGGCAAACGCCAACAACAGCGTGAACTGTAGAGATTTAAGTAAAAATAAAACTTATTGCTTATTGAAATATGCAGGCATGGATTTCATCAAGTTTAAAACTCTTAGTACCCAACAAACTTAGTAGATACATATATATAATGGTGTATAGGAAATAATGGTAAATACATGGCCCCAGGTGGATAACGCTATCCAATGGTTAGATCTCTATCCAGCGCAGTCCTTTTTATTAACACTTATCCATCAGATAGTGATTTATTGGCTGGTCAGCGTTATCCGCTTCTTATATACCAGCATTTCGCAACAGTTGTGCTTAACCCTTTGACTCCTAAAAGTGACTAGTATCTAATTTCTCCTTACAATATCACCCCTGAATCACATATTAAGGTCACGAGAGTGAAGGAAATGATCACCATATAAAGAAGCTCTTGATTGTTCGACAAATTCTCCTTTTCAGCACCTTAGGAAACATATAAAGAACAGTATGGAGAATATGCATACTGATATCGGGTTATAAAGGGTTAAGCCTCAAATTTAGTGTCTTCCTATAAGTCCTCATTAGTCCCCCTCCCACCCTCTTCCGCCTTTCATTCGCTACAAAAATGACTCAACACACTTGACGGAAGTACTTACAAATTCAACGATCTTCAGTATTCCAGGAATCGAGATAATATACGACATAGTTAGCCCGATATCCCCAGACGCCGGGGCCTCGTGCGATCTAGCTGTAGTATCTGGGTTCTCAAGATCTGCCATCGTTTATCTGTTCTTCTGAAAATTTAAAATTGAGAGATAAGAGATGTTTTCTGTTGGACTTTCTTTACCATAAACACCCTAATAGCAGCTTCACCCTAACAGCAGCCCCTTCTCTTTCTCAGATTTAACTAGTGATTTGTTATACGTTTGCGTTGAATTGCAAGCCATCAAGTTGTCGTATACAGTTTCGAAAGCTCTTTAATACAGTTTCGAAAGCTCTTAAGCTCAGTTTTGAAACAAAACGGATCGTTTAACATCTAAGGTTACTTCCCACTGTCAGAGGCCGCAAAAAAGCGATTTTTCTCTTATTTAAAAAAGTTGAATTCAAACACGAAACCTTATGTTTCCTTTAAAAAAATATCTGAAATCTTTAAAAGCACCCGAGTTATTAAGAAAAACGTATTTTTAAATAAATGTTAAGAAATCAGGAAGGTGTCATAATCTCGGACATGGGCGAGTCCCCCGGGGGAATTTTCGCGGTAACCGCTCATGTTTGGACTCGATGTTCGTGTTATTTCCATATCTTGTTTACATCGCGCACTTTAAAAAATTCACATAGGGAAGCTCTTTGCTTATGGAAAGTCTTTGCTCATGGAAAAATCAAGAGCGGAAGGGACTCCTTCGGAAAAAAAAAGAAAAAAAAACAGGCTTAAAGAAGGAAGAAAGGGTACCCCTAATGAAGGCCTAAATGTAATAACTGTCCTAAATGTAATCAAGTCCTGAATGTAATAATATTTGGTCCTAAATGAAATAAGCCTCCAATACAATCGTTTAACTGCGCTAGAGCATTGCTGTTAGAGCGGACATTCACATTGATATGTTAAAGTGACAGCTGTTGCACCAAAGAATCCTCTGATCAATATTCATTCGCTGGTATCAGTCAGTGTCTTTTTATTTGCCAAAGACGTAGGTCAAGAAGCACTGGCCACAAACCCTTCTACTGATGTGCTTTTGGCATCAAATTGACAGACGTCAATACAATGAAAACGATGACCAATACCTCTCTTCATATCATAGGCTCAGACTCTTTAGTGCAACAGGTTTTGACGATATATTTGTGTGATCAGTGCTGAAGTTAACACTTTATGAACCAAATTACAAGGAAAGGAAGTCCACTGACCTATACGTTGGACAAATTCCGGGCTCGGAAGTACAACGATTTCTTGTACTGTCTTCCCTTGCCAGATTTTTATGGGTCTGCAAGAAATATATTCATATACGATATTGACCGAGTGTGAGGTTAAGATGACTAGGTATTGGCTGAGTTCTTTTGTTGCGTTTTCATCGACCGAGACAAAGTCGAGGTCCATAAAAACGTATAAAAAGACCGAGATTAATATCCAGCCGTCTTGACCGAATAAGAGAGAACATAAATTCCACGGTTGATCTAGAGTTTTTATTTCATTTTTTGTCTTCATCTCTCCTAACGGCCGTGAGGGGAGAAAATGAATAGATAAAAAATACATTAAAAAAGAAAGCTCAACAGTTTCCACTTATAATCATATGGTACATGAACTGATTACCGAGGTGGAGTGAAGTCATAGAGGGCTAGAAATGCAACCCCAGGTTCAAAATTGAATAAATCAAGATAATCATTCTTACAGATGAACTCAAATGCTTCATTAAAATAAAGTGTCACTGAATAACCTTTATGGGCAAAATTTTAGTGACACTTGTGATATTAATACTTTTGTTTTGGATTAACAAGTGACACAGCGAAATCATTGAACCTGTTCTAAAATTGTGAAACACTACTGACGACTTTAACACCAACAATAATATCAACGATAGCGGGTTAGTTTACTATCAATTGTAGTCAATTTTTTTCTCAAAGAATCCTAATGATTACGTATCAACCTAGTCTATCCACTTGAACTTCCAGCCAATCATTGGCCCACACTGGACTGGAAATTATTTTCCTCAATTCAATCGATAAACCGCTGAGAGACAGATCATGCGATTACCGTGCTTGTCATTGAGTTCAGTCGGCGATGACATGCTCCAGATTTTTGTTAAACGTCTGTTTTGTGATTGGCAATCTGAGTGGGCGATTTGTGAAGATGTGCTCGTCAGCAGCTTCTTTGCAATAATGCCTAATGTAAGTCACTCAATGTATAATTTGATGCAGACCCATGTAATACCTTACTCGTTGGTCGGATTTGTGCATGCATTTCAAGTTCGGATTTATACATGCATATCAAGATCAAGAGAACATAAATGTCCCAATTATATTCCCTTGGAAGGAAAAATGATTTGTCCATACTGATATACTCACGAAGATATTCGAGATTTTGAGAGTAATAACTCTATTAAGTGCTGTCACGAGGTCCGAATTGGGAGACAAAATGTGCATGCTAATAAGGTCTATTCCGGCAAAGAAAAAAAAAAAGGAATACCGTACCCGAACCTGCAAAAAGTCAGTGGACTCCTTTGTCCAAGTTTGTAATTTGGATCGCTATGACGAAGGGCGAACGCTCGAAACGTCAGCCTTTTAACTCTTTATGGTGGCTAATTTACGTTTTAAACTCATTTGTTAACAATTAATTACCTCTTATACTCTCCCACCGACGCAGCACCACGGTTTCTTTAGAAACTTACCCCTTTTGTTATTTGGTTTATGACTTGTTAGCTCCATCACTGATCACAAAAGTATTACGTTATCACATTTTTCCAAAATCTAGGGTACTTTAGAGTCTGAGACAGTGATATATGGAGAGGTATTGGTCACCGTACTCATTGTTTTACCAGCTGTTATTTGATACCAATTGTTCATCAGAATAACGGTTGCAGCCAATGCTTCTTGACTTAAGTCTAGCACATAAGAAGACGCTGATTGATATCTGCGAGCCCGCAATCTTACATGACTACTGGTCAGAGGATTCTTTGGTGCAACAGCTGTCACTTTAACATCTCAATGTGGATGTCCGCTGTAACAATGCACTGGTAGAGTCATACGATTGCAATGGAGGCTTATTACATTTAGGACTTTATTACATTTAGGACAGTTATTAAATTTAGTCCTTCAACATACCGTTTTGTCAAGTAAAGGAAAAAATTCCTTTATGAAAGCGACTTATACTGGCGAAGCTTCACGCTGGCGTCCAGATTTCGAACAAAGAAGTTGCTGTTAAACCAAAATTTGCCATACATGATGTTAAAACGAGGTTTCCTTTTATGCAAGTACCAGCTTTACAAAAAGAAAAAACAATCGCTTCGAATCGAAAAATTTTGAAAGCTGTATGTCGATTCGCTGTCTTGTGTGGGGTGTAATTACCGTCAAAAATAAATGTTTAATAATGGTAATTGAACTGAGTGGAGCGAAATTTGGGCTGAAATCACAAGTATGATTTCAGGCCAAAATTGCACGACACAAGGTTCAATTACCACTTTATTACATCCATTTTGAAATCGCCCAAGCACAGGACTTGGTCAGTTCAAATATTTTATTGATGCAGTACTGAGCTAGTTTGAAATTAAATTCATCCATTTTTTAGGGGGAAAAAACAAGAGTTTTGGAAACAAAGTTGCAAAATTTGCCACATGTTACTATTTGTCTTTCATTTTCCTGCAATTACATTGGTTACTTTAAACAAGCCTTGAAATCTGATTGGTTGTTTTGTTTTCAGTGTAGCCTCCTCATTGCCTGGAAAAATGAATCGCGATTTAAAGCAAAAAATGGTGTGATTCGTGAATAAATCGCACCAATTAGAGCCAATCAGATTACAGGGACCACCAGTGATTTCAAAATGGGTGTAATAAATTATGATATCCACAATTTCAGTCATGACATTGAGATATTTAATTGTGCTTTTCCCATATGACGTCTTAATTATGGGGTGCAACTACTGCCCAAATTAGTATTTGGTATTTTTTCACTGCAATATGCTATTTGGTCCCTGTGTTATGACATTATTCTATCCCAGTTGACTGTTTTGCTTTTGCAATGTCCTGATTTGTCACTGTTCCTTGGCGTTCGGCTATTATACTTTGCTGTTTTGCCATTGCATTCTAGTATTCTTCAATTTCGACATTGGGACAAGCAGTTTTGCTGTTGTGATTTGTCATTTTCATAGCGTGCGTTTCGTTATGGTGTTTTGACAAGGTAACGTGCAGTTCGGCATGACACTCAGAAACGAGTTTCAGACAAGATAATTTATTTCCCGCCAGAATTATAATTATGTTAATATATTTCCGCCCTGTCGCACTGTCCTGGTTGGAAACATGGCAGCTCTTCGTAACAGAGCGGTGAATTTATTAGAAGAGGCGATCCGTCTCATCAGGGAGCACACATCCCAGGGTCCCGATAATGATTCTCCAAGGTACGGTGCAGTAGCCGGTGCATTGAACGGACGGGAAACCAACGGGTGAGTACAGGAAAATTTTCGAAATTTATTTCCGCCGTACACGGCTCGCGAAAGGTCGACTAGTTTCTCAAGCAGCAGCGGCAGACAGTGTATCGTAAATATGAATCCTCCTTCAAATTCAGTGTATCCTGAATTTGGAGGAGGAATAACGCTTAATTCAGAAGGGCTCGGACCACGTCGTAGTGTTTCGAACCCTCTACGAGCAATTAACTTAGGGTAGCTTTCTTCTAGCTTCGTCTTGACTTCCATTGCGTTGGCCTTGCGGTTGATACATGATGAATTTTATTTCCCGAAGGACACCCGCGAAGGTGGGAATTAATCTTAAAACGTTCTGATAGAGAGAAATCTATAAACCTATAAACCGACGCAGAATGCACCATCGAATGGCGTATAAATCGACTCTGCGCGAAACTTCAGGTGGAAATTGTTAAAATACACGAGCTGTTGCTGTGATCTCGTAGATACAACAAATTTCGAATGCTGTGCGCTATCCTTACCTTACCTCAGCTATGATCCTTGCGCAAATTTTTTCTCCGGTCACCACAAACCGAGAAGCACGATGTTGTGTTCTGTCGAATATTGTAAAACTGCGGCACGGCGCAGTATAATGACGCTAACATATAGCTGTGGGTGTTGCCTATACGTCATGTAAGTTTCACGGAAACTCCGGAACCATATCAAATCAGCAAGTGATTAACTGAGACGTCGTGATTAACTGCTTAGTAAACCGGAAGTAGTTTTATCAGAGGTATGTTAGCTCACCTCCGCTCAGTCACATTTCAGCTTGAACGAGCAGGGGTCGTAGAGGTTTGCAAAGGGGGGTTCCAATCACATATCACGCTGAAATTTTCTATTAAATCACGCATCACCCTGCAAATTTTGGGGCCATTACGTGTCACGCAAAAACCTTTGCCACCCTCGTCTTTGTTAACCGGAAATTAATGTAACCTTGCCAAATATTTAAGGCCTTACCTTATTTCTGTAAGGTCTAGTGACCTCTAGTGGCTAACGATTTTCAGAATTATTTGTAGACATTTTTTGAGTTAAGAGGAAAAAGCGGGGCGCATTTCGCAGAGGTCTGATGCCGGTTTCTTTCAACGCCCGTGAATAGAGACATGTCACGCAGTTTTAAGCGAATCTGAATGATCATACAAGATCTAACTAGACTCATTATGTAGTTTGTATAACTCGGATAAAGAATGCGTTACCATATCATTTTATGTTTAATCCATCACTTCGTTTTTATGTTAGCCATCTTTTTGACGTTGAATTCTGGACACAAGTTTGCTTTCGGAAGGCAAACCTTTGCTTCATAAAAATTTCTACTGTTGCTTCACGAAAACAAAATCTGGTGTGCCTAGACTGCCTGTGACAAAACAAACAAATAACAGAGTATCTTACATAACCCGGTGTTATTACGTGGGGAGTTTACATCAACTCTGATCCTCGCGCTGTAACAGAGTATTTTCACATAATTGTTCGTGTTGAATCAAAACTGGTGATAGATTCTCCGGCTTAGATATAGAGACGGCAACAGCTGTATTTTCTATGAAGCAGTCAAAGTTTTTCCTTTCCTTGCTACCGTCTGGTCGTCGAAAACTCTTTGTTTCATTAATAGTTAAGCTCCCAACCTTAGTTCGAAGTTGTCTGATGAAGGAACTACCTAAGTGTTAAATCTTCAAAAAAAATAATAGTCGACATCGTTTACCAAGGTGGATAAACTCTATGCCAAAGAGATAAGGAAAATCACAATCAGGCAAAGCAAAGGAGTAGGAACCTCTCGATTAATATATGAACGACTAAATTACATATTTATTAGCCGTTTTTTTTTTTCTTCCCCCCTTTCCTCAGTCTTTCAGTATGATTCTCATGCCTTCTGTGGCGTGTTATTTTATTTAGCAATTCTTTCATTTTTCTATTTGTCTTGCCCTCTAATGGTAATTGTGATTAAGCGCTTGACGTTTTCCCCTTCCTTTTCTTTTTTAGCCCATATTTCACATACTGTTCTCTATTCGTTTCCTAAAGTGCAGACTGGGGGAATCTGCATGTTTAACAACGTACCAAGAGCTTCTTTTTTGGTGATGATTCCCTTTACTCTCGTTACCTTAATGTTTGATTTAGGGTTGACACTGTAGGGAGAAATTACATAGATGCTAGACACTCGTTTTCTGAAAGTTTCTTCTAAATTTTCCTAGAAAATGGATGATTGTTAACTTCATTCGGTTACCTTTGAGGTAAACGGTTCACGTTTGATTCGGTTCAGCGGGAATCCGGCTCATGTACCATGGTTAAGTGGTCCAATCAATCTCAGAGCGACGGCCCAAAGGTTTAAATTGCTCTCAATAACTAAGCAAACTGCAACAATTTCGAATGCATGTACAGCACGAGTTGGTCAAACCTTTGACTGGTAAGAAACTATGGCTGCGCTGCTTTGAAAAACAGAAGACACGCTGATTCGCGAAGCAACTCCGACGATTCCCAAAATGCACAATGCACCCTCCATGAAGCTACCGAAACTTGCATTTTAAGCAATATCATCCACGCTTTAGCAGACTACCTTGATCTTACCAGTACAGTTTCAATGTCCTTTCTATCCTGTGGTGGGTAGCTGACCAGGAAAAAAACCCAAGCGAAATACTGCTTCGTGATTGTCAAACAAGAATATTCTTGATATTAACCGTAGTAACTGTAACAATTTTATATACAATGCAGAGGTCGCATTAACCGTAACTTGATACCTAAACGCTAAAAATTATATGCAACGAGTTCAATAGACACGATTTTTATTCACATCTCAAAGTGAGCCCACAGAACTGTAAGATTTTTCAACTGAAACTTGTCTTTTAAACCTGAAATGCTTATTCCGCGAGAAAGTGTGCCTTCAGTCAATAGGCGCTGAAATAAACAAAAATGGACATTTCTTATCGTTTTAATAAATTTACTTCCTAACGATTATGTTTGCAAATGTAAGCTCAACTGGGATGTTAATTCATAATCTGCAACCGACCACTGCAACCAAAGCGAACTCAGTCAATCGTGAAGTGAATTAACGCTGCAGGACGGGCGTTTCCCCGCTCGCAGGAAGATTTGAGACGAGCCTGGGAGAGGTTTGCTGGGAATCTTTTGCCACAGAATGTATTACTTCTACTACAAGCCACTTTAAATCTTAAGCTACGCCACATTATCTTAGTTTGTTATTGTTCAAAGATAATTCAGGATCTGCTAACATGACTAACATTACTAGTTTGCTTGTGAGCACCTAGAGGAGAGAATAAAAAATTTAATGCAATACGATGAAATTTCTCAAACTTATAACGACATGTTGTTATTTTCACATATATTTCAACTTAAACAGAGAACGATCTCAATTCTAAAACTTTTCGGTGTTAAGGCTAATAGATCTTCCAAGTCGGGTTGTCATGGTAACTGGATCACTGTTAGTTTGTCGACGCACCAGGATCGTGATAGCACGAGTTTGAGTGAAATTTGGGCAAAAGAAGCAGAGGTAAATTTTTTTTCTGGGCTTACATCACTTCACAAGTCTCTGAGAGCAATGTGCATAAATTTACGGGCACACGTATTGATAGCTGTCAAACTTTTGATTTGGAAAGTTTCAAGTCAAATCCATTCTATTACGATGACTCAATCCCTAGTTGCTTTCCAGAATGGCTTGGTTTTTCCTCAGACAAGGTGTTTCCTTAATGCGGTAGTTTGTCCTATTTCTGTTTCAATGGTTGAAACGCACATCGACCGTCAAAGTCGTTAGCTTACAGGGAACACTTCCAATCAACAAAACACGGCCTTGTAGGCTGGCCATCTAAGATTACTGGACCAACTGATTTTCCTAAGCTCAAACCGCTCAGTGCACAAAGAAAGCAGAGTTGATGGAACATTCTCCCTCATTGAAAAGGCTCAAGAGATTATGTTTATATTCTTTTACCAAGCTCCAATCAAATCCTGATAGTTGTGGCTGTGTGATGTCGGGTTGTAGGATGACTAGTGCAGTAATCTGTCGGTATGTGTCGGTTTCCTGTAAACTGTTGTCCGTAGTGAGTTGTCGTCACGGCTTACCAGGCAGTCTAGAAAAGGTAGTTTACCATTTTCTTCGACCTCTCTGGTAAACTGTATGTCAGTGTAATTTTCCGTTAAGGTGGTGCTTTGAATTATCAAAGTTGCACTGCTGTAGGACTCCAAACGACCAAAAGTTTAAACCAAACCAAAAGAGAATGATATGTAAACACAGAAAGATTGTAAAGCTATTGTGTTTACTACCCTGATAATAATGCTAAAATGAAAAGCTTTTAAAAAGACGATGCGAGTTATCTCTCATGTTGGCCTCTTCCGCGTATGTTGACAATTTTATCTGCGTTTGTTATGGTGCAATTTCAAGTCAATTACCGTACAGCTTTTTAGCTACCTCTCTTGCTTTGGAGAAATCCAAGGTTTATGTCAACTTTGCACAAATACGATACGTTTGCATTCTGAAATGGGTTTTGCAAATCTAGAATCAATTAGCAGTATGGAATGATAAAATTAAAAAAAGATTCAGTTAGCAGCGAAGGGAAATCACTATTAAACTAGTAAGTCGTGGTTCACAGAAGGTTTAATCGAGGACGCAATGAGCTCCACTCCTGAGTCATAATTACGAGGCGTCAGAGAGATTTTAGCATTAAACTGCCATTAGTTATACCAGAGATACTAAAGTATATAATTATGGAACTATTGTAGTACATGTCAAGTTCCCTTGAGGTTTTTAGGCCTAATTAACGGGCTAAACGATGAAAAAAATCTATTTTTTTTTTCTTTCTTTCCACATGGGTTTGATTACGACTACTTACATTTACTCAATTTTGCCAGGTGGGTTGGTTGTTTGATTGAGGTGAATTTTAGCTTAAAGCACGATATCTATAAATTCTAGACTGCTATGCCAATTGACTGCTATAAAAATTAGTAAAAAGCTGCCAAAGTCAGTGTTGCCGTTGTTCAATGCCCATTTCATAATAAGAGCATAATCATATAGAATATACTCGTTAGTGATTGGTTAAAAATAGAATATACGCTCAGATTGTATCGCTACCTAAGAAATTATTGGAATGACCATAGCTAAATATACTTTTTGCCTGTAGTGCAGGCGTATAATTTTAGATCTAGCATCGCAGCAAAGGCAGCATTTCTTAGGATTCTAATGCCGCTGAGGGTGGAAGAGACAGTAGCCTCTCGAGGCCCAGATCAAACATGGCGGCTCAGTGCATGATAGCGAGTTGCTTACGCTATAACTCGTTCTCTCAAACGCTACCCTTTCCCAAGATCTGATTGCTAATTCTCCCCTCTGGCTGCTACATATTTCCTCGTAAATTATTTGCGAGAATTTGGCTTAAGATAAAAACAACTCACACTACCTGATAAGATTGGGTATTCTCATTACATGTGTACTGGATAATGTATGGATATTGTAGGGAGAAGTTACATCTTAGTCACTTCTAGGAGTTAAAGGGTTAAATATACGCATTCTCCCTGTCTATTTCTAGATTTTTTTCATTCGTTATAGAGGAAAGGTATATAGATATAACGATTAAATTCAAATTAACGGTGACCGAAATAGCTATTAAAAAAGGTTAAACAAACTCGAAGGACTACACAGTTCATCAAAATGTGGGCGTTGGTTTACATCCTTCCAGTTTTCTTCAGGAAAAAAACAACAGCATCTGCGATGAAGACGAACATGGAGATAAATCCAAAAGCCTGCAAAGAAAGACAATGCAAACATGTAAGTTGCCGTGGCCCTTTTTTCGTAAGAAATTGGTCAAAAGAGATTCGTTTTTCTTTCAAAAGTAAGACTTAGTACGAGACCAGGTCTTTCTTTAAAATCCCAGTAAACATGATAGAAACATTATCCTGATAAATTCTAAATGCTTTCGAAATTTTTTACCACCCGCCCCAAATAAGCGCCCTCCTTCTGGAAATCTTACGAAATTTCGTTCAGTCCCTTGCTTTTCTCAACACTGGAATGGAATTTGATGAGTGCTGATAAATTTAGAGAACATCGAGTATTTCCATGTGTGGTTTAGTAATGGGGTATCGGATGTACTCCGAGTACTGTATGAAACACGATAATTCTGTCCAAGGAATTTTTTTCTCTTGGTGATAAGTTTTGATTTCCGGATCCTCTCACTAATTTGGAAGAGGGTTTTAATTCATGCCAAACACCATCTTCGTCATCCTATTTATTTATGCTTGACATCTTCGTCGTATTGTAGAGTAGTCTCTTACCCAGACCTTTCAGGGACAAGTGCTTGTATTTCAGTTACAGTGATACGGTAGGATCTGGGTACGAGATTAATTGTAGAGTAAACTTAAACTTACCGCAGCAGCCCTTATTTTGTCAGTTTCCTTAGGAAAAAACCCCAAATAATCTGTTACCATATCAGCTAGCAAGGCAGAACTCAACAGAAGAAGAATTGCTGCTACAACAGCAAATACAAAAACCTAAAATGAAAACATTACGAAATTATAGCATCTGATTTGTTTTTGTTTACGTTGAAGCTTTGACTTTAAGTTTCATTGCTCGATAATTCACCATTATTATTATTATTATATGATGTCTTGTACACCTAATGGGATTGGAATACATGCAGCAACAAAGCGGTCAAACGTCGAGCATGCACAAGGGAATCAATGTTTACCAGCCGTGCGCAAAATTTCAAAAGAGAACAAAAGAAACAGCCGCTGTCCTGCAACATATGCGAAACGTTTACGAAAATCTTCAAAGGGAAACAAAAGTAGGAAAAAGGAAAACTTGAGACTCCTCGTAGAAAAAGTTTATATGATTGCAGGTTTCCTGCTGAGTTACCATTTTGTTTTGAGATTTACAAAGGAGGTGATAAGGTTTTCAAACACCGTTACCTACTAGCTGGTAAGCTTGTTCCTAACACAACCGACATAGTTTTGACACCCAGAAACACGCCACCTAGCCTCAAAAACGTTTGCACATGCGCAGATGCTTGACCTTTGTGTTGCTTGCAGCCAGCATCTCAATGATTATCAACATGACTCTCAAACAGTTTGCAGATACCAAAATCCAATTTGAAATACTGACTACAAGAGTCTATTTATGTTGGCATTCTTTTAGAGCACTTTATATTTCATCCAAAATTTTGGCAATGGCTAAGGTTCATTCATACTTTGTGTAAACAAAGACGGATAGAGAAAACGTTGTCGCCAAAGTAAAAGTCGTTTTTTCTTGACCGCGTTTTATTCTGTTGATATTCATTGGAACAATTATTCTACTCCGTTTCGCCGTACATTGATTGATTCAGTAAAGGTGTAGGTCCAGGATCAGCATTCCAGTGTAAGATCTGATAATCCAGATTGTAAGGTTCTCCTAAAAAGAAATCCGTTGTTGGCTTCTACGACTAAGTCAGTTTCGACAACCTGAGGAGTTAAGTTACTAAACTATTTGAGTCGTGCAGAAAACTTCTTGGGAGCCTGAAGGGGAAGGCTAGTCAGGCGCGCTAAAGACAGACTTCTGTTTCAAGAAAATTCCTAGATATTTGCGTGCGACATATATAGAATATATCACACGATGGAGAGAAGACATGAATTTTACGCGTCGAGTGGCGAGAACAATGCTTCACGAGTGAGCACAACAAACGAGTGAGATATTGATCACTCGTATTAAATAACAAAGATAAGCCACTCGGTTCCCGGATATAGTGGTTGTATTGATTCTAAGAGTGTTTTTGTTCCCATGTCTTCAAATTATTTGTTGAATTTTTTTTACTTATTGATTTTGTTGGAAAAAAAGTCATATTTTGTTACTGAGCTTTGTATTTGTGACTTTTCCACTCACCGGGATATTCCAGTCAATACTGAGGTTGATTTTTGATATGATATTGAATGCGAACAAGACAAATACGGCGATCACAAGAAGCCATGACATCACAGTAACAAAGAGGAAGAAATCCATACGTGACTTGCTTGCTATGATATTTACATCAGCAGCTATGGCAAATGCCAACATCAACGTGAACTGTACAGATTTAAGTAAAAGTAAAACTTAGCTTATTGAAATACGCAGGCATAGATTTCGTAAAGCCTAAAAGTCTTAGCACCTACAAACGAAGGAGGAATGTAATGGTGTATAGGGAATACCCCGATTGTTGAAGGGCGGATAACGCTATCTAATGGTTGGATCTCTATCCAGCGCAGTCCTTTTTATTAACACTTATCCGTCAGATAGCCCTTTGAGCAACTGGGCCCTGAGCAATAAGAACATACGTTCAAGTAAAGGTAAGGTTCAGTTAGAAATCGAACCAAATGGCTCGTCTGACCAAAATATTTCCCGGTTTCTCTAACTCAAAATGACCAGGGCATTGCTCCTAATATACCAGCGTTTCGCATCGGTTGCGCTTAACCCTTTGTCTACTTAGAGTGTCTAGTATATAATTTCTCCTTACAATATCACCCCCGAATCACATATGAAGGTAACGAGAGTAAAGGAAATGACCACCAACTAAAGAAGCTCTTGGTTGTTCAACAAATTCTCCTTGTCAATGACTTAGGAAATGTATAAAGAACAGTATGAAGAATATGCATACTGATATAAGGGTGAAAAAGGTTAAGCCTCGAAATCAGTGTCTTCCCATCAATCCTCATTAGTCCCCACCCCCCCCCCCCCAACTTCACCCTCTTCCGCCTTTCATTCGCTACAAAATGACTTAACACACTTGATGGAAGTACTTACAAATTCAACGATCTTCAGTATTCCAGGAATCGAGATGATATACGACATAGTTAGTCCGATATCTCCAGATGCAGCTCCTCCGCCGCCGGACTTTTCCGCGGGGGCCTCGTCAGATTTAGCTGTGGTATCTGGGTTCTCAGGATCTGCCATTGTTTATCTGTGCTTCTGAAAATTTAAAATTGAAAGATAGGACGTGTTTGCTGTTGGACTTTCTTTACCATAAACACCCTCATAGCAGCCCCACCCTAATAGCAGCCCCACCCTAATAGCAGTCCCACCCTAATGGCAGCCCCACCCTAATAGCAGCCCCACTCTATTAGCAGCCCCACCCTAATAACAGTCCCTCCTTTTTCTCAGATTTAACTAGTGATTTGTCATACGTTTTACACATGTACCTCTTGTTCAAATGAAGAGCAACCTCATCCCATCTCATGACACTAATAAATTGATTGACTGATTAATTGAAATATTAGATTGATTGCTCCCATTTGGAAGCACCGGAAATTAACCAGCACCCGGTCAGCTTATCGTTTACGTTAACTATCACTCAAAGCATTCTTGTTTGCCCCATTGCTGTTGGTTTCAAGTTTACCAAGAGAATGACAGTTAACATCGCCAGATCTTTAGACACTTGGAAATGTCTTTCGCAATAGTATTATGGTCAATTGCAGGTAGACACTCAACACAAGAAGCGAGGTTTAAAAAAATACAAATTTCGGTTATTCTTCTAGGAAAAAAAGAAAGGTACACTGGGTTGAATATCTTCAAGGAACATAGGTTTGGAAATAAATCAAAGGGTTATTGCACCCTTTTGTCAGGTGTAAGACATTGTGTGTAACGTTAACGCTCTCAACACGTCAAGTCGAAGCTTGCAAAACGGCCTCGGAGACATTTTGTTTACCAAAGGTGTCATTAGAAATCTCCGGGAAAAGGTGGACAGTTGATCAGCCTTTTATGGTTTGTTACAAGCCTGATGATATGCATGACTTCTAAATAACAAGTATATATTTCGGGTCCTCTTTTACAATAATTTTTCTGCTTTGCCCAGCGGGGGTTGGCATTTAGTCAATAAACTTGAATGTTATAATAACTCCGCCCCTCTTGCCCTCTTATGACAGAAAGCCGTCAGCTTTTAATAAACAAAAAAAAATTAATTATTAATCATTAATTTTTTTCCATCCATTCAAAACTTGACAGCATCTTTGTTTCTGGTTTCTCAAACTTTTTCTGGTTGTTCATTTTATTGTTATATTTGATGACCAATGATCTCGTTCACAAGCAAGTTCGCTATCGAAACCGTTTCGAGTAAATGTTCATGAAGTGACTTAATGAGCATTCACTCGTTGAATAAAGAAGGTTTGTAGCTAAGATCATAGATAGGCCTTGCCTGTAATTGACCTGATATTTTTTGAGCCAATTATTAAGTGACAATATCTCGCGTGATGTGTGAGTTAAAATAGAGCGTCAAGTGGTGTTCAAGAGCAATATTAATACCATGCAAGAGATTTAAAACTGATAATCTCCTATACCATTTTATCCTGCTTGATGGACATACATTAATATCTAAATAATTTGGTTTTATCAACTGAGTTGTAACACTCCCCTACCGGGAAGCACCACAGTTTCTTTAGAAACTAACCCCTTAATTCATTGAATTCCTAGTAAGTGAATTAGGCTTTCTATATAGATGTAATTTTGATACATAGTCCAACAGAAATAAAGTCACTTTAACGAATCCAAAAATAAAATTTTTCTAAATGGCAGGCCAGGTTTGCATGCCTCTTAAAAGAGTTCCATTTTTTTTCAGCTAAGAAACCCTTTGACACTTCTCAGCCATGAATTCTCATCGAGTAACGAAATTACTAATTCAAATGAATCTGCGAGAAACCTGATTTTGTTTTTTATCTTTCGCAGTAATTTGTATTGGACTATTAATTTAAGGCCTGTAATCTTTATTGCTTTTAAAATCCTTTGCTCCACCTTTAAAACAGAAGCATTATCATTTCATACGGTATAGCAATATGAGGCAACCATTAATTTCAAATCAAGTATAATTAATTTTACTGTTTCATCTAAACTTTTATGCTTTATTTCATCCAAGTCACGCACTCTATCTTAATTTCGTATAAGAGATTTCTTTTGCTCAGTTTCTGCCGTTTGCCTCGAATAAGTTTTTCAGTAGAAATTGAATCTTGTTTAAGAAGAGAAAATGTGATGATTGAAATTTGACTGACAAAAATTTCGAACTAGAGATGCTGTGCTTATGAAAATCACTTTGTCAAAAAGAAACGTGACCGAGATTTTCCTAAATATTTTGTATTAGTCCTGCTCTGTTAAACGTTCTTCAAAGCTCTCTCGATATATACTGTAGTACGAAAGCCTTTGTTTCGATTAAAGTCTTGTAAAATGAGTTCCCTGTGAACAATTGATTTCCGCGTTGGGAGTTCTTTTGTTTGACTGACTCTTGGTGGACTATATAACTATCAATCATAGCAGTCCCACAATCGACACAACTGTGGATGTATTTTTGAAAGATAACAAATCACATCTACTTTTTGCGCGTTTCACGACAACAAAATGAGCAAATGTTGTTTGGGTCTCAGAACAGTAATGATTAGTATGCGCGAACAATTTGCTACTATTTTGCATATGCAAAATTGAAAAAACGGTTTAAATTTTTCGCTCAACATCTGTTTGAGTTGCTGTGTTCCATAGAATCAATAAACAATCCCGCTTTAAGGAAAGTGCTTCGTTGGAAGAACGTCTTAAAATTCTGGTGTTTTGCGCTCCTGTAAAATTTTGACTGACTTCTTGGAGTGCTTTCAATAGCTCAGTTCTCCTAGTTATGAGTGACAATGGCCGCAGCAGTTTTTATGTTTGTTTTTGCTTTTTTCTCTTCTTTGGCTTTAACCGCCGGCTGCTGGAACACTGCACTGATTTCGCTGAAGGCTAATCAGTTCACAACCTACAGAAATCATTAAAACGGTGGAAACTGTGCCTGAATTTAAAACGTTAACAACCAACGCAAAGTTGGTTAATACATTTAGCGACGTTTAATAACGAGGCGAACGCATTCAAAAGTTTTGTTATATTACATCTAAACATAAAATAATTCGATGTACAACATTTCAGGTAACTCTTACCCAAAGATAAGTCCAATTTCTCTTGACCTAGAGCGATTTCCCGGGCGAAGAAGAGGCGAAGATTTTAAGCTTCCAGAGCTGGATGATCATAGGAGCTAGGATACCGTAAGCGTCGCTTAAACAGCGTAAACAAGAGTGAACGCCTTCTTTTAATTTATGCAGTTGATTAGAGATCATTCAAAAACGTGACAATTTTAATGATGCTGACTCTGGGGAGTCCAAATAAGTAGGTTGGCAAAGTTTTTGCGAAAGATCCTCGTCAACAATGCACTACTAGTTACCTAAGCAGCCCATATGATCTAAATTTTCCATCGTTACTCATGTTGTATTCATGTCAGAGCTGTTATTAATAACATTTTCGTTAATGTAATTCCTTAGAATATTCTAAATGGAAAATTCATTTTTTTATTCAAGCGTGGAAAGAAAGTAAAGAATAAGCAAAGGAAAGGAGAACAAATCATGCAGAGAGTTGATTCTTTTCGATGCGAATAAAAAATTTAAGCGCAACAGGAACAAAAAAAAAAAAGACTAATTATTCATATCCAATGACAGCCATTGAGAAAAAATAAGTTGGCATTTATTGTTTCTTGTATTCAACAAAAGCTGTATTTCTTTGTGATCTGAAAGTCAAATGTCGATTAGCAATAAAACTAAAATTGATTGAATTCGTTTAGTGAGATTGTTTGGAAATGAAAATTATTAACTCATCTCAGTGATCTTGCGTGTTAGGCAGCCCGCTCAAGGCCTGAAAAACACATTAACAGTGGTTGCTCGGCCAATATCATCGCGTTACACTTTGCGTTACAGGTGTTCATTTATAATGTAAAGAGAAAAAGTAGGAGGGGGATTGGGAAGAGCAGCAACCAATCCCCCTCCAGTTTTCTTCTCATTGAAGTTCCTGTCGCACTGTTATCGTTGCCTTGGCTATTTGTGACACGGCTGTTCGATTTTGAACAGTCTAGACTAATATTTATCGACTTAGAATCTAATTACTGAGAAACAATATCAACAAGTTAAAAAGCTGTAGTGGGGAATAGGTAAGGAACCCACACTGACGCTTTCCTCTTCCAGCATTTGATTTCTCAGATCCTCACGAGCACACAACAAAGTCATATCTCAGAATGACTAAAAACAACAATCAATTGTTGTTTTATCTTATGGACACACCTTGATCAAACTGACTGGCTATAAAGCTCTTTCAAACAAAGAAGATAAACAAACTTATTCATCAGAGCAAACAGAACGTGACGCTCGATTTCTGGGCCGATAGTACACAATCGGTACATCAACATGAGCTTACACCAGTATTAAGTATCCTATTTCCGACACTACAAAGAGTCAAAATTTTCGGAATAGAAGAACTCTTAGCCGAGCAAAAATAGAGAAGCGAATTTCCGAAGCTACTCACTCCTTCAAAAATGAATTGTTACTCCCAGGAAGATCTCCACTGGAGTATTTTCTTTAACAGGTTTTCATAAAAATTCCTAGAGCATTGTGACTTTGGAAATAATGATTTTCAAAAGAGGGATTCGCCTAAACTGTTAAATTTCTCTTCATTCTTTTTAGAATACTGTACGCCTATTTTCCACCATAGCCTTCCTGAATATCTTAGTGAAGACCTCGAGCGTGTCAGTAAAAGAGCCATGTTAATAATCGCGCCTTATCAATCAAATAAACAATCCCTAGATGGCTATGGACTCTGTACTCTGCGCCAAAGACGCTTTGATCACTGCTCTAAGCTATTCGGTGGCATCACCAATTCGAACGATCACAGTCTCGCCCACCTGTTCCCCCCACGTCATCAAGGCTCATATAGCTTGAGAAGCAAAAGAACTTTCAATCTGCCGCGATTTAACCGTTTTAAAAACTCATTCATCGCGGCTATGTGCCAACGAGTAAATAGAATTGTTTAGTAAACTGCAATGCTCGTAGCCAGTAATTTGTACAGAGCACTTTAGTTATAAAGAATCCCCATTGTAAATATCCCTAGTTTTAATTGTACTATATTTATATTGTAAAAAATTATTCAATCCAGCCTTTGGCTGCGAGTTAGTTATTCCTATTAACGATCAACTTTCAACTATCAACCATCAACTAGTTAGCGCTACCCGGCAATTTAGTGCGCAAAACTTTTCTGATTTCAATGCAAGCTTGTTAATTTACCAGTTAAAGGTACAAAAATAAAACAACCATAAATTGAATATTGAATATGAAAGCGGCTGATGGGGAAAAGTTGTTCAATTCGTGTAGCGACATTTGGTAACAGACGATGTAGTGTAAATACCTCGCTGTATTGCGATGTGCAACATCATCTATAACTCTTACCTATAGATTTCTTCGCTTTCTTTGTATCTTTTGGTTTGATTTCCGACTGATGAGAAGAAATGGTTTGAGTTAGACGGGACTTGTTGTTATGGGTTGTGGTGTCAAAAGCGGTCGCTAAAACAGAGCTAACAACGTCTATCTTAAAAGCTTTGCAATTGACAAGGGAGTGTCACGCAATTAAGTTTCCGGCTAGAGGTACGCCCAAGGAGCACTTGTGACGAGTTTCTGAGTCGGGCGATTATCGGAAATTGTCGGCAATTGCATTATGGCGGACTTTTTCCATTAACACCATTCGCGATTTTCCACAATCAAGCGACGTGATTGAGCCGGACATGAACACTATAACATGCTTTATGTATGAAGAATACATTATTGACTTTAAATCAAGGAAAGTTCGCTAAATTTTGTGTGGCTGTTTCCTTTACCCTCGTCGATCTTAAGTTTCTTGCTCAGCAGAATTTTAGCCTAACACTGTAGCCGCTAAGACCTACGCTTTCAAAGGTAAACAAAACTTATGAATTGTATCGCCACTATAATGCCCTTGTCACAGTGCTACTGGTTAGAAAGATCTCCAAAATGAAATTTCTATTGTCTTGTACCTCTAGCCGGTAGGATCTCAGATGGCTTAGAAAATACTACCGACTGGAAGTAAAGTTTGCATATTCAGTCAACTTTGCCCAATTGTTACAACGTTTTGCTTCGCATTTTACTTTTTCTGCACCCCAAGTTAGTCTTACACTCCGTTGAATCACTTTTTTCAAGAATACGTATACACTTTTTCATTTTTTATTTGGTCTTGTACCTCTAGCTGGTAGGATTTGAAGGGGCTTATAAAATACTACCGGCTAGAGGTACAGCTTACATACTTAGTGGACTTTGCCCAATTTTTATGATGGTTTGCTCCACATTTGACTTTTCTGCACTCCAAAATATAGTTGCACACTTCTTGGAATCACTTTTTACAAGAGTACATTTACATTTATTTTTTCTTAATTTGGTCTTGTACCTCTAGCTGGTAAGATTTAAAGAGGCTTAGAAAATACTACCTGCTAGAGGTACAGCTTGCATATTTAGTCGTCTTTGCCTAATTTTTAAACGGTTTGCTTCACATTTTACTTTTCTGCACTCAAAATTAGTCTTACACCCCTTTGAAACACTTTTTTCAAGAATAAGTATACATTTATTTATTTTTATTTGGTCTTGTACCTCTAGCTGGTAGGATCTTAGGTGGCTTAGAATATACTACCAGCCAGAGGTTCAGCTTGCATACTTAGTGGACTTTTCCCAAGTTTTTTAATGGTTTGCTCCACATTTTACTTTTTTGCACTCCAAGTTGTAGTTTTACACTCTTTGGAATCATATTTTTTAAGAATACATTTGAATTTTTGTTCTTTTATTTGGTCTTGTACCTCTAGCTGGTAGGATCTCAGGAGGCTTGGAAAAGAATACCAGCTAGAGGTACAGCCTGCATATTTAGTCAAATTTGCCCAATTTTTACTGCAGTTTGCTCATTTACTTTTCTGCACTCCAAATTAGTCTTACACTCCTTGGAATCACTTTTTTCATGAACACATTTATATTTTGTTCTCTCTTATTTAGTCTATAACCTCTAGCTGGTAGGATCTTAGGAGGCTTCAAAAATACTTGAAGTACAGCTTGCATATTAATTGACTTTACCCAATTTTTATTACAGTGTGCTTTGCATTTTACTTCTTTGCATTCCATTTTAGTCCTATACTACATTGGAATCATTTTTTTCAAGAATATCTTCTTGTTCCTTGGTCATGCACCTATCACTGCTTATTTGATGGCACAGCACACAGGATTTGAGCATCAAATGACTCTTTATGGGGAATCTGCTGAAACTAAAGCAGGCATTATTAGGCAATAAGCAAGGGGTTTCTGGTTGGTGTTCAAATAAGAAAGGTTTGATTTCTTTTTAATAATAGCAATTTTTATTAGAAAATACAATAAATAACACAGGCACAGGTTAATCTCATTTCAGTTATATAATTGTATAAATTCTGTATGTATAGTAGATGACTATTTTCTTTTTCAAGAATAACTTGCCTTAAGGTCTTCATGCACTCATACATGCTGTTAAATATCATTGAAAATACAAAGGAAAAAGGCCAATATGGTGAATGAAAATCATGTTATCCTACGACTACCTAAAGATGAATTGATTTTAGCATTTCAGACAATGGTTGGCCTTGTCAACAGTACTTCAAATCAAACAAAAATATCATCATGACAAACTTCTGTAAACCTAGTTGACATGTTCAAGTCTAAAATAAATTTCGAGTCAAATTAATCTAAAACTGATTATTTATATTGGAATAAATCCACAACTGAAGAAAATAAAAATCAGGCTAGTTTAAAATTTATTAACTTGAAATTCATTTAAAACTTAACAATGATAAAGATTTTAAGCTTACTTCACATATATAAGCTGCCCCCTCTGGCTGGTAGTGTTTTCAGAGCAATCCAAGCTCCTACTAGCCAGATGAACATGACTGCAAAGCATGAAAATATACCTATGGAGTGACTCCTCAACAGTATAAGACTTACATGGAATGTAGAAATTTTTCCATAAATCAAGAAGTAAATGAAACGAGCTAAATTCACCTTAAATGCATGAAGTACCTCTAGCCTGTAGTATTTCCTGAGCTACCAAATATCCTACCAGCTACAAGGACACGACCAAGAACCAAGAAGATATTCATGAAAAAAGTGATTCTAATGTAGTATAAGACCAAATGGAAGGCCAGAAAGTTAAATTCAAAGCAAACTGTGATAAAAATTAAGTAAAGTCGATTAAATATGCAAGCTCAGGTACCTCTAGCTGGTAGTATTTTATATGTCCCTTCAGATCCTACCCGCAGGTACAAGACCAAATAAAAATGAATAAATGTATACTTATTCTTGAAAAAAGTGATTCAAAGGAGTGTAAGACTAACTTAAAATACAGAAAAGGTGAAAAAAAGTAAACGTCGCTTGACTATTGGTAAATTTCAATTGGTGTTACTGGAATAGTCCGCCACAGTGCCGACGATTTCCGATAATCACCTGACTCGGAAACTCGTTACTAATGCTCCTCGGGCGTACTTCTACCCAATCAGTGCTGCCATAATCGGAACGAAATGGCATCACTCACCACGGCTATCGGAGGAAAGCTATTTTCCAAAAAGTCAGCTTAGAATTAAGCTGTTTAACTGTATAAACATACCCAAATTTTTACAACCCAGGTTTCCTGACGTTAATGTAGAAAAGGAAGAGAAAGGCAGGAGGTTCTCAATTGAATCCAGGTTAAAGACCCTCCCGTAGGACCACTTTGCCTCACCCCTTAACTAATGCCTCCAAACTGGCCAAAAAAGATCGAAAACTACTGAAAAAGAATATGAAAAGACAGGATAAGAGCACCACACGCTGAAAACACATTCTGCGGTGGAGGTGGAGAAGGGAGGGCAGGCCGTAGTTGCTATTACGAGACTCCCTAGCGACAGGGCGATCGAACAATATAAAGTGGGTCCGCGAGCCTGATCGAAGAAGTTGAGACTGGTCTGAAAACCTTGTTGTTAGTCTCTGAATTGTATTTCAGTGTACGGGAGTACACTGGATATAGTTTCGAGACATAAACTAATGTCAATGCAGGAGTAAGCTTTGTCATGCTAGCTATCAACAAAGTCGACAGACGTGGCTATCATCAAGTCTGTATTTGGAGTCTAGTAGTCTAGTTCCAGAGGAGTGGGGTGGCTCTGAAAACTGCGATAGACTTTTACTCTCATTTCTCGTCATTATGGCGAAATTAGACTCTCAGTCTCCCGGCCAAAAAGGTCTTTGCAGGGGGCAGAGACTTGGGAGGAGATGAGTGCTTCGTTATGCTGGCCTGAGCTGAAATGTCGAGTATTTTAGCAAGCCTGGTTCTCAGAAATAAAAAAAATCAATAACGCTTCAATAAAAATATGTGAACTTCATTACAAGCAGAAAAGGTGCTTTTATTCTGCATGTGCATTGCTACGTTTTCTTTTAAATTTAAGAAAAATTACATTCCAAGTTAGCAGCATTCAATGAAAAGTCTGCTGTGTCACATATTAGGTTTTGAACATACAATTAGCGACGCAATTGTTGACACATTGACGTCCACAGCCCCTGTTACTTAATTTTATCTCTCTTCTCCCACCTAAGGTAACCTCAGTTTGCTCCCTTTTCCCCAAAAACAGTATTGTACCGTGATTCTGTGAGCTTTAAGCTACAAATTTGACAAACGGGGGAAGGGGGCCTTGTCAAGCGCGGTGCAAATAGTATTATAGTCTACGAGTAACCCTACCCTCTCCCTCAAGGAGTAATGGAAGTCCGTTTCTATTTGGGGGGGAGGGGGAAGGTACGGCTACACGTAAGGTAGTAGTAGTGTTATTCTACATATATAAAGAACTGTTCAAACACAATGTATCAACTAACTTTTTTATGTACAAAGATAATTATAAAAGCACAAAAAACCTGATGAAGCACATTCAAACACAAAGGGCCGACGTACTCCTCGGAGTCAGCTTTTGGGCTGTCACGTAACTCTTTCAAGGCGACGTTCCATGAATTAAACCTAACTACAAAACCCGCGTGACAACGTCATTGGTTACTCAATGAAAGAGATCATCGTGGAGTCATATTCACCGATTAGTCCCTAGCGTTGTCCCATTTGTCTTAAGCGGCGATACTGAAACAAACTGACGATGATATCGATGATGAGTAACAGCACGACAACAAACGCCAGAACCTGAAGATAAAATAAATATGAATATGTGATATCTAGTGAATAAATACTTATGGAGCACTGGCATTGATGCTTCGGATCAATGTCAGCATCTAAACATCTGTACAGCTACTGCCCCCCTGACCCAACAGTAACCATACTCAACTTGTCAACTTGTTTGTTATCAGTTGACTGTTTGTTGGGTTAGGGGAGGGGTAGGTGCGCAGTCGTTTAGATACTGAGATTGATCCGATGCTTCATGTTCAAAGGCCCTTTTACGGCGGGTTTCTTTTTTCTAACGGTCTTTCGAGCGTGAAGGGAAAGTTGACAATATATTGAAAGTAAAGCGCCGCCTGCCGAGACGATGGGAAAAGACTCATCACTTCCTTCTCTGGTCCCAACTTTATATCGTCCTGATGTCTTTTAACCAAAGTTTGCATAGAAAGGCCAAAAGGTCTTGAAGATGTGATCGAATAAAGTGGCAAGGGTCTTAAAAAAAGACTAAGCCATTGAAATCTATATTTGAATTTGTATCCCTGGTTCTGACGTAATGTCATTGACGGCAGCACTCAAGTAGAGAAAGTCAGTTGTAATCGGTCGACCAAGGCGGAAATTCCTATTAGTGCAGCACCTTTAGCATCTGAACAAAAATTAGCGCAACAAAAATAGGCTACAGAGAGTTACTGATTCGAAAATTAACTTACCACTGCAGCCACGAGACGATCGTAGAGCCAACCAGAAAAATCATTTCCGTGTCTCTCCCTGAAGTCTGCCTCTTTAGCCAGGAGTCCAGCACTTGCTGTGAGCATCACGGCTAAAAAGCCACAAAAGATTACGTCCTGTAATGTGACGAATAGGAAAAAAATCTCAATGAAAAAAACCTTTGAGTTTTTATTATATTCTAATTCTAATAATAACTTCGCGCAAAGAGAGTTACACCAAAAGCGTGGACATCTGTCTTCTCCAGTATCACTCTCCCCGATTTTTACACCCACCTCATACGTCGGTGTCAAGGTGTTGACGGCATGCGCATGCGTTTGTTTGACCGACGCTGAAATAAAGGTAGTAAAGATATTGGTGCGCAGGCCTAATTTTGAGGAAATTTGATGGAGCTGGCCTCATCAATCAATTGCTGACCGACATTAATGACAGGCGATTTTCTCTCACTACAGGGGCGGATATAAGAGTTTTTGTTTTTAGGGAGTGGGGTCCGAAATTACTTCTCGACCAACCCACGCCCGCCCTCCTCTTCCTCTATGTGAGCAGTAATGACATAAACTACCAGGCATCGGTTGTTTGAAGGTTGGATAACGTCATCCACTGGATAAAACTCTATCCGGTGGATAACTCTATAGGTTTTGCTATCACTTATCCGCCAGATAGCGATTTATCCGCCGGATAGCGTTATCCGCTCTTTATGCAACTGGGCCCAGAGTGATATGCTTGAGGTACACAGCCCAGCCGGATGCATAGATGACTTTTGCAAAACTGACAGTTTCAGTCGGATATTTTGGGTTCAAGGTTTCTTTCCTCTTGATTTTATGTACTCACCATAAGATACCAGTTGAAGGTCTCAAACCGCTTCTCCAACGAGAACAGAAAGAAGGTATACAGCAGAAGGAGAAGTATCATTCCCACAAATACAGCCACGAAGAAGTAGGGTAGGTGAGGGGGACTGTAAAATGATTCATAAAGCTGACCGAATATGAAGGAGGCCAACAGCAAAATCTAGAAAGAGATGCCAAGCACAGTAAGCGCTCTCTGTAAGCCTAGCTAATGGGTGCTTTCATTGTTAAATGCTTCAACCAGTTTTGAAATTAACTGTGAATATATGGACATTATATGTGTGAACTGCGGATAAAGTCGTGAATATGAAAGCGATCTTGGCAGTAATGAACACTACTTGAGCATGCAGCAGTTAAAATAAGGCCTGAAAAAAATTCATTTAAGTACGGGATTTGAACCCATGACCTCTGCGATACTGTTGCAGTGTTCTTCTGACTGGGCTAACAAGTCAACAGGGAGCTTATCATTATGTTAGTTCTAAATAAATTGAACCCGTGAACTGATGAATAAATAACTGTAAATATATGAAAATCATATATGTGAACTGCGGATAAAGACGTGGATAGGATAGTGACCTCGAGTAAACAAATGCGGGCACCAACGAATACACTTCCCCTTCTTTACTTATTATTCGGTGCATTGGAATTAACTTTAAACCCTAGAAGTGGCTAGCATCAATTTTCTCCACACAATACCACACCTGAATCAAAGACTATAGTCATGAGAATATGGGAAATGATCATTAACTAAAAAAAAAAAGCTCTTGATTGTCGAACAAATTCTCCTTGTTAGCACCTAAGAAAATGTATAGAGAACAGTATAGAGAATATGCATACTGATATTAGGGTGTAAAAAGGTTAACTTACGCTCTCTAAGATCTTAAGAAATCCTCGTATGGAACAAATGTAGGCGCTATTGATCATAGGTCTGCGGCTATTTGGATAACTACTCATCTTGACAGCTGAAAAAAAAGGAACATCTCCTTTCATGCAGGTACAGTTTACTACATGATTTAATTGATCAGTAGGCGATGTTTTTACGCTTGGAAGAAAATTGTCCCACTGCCTGTGTATTCTTATTAATTCTTTCAGCTTAATTCTTTCCATAAACCGCTAATTGTTAACGTCATAAAATTTCTGACAAATGGATAAAACCACCTTAAATTTTTAAGCCACTTAAGTCCAGGGAAGATTAAGGAGAATTTCGAAAAGTAATTTTTTACAAGCTGATTATTATCCCAACCAAGAGTCACCAAACTTATCTGTTAGCGTATGAAAAGGAAACTAAGAATGTGTTTAATAGGATTTTCCATTGCTATGTAAATTTTTAGGGGCCGGTTATTCAAGCTGTTTACTGCTGCCGGTCGCTGTAGTCCTAAAAGAGAATCCTACAACTTATATTATTTCAGAATGGCCTATTTGATAACACAAGTTATTTCAAGGCCTGTTGAAGATCACGTGGGAAACAAATTTCTTTTTAACTTGACTTAACTTGGCTAGAATTTCCAGACCGATCAGTAGTTTGAATCTTGCCAATGTAAAAAGTTAATTATCACATTATTAGGACTTTAAGTGTCATGAATGGCAAGTTTGATACCTGAAGTCTTCATTCACAACGTTAAAGATAACTTCACTGTCTCTGTTTGATGTACAACTTTTAGTAGTTACATGTCTACGTACACGCATGTAATAAATATTCATCACCCAGATAAACTGATATTTTAATGTTTGTTAGATCCGCATGCTATAAGAATGAATTTGCTTGCCAGCTGACACTCTGACACTAGCCAAAGTATTAGTGCTTTTTCTGTGTAAGCTACTGACGGAAGCTCAGGGGACATCTACTTGAAATTTCGATAGGAGTTGAGGCAAACCTATTGTACGCGCTCAAGTGAAATTATTGACCGACATTTATAAAAGTTGCGTCTTGTTTACAACAGACGCTCGAGAAACGGTTTTACTCGACATTATAAACACTTCTATGTCTTTATTATATTTGACTAAAGGCTTTTAAATCTTTCAGTAAAATATTTAGTACAACAAAAAGTTGACCCCAGCCTACACCGTCATGATATAAAATTTCAAATTTTTTTTCGAAATTTACGGTTCGCTTCGTTATATTTATCGTACACAAGCGCCTCGATCGCCGCTATTATGATTGCTTCAAACGCTTCAGTCCTTACCTGCCTGTGAACGCTTCAGCTGAACTTCAAAGAAAATTCAATCCTGAGTTTGTTAAGGGCACAATTCAGTACAGAGATTTCACCGAGTCCACTTGCCTTCGCAAAAAACACGCGACAAATCGGCGTGATAAAACCACAGCACAGAAGAGCTGCAATATCTGTACTTATAAATGCTAATTGTTCAATGTCATGCATGAGGTACTTTAATATTCCAAGTACACTTGATTGATTGGTTAACAACCCTAACCTTAAATGACATAGGGTCTGAAATATGAAGCATAACTTTATTTTCATTAGCATTCGTTATTGGCTTAGTAAAAGCTCGTACAGTCCACAATAATTTCAACTCAGTGGGTTACTTAAACACAATAGCTTTTAAAGACTCGATATCTCTGTTTGATAGTACTTACAAGCATATTTAATTTTGCATCAATCCTTAAAGTTTTACTGACCCAGGGTACATTTTTAATGAGATCCCTTGATAAAGGTTTATCATAAAACGCCAGCATCACAAATACATATGTCATGGTCGTGACTTTCACAAAGCTTCTTGCGATTAAGTGCTTTCGCATCAGCAAAAATAAATCAAATGATAACAGGCTAACAAAGCATTTCTCAACGGAACAATACGTCAAGGCGTGCGCTTGAATGGAATTTTTTTCAGTTTTTCACTAAGATCAGAGAGATCCGTCCCAAAATATTCCACTCTGGAATATTCCTATTTTTTTGGAGAATGCGACCAGCTCTATTTCTAAGTGCTATTTAAAGGTTTTTTTTTTAATTATCTTTAAATTTTCAGTGACCTTCCTACGTAATGGCGACCAAGCGGTACATCCGCTCTTCTCTACCAACACCTGCTCGATCCTCCTTCTTTCGCCTTTATGTATCTTCAATCTTTCAGAGGCAAGTTAGATTCCGTAAAGACCTCAACATGATCACGATGAGATACCGCCAAGATCCAGACGAAATCTTGTTAATTTAAAGGACAAGAAAAGGGTGGGGAGGGAGAAGGCTTCTTATTTTCTTTTTCTTTCCTTTTTTTTTTTTTTTTTGGGGGGGGGGGGGGGGGGGCTGGTAGCCGCCTTGATCAAAACACCTGTAATCGTCTTATTGATATTCGAGAAAACTTTCAGTTTCACATTTTCGACGATTGCGAGGTGTTGAACGACCGAGAAAATTTTAAAAAAGACATATACTTGTATAGTGGGGGATGTATGCCATACTAAGAGTATTTATGTGTGTCAAGATACTTGCCAGAACCAGGAGCCAAGTAATAGACTCCCCCTATGACCCTCTCGAAATTTTGGCCGTACATGTGCGCTTTCTCGATGATGTGGGATCTACATAAGCATTTGAATTCCTTCTGTTACAATTCTAATTTTGGACGTTGTTTTGAAGAAAGGCCTTTTTGTCGATAATTACTGACTACCGAATGACAGCGTTTACTCTTTTTAGAAGGTTTTGTATGAAAGCTGGTCATCTAAACTGTCGCTTAGTTACCGCGACACTGCACCCGGCTTTGTGACTTCAAGCCGGGCACAGTTGTTCATGAAACATCTGTTTTCGCTGGCTACAGCCATAGGACTTGCTAAGTGGAGTTTTTTTTAATAAAGAAGTGACGAAAATGCAGAGAGGGTAAAACGAATTGTTCTCAAAATGAGGTATTGAGTTTTTTATCCGGCAGCTAGAAAAGGTGTCAAAAGTAATATCCTGAAGCATTCATGTATTTGCTTAGTTAAAAACGCATCGTCTTTTTGTGCAGTTTAGTTGTTAACGCTCGTAATTGTGTGCTTTAGTTCGAGCGAAATCAAAAGAAAGACGCTGCAACTGCTGAGTTATAATTGTTGCAATCACATTTTGAATTTTGTATAATACTGACGCACTTTGATCATTAGGCAGAAAAAACTATGGTCCGTAGGCCAAGCTGAATGGATTCATAATGTCCCTGTTGAATTGAAATACATGAAATAGGGAGCCCCTCTGTAAGATGGTGAGATAAGGAATTCTAAGGCGGGCCAATTTGTAAAAGAAGTTCTTGACCAGTGATCAACACACCATTCTATACCTTTTAGCTTAATATTTATTTGAACGTGCAGGTGATTGAAGTGAAAGTAAATAATGGACTAGTTTTAAGTAAATATCGTTTATCTCTGCCTCCTTATTCATCACAGTCACTTTTCGAAAACTGAAAGGTGAGTCTCAAATGACGAAACAAGATGATGATTTTAATGAGAATTTTCCTGAAATAACCGTGAGAAGCGCTTTTTTTAGAATAAGAACACTTCAAAATGCTATCCTTTTTCTCATTGAAGTTAATTTCGGTCTCGAATTGTTAAATGTATGTACATAGCATGTGTAGCATGAGAAATAAAAAAACAAGACTGATCTCTTTCTCAGAAATAGCTATTTTCAAAGATTTCAAGGTCGGACAACTCAGTATTTCTCAAGTTATGATAGTTTCGGGTTTAGTGTTCTGTTCGTGATTTGTGTCACTCCCTCGTTTCACCTCTGAAGAATTAACTCCACTCAGATACAACTCTACTGTGTATGCGTATTCCTTTTTTTTCTTTTACTCAAATTTGATGCCTCACTCGAACTTCTTTACATTGTGAAAAACTTCCTGTAACTGTAAAAACTCATCTGCAATTTAAGGGCAAAGAAGATGCCGATGTCACAATTTGATGTCATAACTGCTTTACTTGCTTAAAGCTACTTCATGCCTTCGCTTATCCGCCATAAAAGGCAAAGAAAATCAAACATTCGCGACTCCTATGATGTGAGCATAAGACAAAGTGAACCAATTGACCAAATGCAAATGAGAAATAAAGACCATTTATTTTACATTCCGTGCAATATTGATATGAAACATATATGCCTACGAGATTTTACATGAATCGACCGGCTAAATAAACATCAATGTTGTCGATGTTTTCGTCGCTTGGTCGTGCGCTTAAAATCGATTCCAAGAAAGTAACTGTAATCTTAATTAAAATATACGTGTGCGATTATATAAAAAAAAATTTAAGACTAATGCATGGCCAAAATTAAAGCCAAAATCAGTCTGTCTAGATCTTCGCTTGAACACAAAACAAAAGTAACTTAGTACTACTGAGATTACACATGTAAACCACGTCCTCCTAGACTTGTCATTAATAAAAAAGTCTCAATTATTTTCTTTTAGTTTTTCTTATGGTCACTCCGGCTGTTTTATCATAATTACAAACATACTGCGTTCCACGACAGCGGCAGCTTTTAAAATAAGAATCTACAACGAGTTTTTTCAGGCTTAAAGTACACGGACATGCATGAATCAACGTTACAGTTTGCCGCTAAAATTTACTGAAGAGTTCATAAAGACTTGCAAGTGATGATTTTCTTGTATTCGATGCGAAATGACCTGTTAAGGAGTCCGTACAGAACAGGATTGATGGCGGAGGACATGTAAATTGACAAACCGTAAAAGTAATAAACTTGCCTCGGCAACATTGGCGCGCCGTTGGTAAAGTCGATCTGGTCGATGATCATTATTGGAAACCAACAAAGAGAGAAGCCAATAAGGACAGCCGCCAGAGTTTTGGTGACCTTCACCTCCTGCACGTGTGCATTTCTTTGGCTTTCTGAGTCGGCGTTGCCGCTTTGAGGGAAAACTGCGCGACGTACCGACCAATAGATGCGGCAATACAGGCATGACATGATGATAAAGGGACTCATGATAAACCCCATTCCCATGCAGAGGGCGAAGATGAAATTCTGCTCCATGGCGAAGGCGCAGTATGCTTTTCCCGGGTGAAACGTGAAATCGTCGCGAGCGTAAAACATCGGAGACAGGGTCGGAAGGCATGCCAAGCAGAAAACACCCACGGCGAATCCAATAGATTTCTTCACCGTAAAGATCCGGCGATACAAATTGGGTTTGACAACACACAGGTACCTGTTGATGGCAATGACAACCATGAGTTGTAGCGATATAACCGCCAATGTCAGAGGGAACGATCCCTGAAATTGACACACTTCTTTACTGTAGATCCAGCGCCCTGATATCAGCACACCAACGGTTAGAGGCATCGTACACACCGACATCGTGATATCGGTCACAGAGAGAGCGCAGATCAGAACATTCGTGGGTGTGTGGAGACGCGGGTTTCGAGAGACCGCTACACACACCAATATGTTTCCAAGGAAAGCGCTCAGAGCTACGAAAGCCATCACCGCTGATTCCACCACAACCAGAAGCGTTGTTCGAGATACAAGCTCGCGAAAGAGCCGGTCGTTGTGAAAGTTTCTCAACTCTTCCAAAGTTGACATGGTAGAATACTTTGAAATTATATAGGGTGCAAAAAAAAGTCCAACCTGTGGTTAACGCGCTCGGTGCTAAGTGCCTTGTGATTCAAATTACTTCGCTTACCAATCTTATATTCGAACGTCACTTGGCAATCGGCAAGATTTCCGCTGAAGCCAAGATTCTAATCAAAAGTAGCTTGCAGCTGGCATTGCATCCTCCAAGCTCAAAAGCTACTTTCTCCTAAATTGCACCACGCATTTCTCACAATTTATCAATGAGAATTTTTTTTGAGTCGGGTCGTCGTATGCTTAAATTATAACTTTGTTTAATATCAACTTTCTCGCTTAGCCGTAAATCAATGATCGTGGGGGAAATTACTTGACGATCGATCTGGGCAATCCTTAAAGGTGTTAATAAAAATAGTACTGTTTCCATGACTACTTACGCTTACAGGTAAACGCTGGCGAAGGTTAAACAAATGTGCCACAAAATATTTATTTTTCAGTCTGCGATCAATCGAAGACCTTTTCATCAATTTTTTCAACCTCAAATCTGTTTGAATTATTGCACTTTATATAACCAATCAACTGGAACTCGCGTTTCACGTTCACGTTCAAGGTCGCTCTTAAAGTCGATACTACTCTCAATTCAATAAATTAGTAACAAATATTTTTTTTCTAAATTATCCGGCAGGCATTTCTTAATTTGAGGAAGTTCTTCTTCGCCAGTTTTTTTTGGCGACAAAAATTTATCGATGGTACTTAACACAAGAAATTGAAGGGAGTAACTATAGGGACGGTATGTAATATTGCTTTGTTCACAAACTAAGGCACGAAAAGTGATCTGAATTAATAAAGACAGGCACAGGATATAAAGGAAGTGTTATAAAAGTAAACTTCTCAAGCATTGTGCAAAGTGATACCTACTACAGGTGTTTGGTACTTGGTGGCGTAAGTTAATTTACTATTTGTGGCCTATAGAAACCAATCCCCCTCCTAGCACCAGTCCGCGCGGCTAGCCATGTAAGTTTGACATTCGCGAGGATCATGCAAATAAAAAGGGTGTGAGCTCGAGTTGAAATGTAATCGTTGGTACGTTCTTATGCCAGCCGTATTCCAAAATCGTCAGGTAAATTGCCCTTTCGTCGAGTGTCCCATATTTTTTACGTTACTAATATTGCCTATGTTATACAAATTTCTTCTTATTTTGTATTTCCTATGTTATTTCCAATCTTGTAATTAGTTGTACCGCTCTTGATGTATTATGTTCGTAATACTTTACTTAGCAACCACAAGCAGTGGCTTGTAAATAGAAGAGTTCGTTCGAGTCGTCAGGAAATTAAACTCCTGTTAAATTTATTGCTGGTGCGTTGGTTATGGGCCCATATATGAAATTGCTCATCACAAAAATATTGAAAAATAAAAACCTATTTGAACTGTGTATAAAACAAACAAATAGATACCCTCGCATGAAATAAAATTCGATAAATTACCGATATTTAAGTCCGAAAAAAGGCATTGGAGTATCGACAGAACTCGATCCCGCGCCTTCAAGATACGACAAGTTTGGTCCCTCCTCCATATAAGCTTCATCGTAAAATGCTAAAGCAAAATTTGATAGGCACGGATTCGAATCTTTTCTAAGCCTTATTTATTTTTTCAGGCTTTACTTTCTTAAATTATTTAAACTGAAATTCGCTTTTGGGGTCAGATGGTCCCATTTGCTCATAATTTAATTTCACTGTGGTAACTTTTATTGAATATCTTTTTATTCTTACATCTTTTTCAAAATCTTTTTTTATCATTGTTACAGCAGAACATCTCAACCAGGAGGGACAATAACTTGTTAAAAAAAATTTAATTCATCAAAATTAATTCCAATTTATTGTTTGTTCAATCTTTGTGAAGGTTTTCCTTTCTGCAAAATGTTGACTTAAACACCTCAAGAGGCTCTTCAGTAGCACCTGCGTTTTTATGAGTCAGGTTTCAAGAAATGCGGCAAGGTTTCTTGAACTGCCCTAAAATAGCGACGTTCATAGTCGAATCTTTGAAGTCAATTGTCCAATGATAAGGTTCCCTTTGGAGTCGCAGCACGCAAAAATTAGTAAATACTTTTATGATCTTTTATACACTTTCCACGTTAAGGCTGAGATAGAAGTAGCATGTTTTTTAGCACAAACTTTTCTTTTTTATAATCTCCATTTAGCTTAAGGCAACGTCTACTGACACTAATAATGATTCCATTGATTAACGTAGCCCATTAAAAATGCCACGGGCACACTGATATCACGAGACAACAAACTAATTTGGCAGTGAAAATTTGGCGCTATTCTGAGGAAGGGGTCGGATCAAGAAAATTATGAAACAGGGAAATGTGAATATGACAACGATATTCGCTGTAATAAACTTTCTTGAGTTATAGTGAAAAAAAGGCAAAGATCTCCATCATATTCATTTAACTTCTTCAACCGCTGTTCACATACATGATTGTCATATAATCACAGTCGCAGGGAAATCTGTTGACCTCTTGATTCATTTGGGATACAAAAAAAAGTTCATTATATAGCAGATTCAGGGTCGTTTTAGAAAAGATCACAAAATATTTTTTTATTGAGAGTCTGATCATAAAGAATAGCTAATTTCCGACTTCCCTTAGCCTCTTTTTCAAAGCAAGTCCTGGTGCTGATCTGTTTTTATATAACTATAAGATTCTCATTCAGATGTAAATTAAACTCATTTTTCATACGAATGGTTGAGCACCAGGTCTCGTTTTGAAAAAGAGGCAAAAGTTGATTCGGAAATGGCCCATTAAGGTTAAGGATGTAGAAACAGGATCATGACGCGCAGGAGTATTGTTGAAAAGATTCTTGTTGGAGTTCTTCTGCCAACACCTTTCCCCGGCATTGCATTTCCTCCAATGCACTTTAAAAAGGATGCATGTGAGCATCACATGGCATATACGTTCTACTAACTGCTCTGGTTTAATTAAATCTAATCTAAGTAAAATCTAGGGTTAGGGTCAGGCAAGGTTTCATCGTCAGGCCGGCCGTTGATTTTCGTATACAGAATCGCGGAATCCATAAGAAACAGAGCCGCCGAAACAAAGCCACAACACTGGAGAAAAAAAGGAAATAGAGATAATGAATGAAAAAGTAGGAACTAAAGCTATTATAGGATGAATTTCAAACATTGATGAAATGAGATATTTATGTTCTCGTATGTCTAAACAGAGTTGCAATCGGATCAACTTAGAGACTAACTAAACAAGAACAGTCTAATCGCGACTGAGCTGCAGAGCAAGATACTGGGTTCAAACGATTGCCACAGCATCTACGCTGAGATATGGCAAATTAAGTATCTTAAATCAATGAAGTAGAGACAGAAACGGTGGTTAAACTGCCAGCGCGCTAACTTCCTCATGACAAGGTCCACGTTCGATTGTTGGTTATGGTAATTAAGTTGCCCAAGTCAATTTTTTTCAAGGAGGTGGGATCACCCCCGGCGGTCATACTTATGTCGAGAATACCCCCTTCCCCTATCTAGTACTGGCATTTTTTGCATGCACTTACCACAGAAACAGTCAGAACGTGGGTGGAGCTCATGCGATGAGGAATTTTGTGCCAATTGGCACTGTACATGTCCCTCAAAATGTCCGCAATGAGAGAGGAGGAGATTAAAAACAGCATCACAAACACAATGTAGAACACTAGGAGCTGCATGGAGGATAAATCAGAAGAGCGGGAAATTAGTCAAATTATTTGGAGTTTCAAGGAAACCAGGATTTAAGAAATAGAGATTCTATCTTGCGAGTAGGTTTCATTAGCGCCGATGCACAAACAGCGAAGCCCGCGAAAAGCCAGCAGGGGGAGCCAAGCGAGCATAGGCGAATTCCGTGGGGGGTATGGAATTTTCTCGCCAGATCCTTCGCTCCGTCGCCGCTCGCAAGTTATCATGATTCTACTGTAAAAACAAAAAAGGGTCATTCCTTGCTGGCTTTTTCTCAATCAAATTTAGATACTTCTCAAAACAAATTTCAGTCACTTTCGATCCACATCAACGGTACTGATATACTCACCAGAATATCCCAGTTCTTTCCAGTTGTTATATTCCCTTCCGATATAAAAATGAATGTCAGAAACACGCACAAGACGACGATCCAGCCTGTAGCAAACACCGCCATGAAGAAGTCAAACCGCGATCGATACTCCTCATGCCAAAAGAGCGCATATTTTTGGTCAAATTCAGCCAGGCAAGAAAACGCCACGCAAATGGAACCCTGTTAACATCAGTTAAAATAGAAATATATGTGAGCCAGTACCCTCATTTTTGTAAATAGTGATCAGTCATTACAATCTCCCGCTTTATACTCTGTTAACGACTACTGATCCCCTCTTTCCCCCCTGAAAATCATGTGATCCCTCACCGTCCTCCAAATTAACACCCTGTTCATATCATTTAAAAATAAAATGAAAAATATGAGAGCCAGTAATCCTCATTTTTTTAAATAAGCACTAGTCATAATAATCGCCCTCCCCTCCCCTAAACGTTGTTAACGACTACTTATCCTCCTTTGTTTCCCCGATACCGTGTGATCCCCCAAAGCCCCCCAATACCTTTCCCACTCCCCCCCTCCCGTGACAAATAATGACTTGTCCCTCAGTTTCTTTATTTGGTTCTCATCCTTTCTTCTACCTTACTCTGTCCAGTCCCTCTCACTTTTTCTCATTTTCTATCTTCTTCACATTCCACTTGTCTTTTTATGCATGTTTTTTCTAAAAAAAATAAACCTTTCAAACGAATTAAAAGAATTGCATTTCATAAACTTGTATCTTTCATAAATTTTGGTATCTGTAATTATTCACTAAGTGGGATTGTCTTTTTCCTCCTTTTTCTATCTTTCAGCTCATATATCACAAGGCCGTACGGCTTACTCCCCCCCCCTCCCCCCCTCTCCCCCCCTCCCCCCCCTGCCAGTGCGCACAGCCTTCATACAGGGATTTTTGATAAACGTATTTCGTTGATCGTAAAACTTACAATTTCTAGAACTTTCAGAATTCCTTGAAGGGTCATCAAGGGGCCAGAATTCACAGAGGCCGGCATGCTTCGTCCCTTGTCTAAAATTTAAATACCAGCTTAAGTAAACTTATGCAAATAGCGGAGAATGTGAAACCAAGAGGCTAGCAACGAAAACTCTAAAGCGGTTTACAAATGACCAAATCGAAACAATGTGTAACTATTTTTCCCTGTAGATTCCTAGTAGACTCGCAAGTCATAAAACAGTTCTTCGATGCCAAGTACAGATCCTAGTAGTTGAAATTACGATTCCAAACCTCATGAACGATATTGAAAATTATAGAAATTGGATAAATTACATATCAAATATCATAGGTAAATAAAAGCTGAGGTACAATTTGAATACATGCTACGTTAAAACGAAATATTTAACAGATAACAGGAGCGAGGTACCTCATCCTCCCTTGCAATTGATAAAATTTCATCGACAATGGGATGCTCTGCCTCTCACCTTTCATTCTTTTGCCTTTTTTTAAAATAAAAACTTGCAGAGCGCGTTTTCCCTTTTTCACTTTGTTTTCCAAAACAAAAATGTACGCCAATTACATCACAGGAAAATGAAGAGATTAGATTTGCCTCACCTATATTGCTTTGGGGGTCAGTTTAAGTATCTTTTGTGAGGCTAGAAACAATATTATTCAATGGCTTTCAGAGTCATTTATGTATTATGTATGTATGTATGTTAATCTGGAGAAGATGAAAAATTCTCAATAAAGTTCCATTGTTGGTGGCAAAAGAACCATTTTTCTTCATCTCACACCCCTTCAACTCTTTAAGTCCCACTAGTGATCGAGAGAGAATTTCTCCTTACACTATCAATATGATATCAAGCAGACTAGTAATGAGAATAAAGGAAAATATCAATTAGGAGATTGTTGGCTGATCCAATTCCAAATTCTCCAAACAAACATCACATAAATTGTTTGGCAGACAGTAAGGAGAATTACTAATGAAATCTTGGGAGTTAAAGGGTTAAGCGCTGAATAATCTGCAAGTGTTACTATTTTCTGATAGCCAAGCTTGAGTAGAAGGGAAAGCGGGAGAGAAGGATCTATGAAACAAAACAATCAGAGGTTTTTCCAAGAATAAGTTATTTTCAATCTATTAAAATTCCACTGAATAAATACGGTTGTTCAGATTGCCTCAAGATAAATTCTGCTACATCGAAATCGCCAATTTTGACTTCCATGCACTTTCCCTTCCCTAACACTATCGTCAGTTTCTAACGAGGCCTAAAACAACTCAAAACATCAAAACTTGTCTTATATAATTGAAGATTAGCTGCAAGCTCTACTAGAGGCTTTGGCACAGTAGCGAGGTCGCAAGATCGATACGCTCATCACCACGGTTCTCGCGTGTTCGCCACGCTGTAGACTACCAAGCAAAGCCTGCATGCAGGCTAATTCAGAATTCAGGCTGACGAACAACTCTACCTTTTTCTTGGACTGACGTCTACAGCCTCCACGCTCGGTGGCGATTTACAGCTGTTACAGTAGTTTTCCAATACTAAACCTTTGCCGCGGATCACAAAGGTGAAAGCTTAACGTTAGACTTTGAGCAGTGCATGCATCAGATGAAACCGATACAGCCAGCATGAGGCATTTTTTTAAAGCCGTTGAAACAGAATAACCGCTTGATATTAGCTGCTAGTGATAAGCATGGCGCGGTTCTTTAAAAACACGATAAACTAATCTGGAAAGTTAAATTTTTGTTTCAGATTTTCTAAGGTAACGTGGTTTATCTCTTCCATCCGTTTTACCAGGTATTTGGATATAACTCGCAAACCGCTTTTGCACAACCATTTCGTTAACATATCATCGCGTGACATTCGCGCCCGTCACGTGGTTTTGATAGTCTACATAATAATTTTTCACGCGAGCAGTAGTTGTACTGTATGGACTTGTCTGTTTTGGATTCAGTTATTTTTGTTATTACATGTATTCGGAAAGCGGTTAAATTTTTCCATTACCTGTATAAACATCCACTACTAGAGCTATTTAAAGAACATGCATTATATTTCTTATTACGCTGTTTTTCTTGTTTTTATATAAATATTTATATGTATATTATCATAATAATAGATCCCTGAAGATCCAGTCGCTGTTTTTAAAATACATACCTCGAAGACGTTACACGGAGTTAGAGTATCGCACAAAATGGTTAGGATAGAGCGGGAAATCGGGAGAGTTTTCCCTTTTCCACACGCTTCCAGGTGTTCGTTCGTACGCCGGTTTTTCCCCTAATGAGACTTGTGTCCTCTCTCGTACCCGACTCTATGATCCAAAGTCCTATAGCGCGAAATCTTCGATCAGGTCGCTTATGTAATTCAAATGGTGGACTGGATTAGTTTAAAATTTAAATTGCACGCCTTTCAGACTATGAAACCATGCGGAAACATTGGACGATGAAGATCAAATTATGCTACAGAACAAATTAAACACTGGACAATGTCTGTCTACTGACCTTCAAGTTCGCGGTGCACGTGGAAACTATTTTGCTTTAAGGAAGGGTCAAATAAGATACAAGAACATTCTTAAACAGTTAACTTCTTGAGCATTAATAACCAAAAAATACAACGAAAACAACGGAGGCGTATTTTTTTACTGACAATCATGTGTCTTCCATTTTCGGTTTAAAGTCATGTGAAAGCCACAACCAATGTCAATCAAACGCTTGCTTGGTAAAAAGTCTTAATGGCCGGAGTGATGGCTTTTACGGCTAACGGTTCATGTTTTGGCCATTTTACAGCTAACACTGGTTTCACTCCGTTACGATTGAAAGGAAATCTTCACAATAAACTTTTTTTTACGACTGACGGTTACAATTTGTCCAATTTAGAGCCTAACAGCTGAAGTTTGTTGCCGTATTACGGCTAACAGTTAACCTGACTGAGACCCTCTTATAAGGGAACGTCGTTATTTATCTCCCGTGGGGGGAGGATTTCAGTTGTGTACCGGTCTCTCACGAAAAAAATTGAACTGATTTCCCCCCAACCCCCCCCCCCCCCAGGTCTCGGTAGTATTTTTAAATAATCCTCCCCCCTAATTGGCAGTTAATTGTTAGTCAATTTTCTACAGGTCCCCCGTTATATTCTGTTGGCGATGACTGCTCTACCCTCCAGTCCCCCTGAAAACCATGTGATTTCCCCCCAGGCAATCATGAAATAATGATAGAATATTTAATAACAGAGAGCTAGTACGATCTCGCACTCTCGCCGAGTATTTGCACAGAATTGTCCGTAGTAGCGAACAGTGAACTTTTAGATCAAACTGTAAGGCAAAGCCTTTTCTCCTATACCTCATGTTACCATTTTGCCATGAGGTAGCGTACTCGTTATTTTGGTACTGGTGTTAGATTTTCTTGGGTCAATGTCAGTATCTGGCTAACTGCACTATCTGCGCACCCTCCCTCCCCTAATCCAACATTAACCCTTTTTTTTTTTTGTCATCAGTTAAATGTTATTGGGTTAGGGGAGGGGTAGGTACGCAGATTCTCTTCTGGATAAGGGTCAAGGAGACAGTGACATTTAGGAATTTCTTTAACTTAATTCTTGAACGGCAACAGTTATGCCAACAAGTTGTTTCAACTCAGTTGACAATGTTAAATTACCCAGTTGTACCAACAGATCTCTTTGGACTAATCAAAGTATATTACGTAAGTAGTGAGTGTCGTAACTAAATGAGTATTTCGTGCAGATTAGCGTTACACTGATGTAGAACAATTTCCATCATAAGTTTTAACAACTCGTACTATCGTATATATGCTGTAAGTTAACCCTAAAATCAGTATGCTTATTCTTCATTCTGCTTCCTACAAATCTCCCGAGTTACTGTAGTGGGATCGACGTAATTAACAACCAAGAATTTTAAACACAATTGAAGACGACTTTTCTCGTCTTGGTTCTTTCTCACTCACAAGGCAATCTCCTGCTAAAGGTGTTTCCTACTAAGACACAAGCGAGTGTAAAGGAGGAAATGTTTGAAGTTTATTCTTTTGGCCATGCTAACTGGTAAGCCCCTAACCATTCCAGTAACACAGGCATGTTTCTTTGTTCCTATAAGTTTATTGTTATCAATTTTTCCACCTAACAAAATTTCCAGTCAAACTCAAGTGGAACCAATAAAGAACCATTAGACAACCATTTAACAAATTTGTACGATCTTGATATCATATTTATGCATGCATGCAAAAGGCAGTGCTAGGTTTGTCGATGAGATCCTAACCAAGCAAAGTCACCACCAAGAATGCGTTTTCTCCATTATCGTGATGTCATCAGCACTAGTTTTAAAGTTAAGACAGTGTGGATACATTGTTCACAAAAAGACAACTGCATTTACGGTTTGAAACTTACAACTGATATTAAAACCAGCGGGATCCATTTCAGATAGGACGTCAATGTGTCCAATTCTCACACTAGTTTTAACTCTGTTCCAAACAGCTTTTCAAAGAGTTAGAGACGAAGTAAAATAATTTTCTTCATTTGTGCAAATGTTTCAAGAATATCTCCCGACTATTTCTTTTTTTCGTCCTTGGATTTTAACGTGGTTAGAAAATAAAAAGTCAATATTTCGAGGAAGAGCTGACAGAATTTGAAGATTGGTGCCCATTTAAAGCGCTGAATAATAGTAAATAAAATTCGTATCTTTCGACTTAATACACGTGACTTCAAACATATAAAAGAAACTCACAACCAAAAATGTTTCTTCGGAGCGATCGTTCATATCAAAATCAAAAAAGAAAAACAAAACTACACACGTCTCTTAAAAGTGTGTAACTCTGAGGTAAAAATAAGTCATACACAAGGTAAAATTCTGTGGTCCATTTGAGGCTTTTTCGATTCACTTGATCTCTTTCCTTTAAAATGTTGATTTAATTACCCTATATTTGCCGTAATCTATGGTGGAGAAAGGTAAGGCAGTTGTACTGACAAGCAAAGCAGGTGTCGTTGGCCAAATAACACTCGCCTTGATAAAAATGGAAGTACCACAAGAATGAGAGTAGAAAGCCAGACAAACGTAGAGACAAACATAAGTGACGATTAAAAACTGACGGTGAAAGTTTCAAACTCACATCGCGTCCCTCGAAATTTGCTATGCAGCAAAGTAAATGCGTTCATTACACAATATGCTCCTACTCCCTTGACGATCTGTCACAACGTGACATAACAACAGTCCAGTGAATAAGGCATTATCACTAACGGATCTTTGTAAAATTCGCGATCAGTTCCGAGTGTTGCCATCCCTATCAAAATAGTAGCGGCGAACATACCTAACATTTCGAGGCAATCATTGTCATGCAAACCGCAGTTTTTGTACCCAGGCTTCTGAACGAGAGACCGTCAAATATGCAGCATCCTTGTTAATAACTTTATATAAGGTTCATTATGGCTCGATGAACTTTGCATATAGTAAATGTTCCCACTGAGTTGCCGTTAACTATTACCGTTTTTTAAAAAATATAATTTTCACGGTATTGTATCATCTCATCAAAACTATGAAGAAACACGGAATAATAATTCAGATCTGCATTCCGAACCTGGATTCATACGAATTGATACCTATCTATTGTTTCTTTGATCGATTAATGTCTTCCTGTTTCTCCTGTCCTACAAGCTATTTACAGTTACACTGTTACACTTTTCTACCTCAACACATTGCCCCGAAAATTCTGGCCACTCGGGGTATACTGAATTTTTCCTAAAGTAATACTGAATTTCAAAGACAAGTTTCCGAAGTCAACTTTTGTCCTTAGGATTGCTAAAAATGTTTTCCACGACTGTAAAGCTTGGCGGACACGGTTTCTGGAGAATTAAGACACCCCCAGGTTCGTGTTCATCTGAAATTCTCGCAAGAACGCGCAAATTGTTCATGTTATAGACGCCGGGAAGCGACACCAGGGCGTTGAATTTTAACATCGAAGTTCCGTTCGGGTCTAATTGAAATCTTCTCGATGTCTGTCCAACCCAAGTGAATGAGCTAGGAGATGACGTAGATTCTGTATCCTTGTCGAAGGAAACGGTATTGTTTGTGGAATTGCTCGATTCACCTTCTGACACTGATGAGGAGTTTCCGACACTGCGAGGAGAAAAATGAAACAGAATTTTTGTGGAGGGATGATGTAAACATAGAGTCAGACGACAAAAAGAACATGCCTATCATAGCGAAGCTTATGAACGTTGTAATATCATAAAGCGATTAGGAGTATCAGCAATTTTTCTGCCCAATTGTTAAACGGAAAAATCAGGAAAAACATAAGAGATTCAAATAATTCATTGTAAGTAAACCGAACTGAACAAACCTTGGGACTAGCTCCACAAACACGTCGACGGTTGTTGAACAACAGTTGTGTAACGACAGCTCCACCACAACACGCGCCAACCTGAAAAAATAAATAAATAAAAAAGTTCCAGAGAATGAATCATTCTGCCCAATGATGCTACGTATTTATGTTTTACTTCTCTGTCTTGGTAATTAAGTCATTTTTCTCTATTCTCCACTTTACCGTTGGCATGTTCCTATAATTGACTTCCAAGATCTCATTAGTAATTCTCCTTTTCGACTCCCATACATATCTTGTGACGTTAGTTCGGAGAGTTTGATCTTAAATCTCATAATCTATATTTTTCTCTATTCTATATTGTGATTAGAAATTCTGTCTTGGTCACTCATAGGCTACACAATACGATTTACGATTCTTGGCCGCGGAATCCGAATAAAGTCGGAAAACTATTCAAGGCTGGACAGGCGAGGGTCGCATGAAATAGAACGTGTGTCACACGTGAACCTTGAAATGGCCTAACTCACCATAGAGTTCTCAGTAGCTCAGTGATCGAGCATCGGTGCACGGATTCCGATTTTTTTTGTTGTTGTTGTTTTTCTTTTGTTTCTTTAATCCATGACACAAAGGACAATATAAAGCTCCTAACAAGGAATATTCCCTTACCTGCTAGAGGAAAAATTGACTTGGAGCGATGCAGGATGCCGCAAGGAATACTTGACAAGTAGTTCTGAGTTACTAACGCTATCCGTGTCACCTTGTGACGTCGTTTCAAGAAAAGAGGAATTGAACGGCGGTACCTGAGTGAGCACATGAAAATGTTAAAGACTACCAGGGATATAAAAAATAGAAAATTATGGCTACAACCCTTACATCGTGGATGGAAGATTGGACACGAACGAAGATAAAAAGGTGACTGGTATGAATATTAAAACGAGAAAATTATGGCAGTAATCGTAACTTTGTTGATGGAAGATCAGAGACGTAAAGGAGATAAAAAGGTGAGTAAAGAGGAAGAATGGGAAGGAATACCAGCTTCCTTACCAGTGGTTTTGTGACAGCTGACACTGTTTCCGCCAATCTGTTGATATTTACGTGACTCTGGCCATTGACCATTTGCTTTTGAAAGTCCTTGTCTATATATGAAGTCTGAGAAATAATAATGATAAAAAAAGCAAGGGCGAATTATGATCATCAAACGCTTTACTTTCATGCCAATCATCTCTAAAACAGCGCATGTGCCAGCTAAGCCAGAGA